GTTATCGACATGAAGTTTGCTCAGAAGCCTTTTCTAATTACGGAATCGTCTTGTCCAACCTACAGATACTGGATATAGCGATAGAGCAAATGTCCAAGCTGAATTAATACACAGGAACGCAATAATCAATTAAATGATCAAAACGGATGAATATATTGGTAAAGGATACCAATATCCCTTATGAATTCCCATTCAATTAGGGTTAACCTCACCGAGAGTATCAAAGATGTGATAAACCTGTTTTTCCAATTTATAAATATTTTTTGACTTCTCTGTAAATAATGTTTTACTATCCAATTTTATCAAATGATTGTTAATTCCTATTTGTATATTATAAATTGGTGTAATTTATATTTATTTTTAAGCAGTGTTTTTCCATTTAACTTAATAAAACAAATTTGCAATAACTTTGGTAATTTTTTCAATAAAAGAGTTAATTAATGATACTGACCAGTAAAAATACTGATCCACACTCATTTGATTAGACAGTAATCGGAAATTATTATTCATTTTTAGATAATCAAGAAATTTTAACTTCGTTGCTCAGATTTTGTACAAACTTCAGGTATTTCAAGACTGATTAAAATTTTAATTGAATGGTTTGAATGTAAAGCAAAAATTGGCTTTAACTAGCGGTTACTTTCGGTAATTGTTGTCATTTTATTTTCATAGATTAATTCAGGAATCAAAAATTATGGACTGAAATAAGTTAAGCATATTAAAAGTAAGGAGAAGGGAAACGCAAAATGATGAAAGGCTTGAATTGGACAGCTCAAACTGCCTCAATACTAACCACCAACTAAATACGTTGAAGATAAATTAATTTAAATGACCACTTAATCCGATAGCGACACAAAACCAATCAGTAAAGCGGGTTAATATTGGTTTAAAGTGCTGCTAATATGTTTACTTGGCTTTACATTTGTTTCTAAGCTGTTTATCAGTAGTGTCATCTGGTTTTTCCAGGGAGAGACACCTCTCATTTTTTTCATTATTGCTTTTACTCTTCAGCTTCAGTGTTGTCCTTCATTCAAATTTTTGTGTTTGTTTTTCTTTAGTTCAACATTAGTTTATACACATGATTAAATTAATTAACTACGGGTGATTCCATTTTAAATCAGTGGCCTGAATATTCCAAGTTATTTTGTATTGTCTTTCATTATTACCTTTACCTTTTGATATACTTGCCTTTCCTGTGAAGACCTTTTAACTGGTCAAAACACACTTTTTTCCTAACATCTTCTTTCTCATCTTCACTGTCTGTCTGTTCCTCTTTCTCTTTTGCTATTGGTGTACACTCATCATCTGTTTCGACAAGCGAATTGTAGTGTTATTTGAATCTGTTTTTGTAATGTTAATTTGTTAATTTATATTTAATATTTACTATCCCATTCTTTTTGATTGTTCAACCATCTTCTTAGCATTGTTGGGTTTCATTCACCTTCACGGGTGAAGGTGTAAGTGACGATTTTTTGAGTCACTTTGTTTTGGGTACTTTTCACTTGGTTTATATGTTCTGGTTACAAGCCCTTTAGTAAAACCTGTTTTTACTCTCATGGAAAGTTTTGGGCTTTCTCCGGACAAAGTGGAAAAGCTATATCATCAAGCTCTTCGGCTCAACCAACTCACATATCAAAACAATTACAATCCAGTCAACAAGACGAATGGTAGTGATTCCAATAAAATTGCATCTCGGTCCACATTAGATAAGAGTAAATCCGCCGTAACACAGGCAATGTCTAGATCTGACCCGTATCCACCAATGTTTGACCAATCTTTACGAGAATGGGAGGTTTTCAAGTATGGAGATGACTATGGCTTCAAAGACTTACCTACATCGGAGCCTTGTACAAGCAGTCCAAAAAACACCAATCAGGATTCCATTGAACAAAATTCTGAGAATAGGTTAGCCTCATCAAATAGCAGTGATTTACAAAGTTCCGGAGACCATTCAACTGTTGAAGATGATGGATTTAACCCTGATTTTATCAGCGTTCTTGATAATGCTGAAGTGATTGGTGAAAAATTTGTGAAGGAGATCCAATCAATGAAGAAACTTTTTTCATCAAATGATACTTTCAAAAATCAATTTGAGAAAATATTCTGCTCTCTTCGTAGAGAAAAAATTAAATTGGAGATTGATCTTCTTCAAGCCAAAAGGTGTATTGAAAGTCTAAAAAATCAACTTGTGATAGTACAGGAAGAAGCTGATCAATGTAGGAGAGAGCTGGATGAAGAAAGAAGCAGCTCAAACGCTAGAATGTCAAAAATGGTGAGAAGATATACTGAAACTAAAAACTTATTAGAAAAAGCTCATAAGCAGCTGGCTATTCGACGAAGTAATATCTCCAAAGAAAATTTAAAATCAAACAACCATCAAAACCCTCCTGTAGAAACTAAACCTGTCAAAGAAAATGGTGAACCCATGGAAGATACCGCAGGATCACCAGAATCATGTGAAGAAGCACAAGATGATTCCACCAGATCACGTAATGGCAAATCGCCAGTTAGTAGTTCATCAATGGATATGAATTCTGGTATAAACGGAGACTGTGATCCTAGTAAAGAAGAAAATGATCTTAGTAATGGTTTTCATCCATTAAATTTAACTTCCAACGGACCAACGGAACCTTTCGAGGTTACTACCGAAGAAATGGGTCTAGATACTTTACCTTCTGAAGCCAATGATCCATGTATATGTGCTGCTATTGTTGTAACCAAAGGGAGAATTATCCTTCATAATTTAAAAAGATCTGAATATTTAGCAACTATTTATGAATATCGAAAATTCAGACCCGAATTTACTAAAAGACAAGGCTTACCACTTGACCCGAGTGAAGAAGAGTACGATTTTGTTAATATGCTTCCTGGTCCCTGGTTTAATTCCAATATAGATGGCTGGTTCATTGGGAATGAAACACCCGAAGAAAAAAATAAACCTCACCCGAGATTACCGGTAAGTTTTACTGAATGATTTATTTCATCTTTTAATCTTCTCCAAAATTAATCTTTTACTAATATTTGTTTTTCATTTTTATTTAATTTCTACAGGATTACATCCTACTCGAAGGTCTTGTACCGGTTGAGAAGGCGCTTTATGTACAAAACGTTGTCATGAAAGAGGATGTTAAACATGCCACTCAAGTGGCCTCAGTCCTTGTTAGGCGTGTTTTGCCTGATGTTTATGTTAGAAACGCTCTTCTCAGCGGCAATACCTTAAAAGACGAATATCCTCCAGCTAAATGTTTTATTGAATCGTTGGCTAATGGCTTACCTCTAGGTGTAGGATATCGAAGATTTCTCGCCATCCAAGCTCATGCATTCCGTGTTATAGGTAAATATGGACCATTAAGCTACATTGAGATTCAAGCTGTTCGCACAACTATAAGTAAATGTTTAAAGGAACGCCGACGAGACGATCGCAGATCTGGTTTGAAACGTAAACGATCTGTTACTGTGTTACCATTTACCGGAGTTTAAATATCATGTATAAACTTAATCTTTAGTATCGTCTTTCCCTGTAATCAATTCTTATATTTTGGATCATTCTCATCATCTTACCCATATCGTGGATTCTCATCACCTTTTTAGATAAATATACACCTTCTTTTTACACGAGCTACTTTATTTTTTTTTCATATCACCATCATCACTGATCATCATCTTAATCATCTCTTATCTGAATCGTTTTTGAAAGCTCACTGGCTATTATCCTATTTAAATGGCGACTGATTGATCTCATCGTTCAAATTGTTTCTATTGTACACAATTCCTCGCCATGTGTTTCTTTTGGATCAACTTGACCTTTTGTCAGCTTATATCAACATTTTTTTGAACTGTTTGAACACTTAATCATTTCCATTGATTTTTAATAATGTAAAATTGAATAAACAAAATCATTAGGAATCATTATCATTTCTCTGTTTCAAAGATTTCAAAGTCAAAACTTACTTTTTCCAATATTTTTATGCACTTTATCATCTGCGGAGATGAACTATGAAACTCAAAGAATCTAATGCCTACAATGAAAGTGTTTAACTTACCAGCCAGTTTCCCCAAATACAGAAATTCAATAAGAATTTATTAAAAATTTAAATTGTGAAGATTTTTTAATCATTTTCAAACTCAGGGCTTTGAATAATGTTGACAAGAGCCCAAAAACGATTCTCATGACATTTTGATTCGATATTTTTCACTATTTTGCGTATTTGAGTAGTTTGAATTTTATTAATGAAAGGTTCCAACTTAACCTCAAGAATGGATAAAAGTCTCGGATGCTTGTATAGTTAAAATAATAATTTCGACACAAAGATTGGGCACGAATTTTTTAATCTTTCTTTTTAAACATTGGTAATGGCTGGAAGAATAAGATTGTTTTAACAATAATTACATGTAATGATTACAAAACTGATATTGAGATTTTTATATTCTATTTCTCTCGTTGTTTACATTATTCATAAAATGAAATGAACGATTTTGTTTAGCTAATTGAATGATGGCAATGTTAATGATTATGTGAGGGCTATGGTGATGATGACGCTAAAGATGATGCCGAAGATTAAAGAGAAATTTAAATTCTTTCAATCTTTTGATGGTACTAAAGATACGATATTTCGTAATGTTACAACGGAAATCCAAACATTTCAACAAAGTTTGTATCAAAATGGATGGCTTTTACCGGATGCTAATGCATATATCACAGGCAGTAGAATGAGAATGAACAGAGCCACAAGCATAAGACTATACCAACTGAAGCCACAATCAGCTCCATCACATTGGTAATTAGATGGTTTTTTTGGAATAGAATTCAAAGAGTTGGATAGATCTGCATTTGAATTTGAACCATTAATAACAGTATTTGAATCACTGGCGTCTTCTTTGTTGTAATTGTCGACTACCTTTCTCATTTTGGCAAGATCAGCATCCAAATCGGTAAGAAATTTATTCATCTCCTGGGCATTATCATCATTAAGAAAAGTCTGACGAAGACCAACGTTAATTACCAATGGTTTAGTCTGCTCTTGTGGCGTTTCATCCAATAAGGTTAAATATGAACTATTTACTTGATGAACCATAACTTCACTAAGAATGCCATACTTTTTAACAGGTATTTTGATTACATTAAGGCCATAAAAATCACGATCAGAGACCAAGTTGTTTACTCGCTTAAGCTCATGTAACGAACAATGCCACTTTAAAGCAATTCCTTGGAGTGTATCACCTTTTTCAATCCTATGGAAAATATAATGATGATGGTCCGGTTTTTTGTTTAGTTTTTTTTCATTTTGAGATCGCTTTTTGAGTTCATAATAATCTTTACTATATTCTAAATCAGCTATAATTGTTTCTTGTTCGCCGTTGGACGTGGATGATGCTTGGTCTTGTAAAAGGCGTCTTCCTGTGGCAGCATCAAAGCCATAGCCACCGTTGATTGTATTATTTGTGTTTTCGTCGAGCTGATTGTCATTGTCAGGGAATTCTTGTTGGTCAACTTCTTGATCAACTAATTTATCATATTTCCATTTGTAGAGAGACGATCTGTTGGTCATCACTTAATTTAAAAGTTTTGATTACTAACATAATTAGTTATACTTGACTATAATTTTGATGGATAATTATTGTCAGTCCAATTGTCCTGGGGTACGGCAACAATACAGATTGACACAGAAGACAGATGTTGATAGCTACAGGTTGTAGCTAAACCAGCAGAAACGTTTGTAGTTAAGTAAATGATTACAGTTGATGATGTGGAGATGTAACAAAGCTGGTAAAATTTAAATTATCCTGCGAAATCAAAAACAAAAGGAGACAAATCAGTTTAGTCAAGGTTATCCTAAGAATAATTCAATAATACAATTAACACATAAACTAAGTTAACATAGTAACAACAGAAGTGGAATAAATTCAAATGAATGATAATCTGTCAATTCAATGACAATCATTGTTTGATGACTTCACAACTATCCTTTAACAAAAATGGCAACAAATGCTAAAGCAAAATGCATTCTATAAATAAGTGTTAATATCTCTAATTAAAATTGAACGCTAAAATGTGGAGTATAAATGTAGGATGAATGTGTAAAAACAGTAAATGATTACAATTATTGAAAAAGCACACAAACTAAAGATTGAGTGAGATACAAAGGCTCATGTAAGACTAAATTACATCTAATATCGGAAGAAAAATTCGGGTTTCAATTGAGTAACGCTGGATATAAAATGAAAATCAACACTTTTACTTCAAAGAATGTGAACTGATCTACTAACTGATTGAACTAAATTCATTTAGTTGTTTGTTGATGATGTAAACAAGATTGTGAATATAGAGGGAAATATGCAAGTACTTACCTTGTGTTAATAAAATGGCCAAATATTGAAAATAGTGGTTTATGATGTTATTAAGTTGATAGAATATGGTGAATTGAGTAATTGGGATTTCAAATTTTTAATCAAAATGTAAAAACGCTAGAAATATTGATAAATAATACGCTTTATTACAAAATAGAAGCCAACTCTAACAAAAATGTTTCAAGTATAGTCAGCTGGTTGACTCTTTTCAAAAGACTCTTTTGGCAAAACTTTCAATTGCTGTTGATAGAAGGAGTTAGTTTATCGGTAATTTTATTTTTTTAATAACTTCTGTCTTTAAATTGTTTATCAAATTGTTATTTGAACTAAAATCGATCATTTTTCAGTTATGTGCTCGAAATTTTCTAATATTGTGTGTCTCAAAGATAGCACCCAATACATAATTTCTCATACTCTTTGCTTGCAGGTAAGTAAAGCTGTTTAATACATTCTTTAGTTTTAAAGTGAGAATAATTAACTTGCTGAACAGAAATTTGAAAAATCTTTCAAATATCTATCACTTCCTCATTAAAGACTCATTTTAAAATGAATTATCGAGTCACACGTGAATGAATATTCCTGTATCAATAAGTTAATCGGTCCATCAAAAAGATTTACACTTATTGCGCTGAGTGTCCCAGTGAAACATCCCTACATTGACGTATTTATTGCTCAGCAAAGGTAAATGCTAGGAAGTCTGATTTGTGTTCTCATCATTTTTCAAATTTTCCCATTCAGAATGAAAAATTGAGATTTTAATCAGTCTTTGGATGCTGCTGTCCATTTGGACCCGTTGTGAGCTTATCCAAAAGCTCAACAATCTTAGGCCTTACCGATGGTTTGAACCTTAATACAGCAAATTTAAATTATAAATTGTAATTTGAGGTAATTGTAAACCAGGTATAAAGGATTGAAGCAGCAATAAGGTTAACAATGTCTCTTCAATTGGCACTTTAATCGAAAAAATAAATTTTAAAATAAACGCAGAAAATCACAATTGAAATGAAGAATTACAGTTGTTTTTTGATTGAAATAACAGATAAATTGACTTATAATTGGGTAAACTGTTCATCAAATGTTATCTTCATTTAGTCATTTTACTATTAATGGATTAGGGTTTTAATTTTAAGGCAAATTATGAATATGATGATTAAAGCGTCAGGTAAAAGACGATGAATATGATGATGTATAAAGATGTGGTAATTAATACGATTTACAATGAGTTAAAGATAAGATTAATTAACAAAATTTATCCTCAATGTTAATATTTCATTGAGATAATTTATTAATGAAACACATTGAATAGTTTCTTTAATAGAGTTGCTTTTTATCCCGTTAAATCATAATTGTGTAACAATTTGAGTTGATTTTAATAAAAGCCATTGTTTTGTCGTTAAATAACAATTAACTAAACATCAATTGACTTTGAGTAAATTGGGCTCCAATTCATTTTGTATGCTTTACAATAGGTGATACAAAATTTTCTCAACCAGATCAATGGTTAGCTTATTTACTATTATTAAAATCATCTTTTAAAAATGATTTGGTAAATTTTTCCTTATTTAAATCACCATTCTTAAGCCGTAATTTTGAATTGCTTGTTACTTGACCAGTTGAAGTTTGATTATGATTTGGATAATGATTAGAGCTATTTGATTCTCGTGAACCGGTTCCAGACCGATGTTTAATTTGTCTCTCAGTTAAATTATCATCAATCGATTTATTATTTATATTACTAGATCCTTTGGTCATTGGAGTTGTGATCAATTGTCTTGACCATCCTGTTGATGAGTTACGATCAGCTGGTGAGCCATCATGATAAGCTGATAGTCTATTAATCGCGGATCGATTGAATGCACTGTTAACTGCATAGGTTCCAGATGATGTAAGTGATCTACGGTCAACATCATTAAAGTGGCCATGGATATGAGAGATAACTGGTAAAGGTGGATCATAATTGTCTAGATCACCTGAATCACTGACATAACCATGGTTGACGTGATCTTTACCACTAGGTGGCCATCTGCTGTATAAATGTCTATTTAAATTTGCTCCATTTGAACTTTTGACTAACCCAGACGATAGATTGGTACAAGTTTCACTGGAAGTAACAACCATTTGTTTACTGTTGTCGGGTGATTTATCTTTACCCCATGAACCTTCAGAACAGTCTTCACCAGAAGTACCCAAACCATAGTCTCTATCCCTAACTCCAACCGAAGCCTCTGAACTTGCAGAGCTCTTTGAACCAGCACCAGAATCTTCATCAACAATACCAGAGCCAGGATGTAAATTGCCGGTAATATCTGCTGCACCGGTTAGACTTGGCCGTGGTATGAAAATTGGATTAACAGAAGCTGTAATCTTTTTACCATCAAATGTTTTGTCCGATATTAAAAATGGATGAGGAACTCCAGTCAAGTCCAAACCAGGATAACCTTGTGTCAACGCCGGTGAAGCCGATTTATTTTTAGACTGTGGACGACATAGGTCAGTGAGGGAAAGCAAGACTGGTAAAAGGAGGACACCATGAGTGGCTCCGAAAAGCATTACCAGGAAAACGGTTTTGAAGAAAACAAGGAATACATATGATGGTGCGAAGGCGAGAGCAATAATTCCCAAAATGGTTGAAACACTTCCTTGGAAAATGGGTAAACCCAGTGAGTAAAGTGCTGTACGTACTCTTTCAGCGGCTGTTGGTTCACCACAGGAAATGTATGCATAGGAAATGTGGGCTGAAAAGTCAACCGAAAATCCGATACACATTATCAAGTTAATCATAGAGATTGAGTCAAGATTAACGTTCCAAAGAGTCATGTACCCGATGACGCCGACTTCAATTGAAATGATTGAAAAGGCAACCCAGATTGCACATGATAGTGAGGGAATGAACATCATTGAGATAACCATCATGACAATTGCAGCGACTGTAATTGTTTGTAATGATATTTCTCGGACCAAAATAAACTGATCGAAAAAGATGAACAGCTGATGGAAAATGGTTACGTTGAGTGATGATTGGGACGCCAAGCTTCTTAATGCGATCAACATGTCTTTCTCCATGTTAGCGTCTTTAATATTATGGGTTTGAATCATGAACCTTGAAGCAATTATTTCACTTCCATCTTCATTGAAGACAACATCATTTCGAAAAGCTTCCGTCATCGGAAATTTAAGGAAAACGTCACGAAGTCCACGGTAAAAGTCACCCTTTTCAGATACATTTAGAGCTTGTAGGAACAAGAAACTGTCCTCTTGGTTAAGAAATTCAAGGTACGCGCGAAGCCAGGATTCAGTCATTGAACGATTACCAACATAAGGTGATGATTCAAAAGTGGACAACATTTTTTCAACCTTTTCTTGGTCCCGTGGATCAGCATAGTTTAGCGTATCATTGATAACAACTTGAATACGATATGGATATTCACGGAAAAATCTGTCTTCGTAATCATAAAAGGCAACTGAATAAGAATCATCTCGAGATAATTTACGACGATCCAATCCTTCTTTTAGCTCAGTACAACCATAGATTCCAATGGCAAGATAAATTAGAAAGATGAATATGACCAAACATTTGATAATTGGACGGTTCAAGGCAGCAGCAAGTGTATCACGGAAGAAAAGCATCATTGCATGTTCTTCATTATCTTCTGGGTTATCAGGATCATCTTGATTACGACCACCAGTGCATAAAAGACGAAACAAGAACCCTTTATCCTCTGCAATAATAACAGACAAAAATGTTATTGAGAATTTACAATAAAAAAATATTTGACCAATAATTTTCATCTAATTCTGACTTTAACTTACTTGCTAATGATTTGGGCATCACAGGAATACAAACAAGTCCGTGTAAATTGCGCTTCTCCGCTCGTCCAAAATAAACCATACAAGCTCCGAAAAAGGTTATGTGAAAAACATATGTTGTTAAGCAAGCTACTGCAGTGTAGATACAAAATATCCTAACCTGTGATTTAAAAGATAAATTAATAAATTGTTTTCCTTTTTAAATGACAAATTATTATAATTACCGATGGAAAAGGTGTATAAGTTCCTATCAAGAATGAGATGAAATTGGTTAAAGATGTTATTGTAATTGAAACAGCAGCCTCAGCATAAGTTTCTGCGAGTCGCTCAGCAACAGGCAAATCAGGATTGGTACGTCTCCATGAAGCCAGCAGCACAAAAGCATCGTCCATCCCAACTCCTATGTAAAAGAAAAAAATTAATCAGTTTCACTCAATTTCTTATTTAGATTATCACTTGGCATGTTACTCGGAAAATCACCTCATTTTGATATATTCACTTCTAAATGAGATATAAATCTGATTAAATTATCAATAGTTCTATCTGTTATCCGGAAACCTTTAAACTTAAGCATTTAGATGTTTACATCGCCTTGGATTAGCATAATCGACTTTTATTGATGAAAACTGTAAACAATTGAACCGTCGCTCAGTAAACATTTTTTTGTTGATAAATGTTGTGACCCGAATTGGTTAAATTGTTTATTTTGGTCATTCTAGTTTCCATTAAAATTTCTTAAAGCAAATTTGCTAACCAATTTACCTTCAACAATTTAAGTTAAAACAAAATGTCCATCAATTTCCGTGAACATATACAATCAAATACAACACTTCCTACGAGACACAATTTTCATCGCAATTATGAAACAATAATCTGTAAAAGTATTTTAATCAACTAATCAAACAAAACAAATTTCATTCTTGAATCAACATTCGGAAACATTGAAAGGGAAAACTGAAAACCCAAAATGTTACTCTTTTCTGGTTATGTCTTCAAATTAAACCCTCAATTAGATACAAATAACAGATTACATGAGAAAATTGAATTACAATTAAACAAACAATTTAATGTCCACTTATCCATGCTTATTATACTCAATGGAATGGAGATGGAAGAATCAATTCAATCTCATGTAGTTTTCAATCGATTCAAAGGTTTCTATCATTTAAAACCAATATCAAAACTTGATCCAGACTGTTATATAAAAATACAATTGTTGAATGACCGACAATTTGACACTAATTTATAAATTGATTGTACAGACATTTGTGCCTAAAAAATTGTCTTACAATCAATTGAATTGCTCACAATAAAACAATTAAACTTTTTTTTATTAATACTTTGTTATTGTCATTACAATCATCAAACGATATCCCTTTGGATTCATAATTAACCCAAATTGTCTTAAATGTTACAATTCATTGCCAAACAATTTATTAAGGTGGATAAACAATGAATCGCTTTACAAAATCAAAACATTGACAATGCAGGTTAAAAATTGAAGCAATTAATAATCAACATCATCACCATCAAGCTGATTGATTAAAATTAAATCCAAATAATGCAATTGGAAGCTCAATGAGTTGGAAAATCTTTCTCTAACTCAATTGTTGGTGAAAATATTAAAGTTAATTGATATTTATTATAAACAATATTCAGATAATGTGTATGAATATTTACATGTATTGATATGTCAATTTATCAACAGTTTAATGACTAATGAAATAAGAAACAATTCATGATTTGGAACAAGGTGAGTGAATTGGTGAATAAGCTTTCTCTATTAAAGGTATAATTTCAATGTAAGTCCTGAATAACGTGAATTGAGAGCAACAAGTGAAAACCTTTTCGAGGTAAATTGTAGTTATTTATTACATTTTATTGAGAACCATTCTAATTAAACGTTACGGGTGATCGATTGTGATTTTCAATTGAAAAAGTGACAAACCTTTCTAATGACCTCTTAATTGTAATCACAATAATTTCCATGTGTAAAATAATCAGTCATTTGTGTGTTCATTTCCCATCTTACAGCTGAAAATCATAGGAGTGACACATGAAGACATGAAGCCTTGATTAACCTGATGATTATTGGAATAGCTTTTCAATGTTTATGTGTAATTGATGAATAATCAAAGGATAATTGTAATGTTGTTCACTAATAATGAGTAAAATTAACTAAATAACAATCAAATGAAGAACCAAAGATGAATTAAATTTATTAACATAGATGGCAACACTAAATGGATTTCAAAGTGAAAGCTTTTTTACGTTATAATGATGGTTGATTACAGTTACTCTTTTGCTTGTTTTCATTATTAATAAAGTATTAATTAAATTTAATTTATGATTCGTGTTGATGATAGCTTAAATCAGCGTGCTACTGGATATTACCGGAAGAGCTATCAGCTTTGCAAATCTTAATCGTAAAGTGACCTTCTTTTTTATTTCTTATCATTTTCACATATTCGATCAACTTCCTCAAAAAATTAATAACATGTTTCAATTAACCTTTAAACGTAATCATCACTTTTTTTCTTCTCTTTTTTTTCAATCAGGCATCCCAATACATGGATAATCTGATTGCCATCATCACCAATTAGTCCTAAATATCAATGTTATTGTTGAAAACATGAGACAATTGTTGGACAAGTGCTGCTTTCCCTCAATCATCTTGACTCACCAGTTTTTCCCGCTTATTTGCAGTTGCTCATTATATTTCACTCACAAAAAATGATGCGATTGAACAAATCTAATTGAATGACTAACACACATCAACTCTTGGTAGCTTCGCAAGAAATTTCAAGTAAACTTGCTCAAGTTCATGGTAAAAGTGTTGAAGTCAATTAATGAAGGACGTTCAGTTGGTAACTTGAAACAAAAAAGTCTACTCACTCCACTGCTAATCTGATTTTATAATTCTGGCGATGAAGAGAATTGCAATTCTAGTGATGAGCTTTGGTTACTTAATAATGATTGGTATGAAGAGGATAAATTTAAAATAAACTGTGAAAAACATGAAGATTAACAAATTGGCTGGTTTGAAAGCTTTCAAGGTGATAAGGTTTGCCGACTTTTATTTCTTGGTTGTATCAATCAACACCATGGAAAAAGCGATTAGTTTCCAAAGTGAATTGGTAAAAGGTGTTGGAGAAATTACGTGAAAATCGACTTTTTCGATCACTTGTTGCTGTGACTTAGTTATTTACCATGAACAAAACACTTAACTCGATTCTCGATACAAGCTGGAACCCACTTCTTAGAGTCAATTTTGGTTTTCACAGAATTTTTCATGCTTCAAGTTTCATCACCTTCATCCAAATGCAGCCGAAAAAAAACGTGAAAATGCGTTTCAAACAAATCAACTCAGGAAAATTGAAATGAAACCCTCATAACGAGAAAAAAATCAACCAAATATAACGAAGCTTAAAGGATCAATAACAATATCTACAGTATTTAACCAATATTTTCACATGGATAAAAAACACCATTGTTTACCATTGAAAAGGTTGATTCATCGTTTGTAAATCCTGGTTTAGATTGATATCTGGTTAAGGTACCTGTTTCGAGGTTTGGGTTAAATCTTGGCGTAACAGTTTGGTTGACCAAAAAATTTGATATTGTTGGTCAAACAAAAATGGCAATAGTTTCAGCTTGAACCATTTGAAAGTGAACAAATCCACTTGAGATTGTTGATTGTTAAAAAAACATCCTGAAAGTTAAAGCTGGCTCAAATATCAAGTTTAATGTTGTATTGAATGAATTGAAATTGCAAACAAACAGTATAATGGTCTTAAAGGTAAATCACTTTCAATTTGTTTATGTAATCAACTATTATTTTCTATGCTTACTGATAATAGTATTGTTTTCAATACATCATGTAATACAAACGTTAATGAATGGAAATGATGAAACAATATCACCAGTTCTTGATTCTTTTCAGGTAAATGAATAAGTGTTCGACAGTTGCATGTTTCAACAACAACGATGATGATGGCGATGGTGATGAATCCAAGTAAATTTCAAAGTCGATTTAACCACTTCCGTAATCAATGACAATCACAATTATTCGAGTACAACAAAGAAAAGGTCAAAATAAAACGTTTTGAAGGCCTTTTCCGGATTTTTCAAGTTAGCCAGTTGAAAAGTGAAAAGTAATATCAAGAAGTAAAAGAGACTCAAGAAAGTGATTAACTTTCTTCCTGAAAACTTCCTGACAGTCATCATCATAATCATAATCATCATCATCACATTAAAAAAAGTGAAATTGTAATTTGGTCAATTGTTGGAAAAAAAGAAGAATTAAATTGTGGTCTTTCTGTTTTATTATTCATCATCATTACAACCATATCATCAACATTATTTGACAATCTGGACAATCAGTGCAATGTGTCAACTCTTGAATTGTTACTTTGAATCAACCAATTTAATGATCATCTCGATTAATTTTTCAAGACCAGCAAAAATGTTTCAACTAACGAGTCTGGATTTGATTAAAAAGTGGAAACATCTTCATACAATAAACAACTGAAAGGGAAACCCAAATCTTAATAAATCATTTAACAACCGCAATGATGCTTTTTCAATCTAAATCATGATTTTGATTAACCATTAACCATATTAGCATATTGAATATGCTTTTTTAGGTTTTTGTTCCTGTTCGCTATTTAAATTGCTATTGATCAACTTTAAAATAGTTTACAATTTAACTTTAAATGCAGATTTGTTTATCACTTTCACTGAATCTGAAAATGAACCAGTAACAACATGAATTTTTTTCTGGTGATGAGCAAAATCCCCATTGATTACTAACTGTTAACTTGAATATAAATCTGACAGATTAAGATATTAACGTTAGTTGAAAGTTTACGTGTTTCAGATTCTTGATTGATTTGATTGTTGATCAACTGATCGTGTTTACTATATTAAATTGATTTAGTATTAGTATGTTAAGTGAATTGGAACAGTTATTGATATTTTTAGATCAATTTTGGGTATAAATGATTAATTAACATTTTGTTTATAATCTGTTCACAGATTGACAGAAGTCTAAATGATCAGATTGAATGTTTAGGCTTGAGTTTGTCAGATTGCTACCAAAATCAAGGTTTACATCAAGTCTATCATTAATAGGAATCAATTGGATTAAAATACCAAAGAGCTGTTATTGTTAACCTTGTTTCATTATTACTTTGATTAATGTAAAGGTCAATTATTAATAGATATTGATTGAATGGGTCAGATGGTAACAATGCAAAAAGGCTGTCAAAATGAAACAAAACTGTTTTAGAGGTTGAACGGAAAGATGACCACAAAAGGCTGTTTACGGCTACTAAGTCAGTCTTAATTGGAAAGATTAAACGGCGAAAACAGGATTAACATGGACAAGTGATTAACTGATTGAAACCTCAAAAATTAAAAATATCTTAACCTTATATTATAATATTAAGACGTAAAGTCAATGCAAACAATATTTGGGTTTTAGGTTTAGGTTTAGGTTTTTATTTGGTTTTATATTATGAGAAATATTATTCAAATTGTTGAATGAAAGGGAAAGAGTCGATTAATTAAACTAAATGTAAACGTTAATTAGAGTAGTTTGAATGGTTAAATGGTATTGCAATGAGTTAAACATGAAAAAAGAGGAGACAAGGTTTTTCTGAGAAACAGATTGCCAATTAAATTAATCAGATAATGGTGATACAACTGATTACTGTTTATTAAAATGATGATCATGACTGGTAACAATGACAACGAAAAGCGTGTGACCCGTTAGTGACCTAAAAATCTACTGTTTACGGACAATTTACTCTTGATTTTACAGGAATTTCAGGTGAAGACGATGATGATGATGTTAATATTTGATGCTGTTGTAGCTGATGGTGATGATGATGATGATGATGATCAAGTTCCTGTTTTCAAAGTAAATGTAACTTTCGGAAAAAATGGGAAACAACTTGTTAACCAATAGGACTGGTTGGTCAAGTTACTTATTTTGTTTGTAAAATGTTTTCTGGTTACAAACCCAAAAAAATGGATTCACTTTTAACCGGAAAAGTATTGAAGATGCTCATGGGTTTCACGCAATTTTAATGTTAACCAACATTTTCATATTTGATTACAATTAATATGATTAGTTAAATTGTTAACATGATATAATGTTTACTTGTTGTTAACTCTCTTTGTATTAACCATTACTTGACAAGTTAACACACAAGCTTTTGGGTTACATTTTTGGGTTTACATTTTTGCTTGGTCTATGATTATAATTATCATTTACCGGTTAACCATTTTACTCAATCAAACAGCTCATTAAGTAAACAAGGTTATACCGGAACTTAATATAAATAATAATAAAAATAATTTAAGTTAATTCAAGTCTTTAAGCTTTTATCTTCCCACTTGGGTTTGTATGTTAACTGGAATAACCTTTTTGTAGCTGCACTTTCACCGCCATTGAATTGAATAAATATTAAGCAACCATTGATAACCTGATATCACCTGATATCACGATGTCCATTATAAATGTGATTCATATTTTACTGTAAATTCATGGATAAGATGGTGAACATGAGTCACAAAATAATAAGCCTAATAAGCAATTGAATCAAGCATAATAATAGGAATGGAAATTATTTTACATTTAAATTTCAATTTTGCAAAAATTCAATTCAATGATATTGTATTGAAATGCCTCAACATGTAACTACGCTTGTTGCCTGACTCCAGCTATGAATATAATCTTACAACCGTCAACAATCAACTGATGAAACTTTCCTTTATGGTTAATCATTTGATGAAGTGTGATTGAAAAGTTAAATAATACAAATGATAATAATAAAATACAATAAACTTACAACATTACAAACAAATAGAAAAGAGAAAGAAGCAAAAAAGCAAAATAAAACAAAAATTAAGCGAAACTTGTCAACCCTTTAACCTACAATCTTATAAAAATCGCGACAATCGTAAATCTTGAGACATTTGATTGTAAAAAAAATTACATTTTAATGTCAAGTGGTAAGGTAAAAAAAGGTACAAAAACACACTCACACACACAAAGCAAGTGTTAATAACATTGGAAAAGAGATGTTCAGAAAATCAACAAAACAAAGGTCATAATCATTCAGGGTTACAATTAAATCTATCCCGGATGATCTCAGGCTGAGTCAATTAAACACACCATGAATCCTGTCTTTGGACGGAGGACATGAACATGCCTGAACGAGCAACAAACAAACTCTCTGGTTAAGGCTTTCAAGGTTGACAAGTGAAACCCATTTTGTACCCATTTTTAAGGACTAATTTTAGGTTAACAAAATATCTGTGTTTACTTGAGAGTGCAACAATTAACTGGATTGTTTTTGCTCTTGAAACGACTCTTGACTTGAAACAAGATAATCTTTTAATATTCAAAATTACACTTCACTGAGATTCAGTGAAATTCAGTGAAAGGCTTTTCTAAATCAGTGAGATTCCTGTAAATACCAGCTTTACCAGCTTTGGGTACAAGTGAAGCAATTAGGTTGAACACTTGAAATGGTTTCACTATTTTTTGATTTACCATTTCGATTACAATAATCAAATTGTAATCTCTTAAATTGACGGATTTGTATCAGCTGATGAGATGATTTATCAATTTTTCAATTGAATCTCATTCCTGTTATGGGTTAAGAAAATTTTAAAAGCGCAATTTAAATGTTAAACAAATCAAGCAGAACAGTTAACTTCCGCAGTTAATTGAGAAGAGAATGAAAAAAATTAAATTTAAATATTTTCTGTTTACTGTTAAACAATAATCATTAGGATAAACATTAATTGTCACAATTTGTACTCATTATTAATTTAGCCTCTTAAGATGAAACAACCTGAGATGATTGGGTTAATGTTGACTGGTTTAGTTCAACATTTGTGTTAATTACAATACATTTTGCTCTCTGCTTCTTTCAACAATTGTAATGATCTTTAAATTGTTACATTAATTTCTCGGTGAATGTTAATGGTTCCATTGTTGCTCTTTTTAATCATTAAATTGTTAACATTTTTCACTGAAGATCAATGCCACAATTGATTCAATTGTCAAGTATTTATGATATTTTTTCAAGCTTTGTAACCCCAAACAAATGGATTTATTTTTGTGATGAGAAATTTATTCATCAGTTTCAACATTTTCACCAGCTTCATTGGATTCATGAGGTTGATCAATTGACGTAATGAAGACAAGAAACTGAGCAAAAAATTCAGTCCAACGTTTCCTCATCTCTCATGACCTTACCTTGACAATTGATCAATGATTTGCTTTTGGGTTTCATAAAATTGTTGATGAAAAAAAGGGTTTCAATTGGTTGTGATTCTTAATTATTTCACCTTTTCTTCATCAACTTCAATTAACTGTATCTGAGAATGATTAACTTGGAAATTGTCACAGATTGAATTGTGTCAAAAAAGAGGGTAAATTGTTGGAAAATAATTGTAAACCAAATGAATGGCAAGAGAAACAAATAAACAACAAAAAAGCTAAACACTAATAGACAAAGTTGATTGAAATTACCAACAAAATCAATTTATGTAAATCTAATTCTTCCCATTACACATTCAAATGTAATCAATTGGTTGGAAGAGGTCAATCATAGCAATCAAAGACAATTGTTACAACTGCAAGATTTTAAACAACCATTCAACTCGGAAAGGTTTAAAGCAATTGATGAGTTTAGGTGAAAAATGAGGAAAAATATTTGCATTAATCGAGTTAATTACAAGTTATTACAATATTTTACAAAAGGCAAAAATTCATCAAAATTTTCACCTTTTCTCACCAAAATGCCAATTATTGTTTCATGATTGGCAATGAAGGACATTAATTTTCTAGGTGTTGCTTGTAAAACTCAGTCAATGATCAAATGTCAAGACTATAAGACTTGAAGATTAACAATGTCAATGCCATTTAGAATGGTGAATCAATTTGCGAATTGGACATTTGTCGATTGTAAATTGATTATGAAGTGATAGTCGATTGAGGCGAGTTAATTTTAAAAGATGTTAGTCTTACCCAGCATTAGGAAAGGAGCAGCTAAATTGATTCCAATCATGTCAACACCTATGTATGAGCAAAGACCAAAGGCACCTAGAACACCGATTCCAGCTGAAACGCAACCCAAAAGTCCTAACCATGGCTTGGATCGAACCCAATCAGCCATCATGCAGGTTCCAACGGAAAAGATTAGCATAATGATTACCGTAACGGAGAAGAAAGGAACCAAACTTTGGGTGTTTGATTCGAGTTCGTTTTTAAGAGTGGTTGATACAAATCGGGCGACTTCAATGTGCTTGAAGGACATCTTTTGAACTTCGGCGAGAAAAGCTTCTTCCCAGATTGCTGCTTTAGCGTCTCCGTGTTTTTGACTAATGTCAAGCCAGTACATCATACTGATTGCTTTAGCATTCTCGATGAGATCATTTGAATCTCGAGTTACACCGCCGAGGTAAGCGGGGAAAAAGTAGGCCTTGTAGATGTCGGCGTTGATCCATAATGGGTATTTGAGGGAAAATTTGTGGCTTTCAATGTCTTCGATTCGAGAGACAAAGTCTAGTATGTCATTTTCAAAGCATTTACCTTCACTTCGGGCACACAGGGTTTCATAGGAATAGGGTTCATCGTCAAATTTAATGGTTATGTTTTTAATTGCTTTATCAAGTTGAACGATATCATCGAAAATGGTCTTCCTTAAAACATTTCCTTCATTCTTGGCGATTGCGATTATCCGACCAAATCGACCTTTATGGGTCATTCGGCCCAGATTGAAATTGTGACTATAATTCATGGGGAAAAAATTGTCTATAACTGTTCTTTCGTGTTTAGATTCACCATCGGTTGGACTGAAAAGATATTCTGGATCATCTTCATAACGCATCTTCTGTAATCCAGTTGTGAATATGATTGATATCAATAAAGGCACGATAATATAATAACCTGGATTATGACCGATGTTGCGGCCAATGTGAGTAAACATTCTAGACAAGGTATGGTCGAGACAAGACATGATGATGGATTGATCTCAGGTGAAAGTGTTGAATTTTGTCCTTTTTTTATCGATCAATAGAAACAATTTATTCCGTTTGGTTTAAAACAAAAAAACCAGCGATGATGATTCGTCCTTAGTTAAGCTCGATTATCAATCTGTTAATCAACTGGTTAAATTGGGATTCGCTAAAGTTGGACACTTTACTGGTTAAACAATAGCCGCACATATTAAAAATATTAAATACTAGTGGAGATAGCTGAGGGAAAAAAGCCAGAAGATGAATGGACGTGAATGAAATCCAATGAATTGGCACTTGGTTAAACTATTAGACAAGTATTGACTCGAAAGTCAACAAAATAAATTAACAGATAAAAGTTTAAAACAAAATTAACGGACAATCCAAGTTATAAGATGATACAAGTTGATGAACCAGATACTCAAAAAAGTAGCCAAATACAGTTGATGATCATCATTAGCTTCTTGGGATATCCACAAACTATAACAATTGTAACTAAACTAAATTACAATCAACAGTTAGTCGAGTGATGATCGAGAGAGGGAGAGAGAGAGAAAAGAGAAAGTGAAAAGTGAAATGAAAATCAGCGCCACTTCAGTAACCTCATTGATTCAAGTTGAATTGTTCAGTAACCTCCCTGATAACTGAACCTGGCCTTAACCAAAGAGTAAGATAAGAAGTTGAATGGAGCAGGTAAAGATGGAGTTAGTAGTAAGACGAATGATTAATAAATTGTAAACAATGATTCAATCACAATCAGCTATTAGTTTTGAGCAAGAATTAAAATACTTCGTCAATGGTTCCATCAATCAGTTGAATTTTTCATAAATTTGTGTGTTTTATCGGTGAAAAGGGTTGGATCAAGAGCATATGCTTAATGTTTTTGCGGTTCATTGAGTTAATAATTTGAGAAAAAATTAACTGAAACAAATGAGTGTAAATCAAATGAAAAAATGTCACCCAGTCAAGTAGGACACGACAGAAGTGTGTGTGGTTGAGATAACTGTCATTTAAGAGGCCAACATTATGTGAATATTTGCCCACCTTCGTATAAAAATGTAGCCTTTGTAAATGACATAAACGAACGCACTACGAAAATTAGTCTTGCACCTTCAAGTTAAAGGCTTTAACTCATACCTTGCTTAACAAATCCCTAAACCACTGCATTGTTAACTGATTATTTAACAACTTAAATGACCGATCATCTAACATCAAACCAACAGACATCTACTTTTTAAGTAAACATCTATGATTTTCTAAATTTAATTCATCCACAGGGTCTAGTATTTATTAACTTCTTATCATCATGATATTATCATGGCTATTTCTCGACATTCACTTTACGAGTTTATTTGTAAAGTTAAATTGGTTTTTAATTAAGTTACTCAGACAAAGATACATAAGGGATGCTTTTTGCGCATTCCCGTTGATGAGAGTTTTTACAATGTTATCTGGTTAAAGTAGGATTGCTTGTGTCGCCATCGCGTTTTCCTCCTTATCACTAAAGATAAAACTGAACTTTTAGCCTTTTTAATCGTTAATAACAGAGATGGGCGATTGTCGATCACAGGGATGATCGATCTTTCTAAAGCATCAATAAATATCGAAACTTAAACTTGGGTTTTTGAGAACACTTTACTAAATACTCGATGGGATATGGACATTTAGTGCACGGAAAGACTTTTTTGCAAGTGAATGGATCGCGAATGCTTGTTGGTATTTATGATTATATGATAAGGTGACTAGAATGGTTTTGACGATTTGCGTTTAGAACCGCTTGAAATTAGGAGATGAATTGAATTATCTGGAAATATAAGGTGCGACCTAAAAAGTTTGCAACCAAACGGTTTTTTAGTCATAGCTCCTCTTAAACTAGACACTTTGGCAACATTTTTATATTACCGGATTAGTGGAAGTATAAGGAACATTTTGATATATTTTTTGTATGTATTGATTCAGTATCAAATCAGAAAATGGACCTTAAACATTTGATAAACGGAGATCGATTTTTTGACTAGTCTCTGCCTTTCTTTGTATCAGTGTGGTGAAACTCTGATGGCCTTAGAAATTTCAGAATTGAGTGTTTATCTGGCAAACAAAAGACTCAGGAACGATGAAGGAATAACAAATTATGAAAATTCTGCTCGAAAGGCCAAAAAAATGAATTCGAAAAATTTGGCGCGTTTTTCAAAATTGCCGACGACTTAACTCGATTTCAGTGGACTTTAGCCTGAAAATTTTATATGAGTCTGTCTAATTGACAATATTTATCGAAAAAGAACAACATAAAAGCATTCAAATAACGGTATAAGCCCAAATCAACGTACGAACAATAAGAGAGGTTGCAAACTTTTTAGGTCGCACCTTATTCCGTCCTTAAAACATGAGAATTAACGCATAGAATGATCTGAATGAACAGAATCATCAGCAGAAACTTGAAGAAATTTGAAAAGGCTGGAAGTTAAGTTAGTTAGCTTTTAAGGTTCCATCATTGATAAAAAGCAATATAATAAGATTTGCTTTCTCAATCGGCATTGCTCTCCTGATTGATGGACACAGCTTAACTCCATAATCCAAGTCAAACTCTATCGATGACCTGCCATTTCCTTGTATACCAAGCTTGATATATCAAGGTAAATACTCTTCATTATATCTTCATTTCTGACAATTTTTCGTCTTTCTAGATATTTTTGAATGAAGTTCAATAATTTGATTACAAGGAAAATTTCAAGTCCAAAATCCTTGAAGGAAATCAATACTAAATAACAAACGAGGCAAATGAAGATCAAAATTTTCTTTACCATCAGCATAAGCTTAAGTTTCGTCATTTCAAATTATCCAACAATTAAGTAGATACATTAAAAAATGACATTAATCAATAGTTGCTGCGTTTAAGCAATTCATATTGAAGAAAAATTCAAATTTTTCTCAACTATTTTCCAATAATCTGTGATCATTAACACTGAAAAATGCCCGTTTTATTTGATAATTTAGTCTTCGACTGGTGGGATCAAGATGAATGGATTAAATGGCATAAAGACAATTGGACTATCAGTATATTAATCACTGCCACTTACTTGCTTATCACCGGTGGAATCCGTCAATGGATGGTCAATCGTAAACCCTTCAACCTTAAAGTACCATTAATTGTTTGGAATACATCATTGGCCATTTTCTCAACAATCGGTGCCTTACAATCGTGTTATAATGCATTCTGGGCAATTAAGGATAAAGGATTAATCAATGGACTTTGTGACAACTCGTTTATGCAAGAGAAAGCTGCTCTATTTTGCGGTTGGCTATTTGCTTGGTCTAAAGTCTTTGAACTTGGAGACACTTTGTTTTTAGCACTTCGTCGTAAACCTTTAACCTTGCTTCATGTTTACCATCATTCAATTACATTGATAGTTTGCTTCTACCTTTACCCTACGGAAACGGCCATTTGTCGTTGGACGGCAACATTAAACTTCACTGTTCACAGTTTCATGTATTTATATTTCGCCATCACTGCTTGTGGTTATCGGATTCCATCGGCTTTTGCCAAAGCTTTGACTATCGCCCAGCTCGGTCAAATGATCGCAGGTATACTCATCTGTATTGTCCATATCACCATGATTTCCGCTGGGTTGCCATGCCATGGGAAAATTGACCTGTCCTTAATCACCATTGGTGTTTACTTCAGTTATGCCATTTTATTTGCTCACTTGTATGTTCAAAAATATTCAAACAAATCTCGAAAGTCTCAATGAGTTTCAAGTTTTAAATATTCATAAATTTATATCTTACATTTTTGTTGATTCAATAAACTTACCTTAACAATCCAAATACGACTGCTAATTATTGATGTTAAGCTAATAAAATAAGAAAATGAAACAAGATTTCAAATGTTAGAGGAAAAACATTGATCGAGTAACGATCCATTGATGTTTACTCGCGCATAGTTAACTTGTGACGGGTAGAAACACCTCCAATTTACTATCCAGGTCTTTGATCAGCGAAAAAGGTTTGGCTAGTTTATAATTAGTTTCAATTAAGTTGTGCGTTAAGTAAATTTGTTCAGCGTGAAAAACGCAAATTTTGCAAATTGTTCGACTTTTGAAGTTAAATCAAGATTTTGAACTGTAGTTTAAGATAATAAAGCGGATGGATCATTTTTGTACAGTGACTAGTCTTTATTTCTCGCAAAAGGCTGAAAAATTTGCAAAGATTTCGATTTTTGCACTGAATAAATTTCTTCTTCAAAAATTTTGATCTTTACGCACAACTTATTATAAATTATAAATTAGCTAAGCCTTTGCCCTGATCAAACAAGACCTGGATAGTAACTCAAAAGTGTTTTTATCCTTCACAATTTAAGTTAACTATGCGAGGGTAACCGTCGATGGATCGCTCTAGTAATGGCATAAACTGATGCTGTTTAAATGTTAATACTTTATTCAACTTGCTAAGTTACAGAGGATTTTTATCGAGTATTTATATGTGACTTGACTTTATCTTTAATAAGATTATTCAGATAATTCAACAAATTAATAATTTCTGAATCAAATAACTATGTACTATGAAGGTGATACGATTGCTACGCAAGAAAGCACAAACCAAAAGACTTAAATCCATAATGACGTTCAGGTTTTAACTAAAAAGATATTAAAATGGGTATTAAACACGAATCTTTTGGGTGCAATAAGAGTGAACTCAATCAACGAGGAAAAGAAGAAATGATTAAAATTTTAATTTACGATTAAATACGATGAAACAATGGATTCCAAAAAACTTGGATCCATTGTAAAGGTCCATCCGAAACAGTAAAGTTGCCAATAAGTCTAATTTGTTTTGTAACAACAACGATCTCCAATTTTCTGATAGTAATGTTAACAAAATCAAATTCATCCGAGTTATGGGACTCATCGTCCTGGATCGCCTGGCATTCATCAAATTGGTTATCGGTTTTACCCTTTATACCACTTTATTTGCTTTCTTTGAAAATTGGTGTAAAATTCATGACCAAACGGCCAGCCTTTCAACTTGACTCAGTTTTGGCTTATTACAATGCCTTTTTAGCTCTGTTTTCACTCATAGGTGCTTGGATCACCGGCGCTGAAATGATCAATGTTTTGATTAGCAAAGGTTATCACGATTCGGTTTGCCATAATAGTTATGTTTTGGATGAACGCGTTCAGTTTTGGAACTGGCTATGGACCTGGTCAAAGCTGCTTGAGTTTTGTGATACAATGTTTATAATACTTCGCAAGAGGCCTTTGACATTTCTTCATGTTTACCATCATTCGTTGACTGCCTTTTGTGCCTTCTACTTTTGGCATACAGGATTACCCATGAATCGATGGACAATCACGATGAACTTTATTGTTCACAGTTTAATGTATACCTATTTCAGTGTTCATGCCATGGGTTATTCAATTCCTCAATATATTCCCATTATGGTGACTACTCTTCAAATATCGCAAATGGTTGCTGGTTGTGGTGCTTGTTCATACGCTCTCTACTCTAAAGTTTTCAATCATTCTTGTAAATTGTACCATGGTCAACATATTGCCATTTGTCAACTAACTTATATATCTTATGCCATTTTGTTTGCAAAGATATTTCATAGCAAATATCTGGTCAAGCGAAAATCTCGAGTCAAGATTCAATAAGGTTCCTCATTGTAAAGTTTAATTACCTGTTGCTTGTTTCATTTTAATTTCAATAAATTGTACTGTTTTAAGGATTGTTAACCGAATGTTTCAATTCGAAAAAATAATTGGTCGATGGTTTACTTGATCTGTCAGATTTCAAACTTAGATGCTCGAAAAATCGGCCCTTGAGTCAATAAAAATAGGCAATTCAAATCATCTAATAGGCTAAGTTAAGGATTGTTAGTGAAAAGACACAATAAACACAATTATCACAGTTTATGCACAAACTGACACAAGACTGAAAGACAAACGGACAAAAACGGGTGAAAATTGATTTCTTTCGTATTCAGGACTCTGTTAGTTTATTTCCCCATGAAAACTAAATCTATTGGTGCCATTATAAAGTTTCTCTGATGAACAGTTGTCGAGAAAATCGACTCCGAAGTTGAAACTTCGATCGTCTTTTGCACAGTTGTGTCACTAGATTTTTGTATGAAATTTATTTTGCTGATGTAACTTTTTATGGTTAAAGCCAAAACGGGCTTACTTAGAGAAATAAAACTTTTACTTTTCTTTAAAATGGATAAGTTCGATTTTTAGTTAAACTGACCGCATTCTGTGACTATGAGAGTAAGCGAGCTGAAACTTGCAATTTATCGATGAAAGTTGTTGTTAGACATTTTGGATTAAATATTTTCAACAATTTAAAAACAGTTCTCTTGATTTTGGTCATTGGTCTGCAAACTTTGCGACTCAATAATTCGAGAATGACATCATCTAAAATCACCATTCTTTTGCCAATTTAATGCTTTATTAATTAACAATTCAAATCAATTTGCTAACTTTCTGTTAGCGTGTTCTGGTTCTAATTTTTGGGTTGTAAATGCACAAGTAACAGCTTATTTAACAAAATAAACTCATCTCAACCCATTTCTTGGTTAATAAACCAATTTTCTGGTTAAACTTGAAACTTGTAATGCAAAAAGTATCGCCAAAGGCTCAAACAGTTGAGTAAAGAGTTGAGACTTGGTGGGTTTTGTAGGGAAATAAAAACTGAATCCATTCGGTTGGTTTAAAAATTTCTCTGATCAACAGTTTTCGAGAAAGTCAAGGTCAAAGTTGAAACTTCGATCGAACTTTGTGCAGCTATGGAAGCAGATATTTTCATACAACTCATTTTAACAATGTAGCTTTTGGTGGCTAACCAAAAAAAGCACTTATTTTGAGAAATAAAACTTTTCATTTTCTTTAAAACAGCTAAGTTCGATTTTTATCTAAACCGATCGCATTCTGTGACCAAAAGAGTTAGCAAGCTGAAACTTATGATTTTTCCATAAAAATTGTTGGTTAACATCATGAATTATATACTTTAAACAATTTAAGAACAGTTCTCTTGATTTTGGCCATTTTTCTAAAAACTTTGAGCCTCAATATATCGAGAATGATGGTATGTACAATGATCATTCGTTGACCAAACATTAGATTGCATAATGAGCAATAATATTGACAAAAATTAAATTATTCAAGGCGCTACAATAAAAGTTATAGGATTGTATTACTTATGTTGACAGATCCTAGACTTTATTTATTAAGTTGAATGGTTGCCAAACACAAATCTTAGCAGTTAGAAGGATCTTCATTATTAAATAAACAAGTTCAGATTTTATTGAGTATTAAATTAGATATTGTTATAGCCCATAATAAAATATAATGTTTAGTGAAAGAATGACGATTGCAGATGATGCTATTCCCAAAATATTTAGGCTCAAAGTTTTGGGGCCAATGGCCGAAATCAAGAGAACTGTTGATAAATGGTTGAAAATATTCGATTGGTGATGTCTACGATCAATTTCTATGGGTAAATGATAAGTTTCAGCTCACTAACTCTTAAGGTTACAAAATGAGGCCGGTTTTACTTAAAATCGAACTTGATCTGTTTTACGAAAACAGAAAATGTTATTCCTCGAAATAGCACCATTTTCTGGTTGATCATCATAAGTTACATCAGTTAAATGAGTTTTACGAAACAAATTTGCTTCCATAGCTGCACAAAAGACGTTCGAAGTTTCAACTTTGACATCGATTTTTTCGAAAACTATTCATCGGATGCATTATTCGATAGAATTAATGGATTTGGTTTTTAAATCTCTACAAAACCCGCTAATGCTCAACTCTTTAACCAAATGTTTGAGCCTTTGGCGATACTTTTTGCATCACAAGTTTCAAGTTTAACCAGAAAATTGGTTTGTGCACCAAGATATACGTTTATATGAGTTTGTTTTGTTAAATAAGCTGTTGCTCTTGCATTTAAGGCCCAAATATCATAATCCAAATGCGCTAATGGAAATTTTTTAGATTGAGGCGAATTATTTATTAGTGGAGCATTGAATTGGTGAAAGCATGGTGATAATAGATGATGCCATTCTCGGAATATCGAGTCTCAAAGTTTCAAGACCAATGGCCAAAATCAAGAGAACTGTTGATTAATGAAAAAAAGTATTGCATCCATGATGTGAACCAACAATTTTTATGGATAAATCATAAGTTTCAGCTCGCTAACTCTTATGGTCATAGAATGCGGTCGGTTTAGAAAAAAATCGAACTTAGCTGTTTTAAAGAAAATGAAAAGTTTTATTTATCAAAATAAGTGCATTATTCAGTTAATCATAAAAAGTTACATTAGCAAAATAAATTTCATGCAAGAATCTCGTCGCACAACGGTACAAAAGGCGATCGAAGTTTAAACTATTCACTCGATTTCCGCGAAAACTAAGCCGGCCTCATTCAATGACCATAAGAGTCAGGGAGCTGAAACTTATGAATTTTCCATAAAAATTGTTGGTTCACATCATGGATTATATACTTTAAACAATTTAAGAACAGTTCTCTTGATTTTGGCCATTGGCATTCTAACTTTGAAAGTAAGTTGCATATGACATAAGTAAGCAGATCTGGTTTATCAGATGATCTTTGAAATTCAATTGCTTCATCTATTATTCTGATTCAAACTAGAGATCAAGTATTATAAATCTAATTAAAAATTTGCAAACCATGTGTTTGATGGTGAAAAGACAAACAGATCTTCCTTTGTCTATTCATCAGCATCATAGAGTTTCAATTCAAAAGAACAATCGATCAATGGTTTACTTGATCTGATTAAGTTTTATATTTAGATGCTGTGAAAATCACACCTCTTACATCAATAAAAATAGGGCATTTCAAATCACCTCCTAAACCAAGTTAAGTAAAAATTTATTGAATTCATAATCAAACTCTACATGTGATTCTGGTCTAAACAATTCATTGAAACCTTAACAAATCAAAATTTATCAGAATAGGTCAATTGGCTTATTTTAGCATCATTTGTTACTTAATTGTGAAGTTCAAAGTGAACCAGGCCAGAGTATTGACTCAGCAGGATAATTGTGTTTTATCGAGATTGCATGATAAGTTTCATTCGAAGAAATATTAATACAAGTTTGGCTAAAATTGAACGAAATTTGTCAATTGTTTTCATTTTGCTTGACTTGTCAAGTCATTAGAATGATGGATATAAATTGATTATTCTTGGCTCATTTAATGGTCACCAATTATGAGTTGGGTTCAAATATGCAATCATTAGACTGGATGAAATAAATGAATCAGATAAAAGTTAACAACAAGAATATGTTTAATAAAAACTTGAATCTTTCGATTCAACATTCAAAACATTGAATGTAAAGTTATAAATTAAGGTGGGATGTGAGACAATTAAGAGACCAAAGAGGATGATGATAAAAAATAATATTAAATATGATTATGATTTATCAAGACCAGTTTAACAAGTTATAATCGTTTATCGCCAAAGATCAATCTTGATTAATTTTGTTTATTATTCTCGGAAGTTCTTGGCATCAGAATGTCAAACAACTTTTGTGGCTTATCTTTGATAAAACTTGTTAAAAGTGAAACAGTTGAGTTTATAGTTGTTCCGTTTTGTTCACAGACAGTTCCATTGCAGGCTCCAGGGGAATTAGAATTTTTGTTATTTACAAAAGCAGCATTTTTATTCGCTTCTTCAATAAATTCTACCTTTTCATCACTAACTGATGTTGAAGATAATTTGCTTGCCTTCGAGGAAGCAGCTTTACTTGCAACAGAGTTCAATGGATTCAACTGTTTTTGACCTTTTAACGGATACTGGCTTCCTCCAACCTCCATTCCTGTTCGCCGGTGGATATAACCTGCTGGTGGACGGACTGCAACTGGATGAATATCAGATGCTGATGCTAAAGATCCAGGAACGATCGGGCGATTTGGTAAATGAGATTGATGATGAGCTATAGGTTGAGATGACCGGCTTGGAGGAGGCCATACTGGATGTTCAGGTGGGAAACGACCAACTGGTGGATCAGGAAGAGGTGGGACTGGAAGAGGTGAAATTGGTGATTCATAGAAGGCTAACATGACGATCGCACCAACTGCAAGGGATCCCATATACATTAATGCAGTAAATGGTGTACTGATTGATCCTCGAAGAGAAGAGAAAGCTAAGAAAAAGTATTAGGAAAATAATATAAATAATTAGTCTGATGATTTTATAAATGCAATACTTTCAATCTTTCAATGTCTAAAGATTTCAAACTGAAATTAAAACTCTTGAATAAATTTAACACTCACTCCGAGCAAGATCGACACTTCGTGCCCTGAAGATGAAATCCTTGATCCCTTGAATTGAAAATGTAGAAGCCGATACGGCTGTATCATTAGCTTTCGATGATACATCTACTATTGAAAGTGACTGTGGAGTAGATGTTTGTGTAGATGTTGATGAGGATAAGGATGAAGATGAAGATGATGTCGATGACACAAACAAAACATTACTTTGGTTTAAGAGAATCACAGAAATCCAAAAACAAGATATTCTTTTTATTGTCCACAACATTGTGATGAGTTAACCACTCAAACCAATGTTGATCCTCAAATAAGTTGATAATTCAGCAAAATGGTGAAGGATTGAAACAGTTCTAAAGGAACGAAATTAAAAAATAAAAAGATTGAATGAATGGATGAACGAATGAAAAGTGAGGTAATGATAGCAAAGAAGAAGATATAAATATAAAGGTTGATCTTTTCACTTACTGTTGACGGTAGACAATTACAATGATTGAAGAAGAAACGAATAAGGATTGAATTAAATGGTTTGTTGGTCCACAATCAAAAAAGCATTACTAACAAATCATCACTGTGAATCAGGTATATTTAGGAGAGGGCCAACTAGTTGATCAGCTCTCTCACCATTGCTCTCTCTCACTAATAACCCACCTTAGAAGCAACTTCACCGTTATAACTAACTTGATTCCGGTCTTCACTTGGGCTAAATTTGATTCAGATGGACTTGACCTGGCCTCTTCCCTGCTAAATTCAAGTCACCAGGATTTTTTCTTTATCTTTCTTTTTTATCACCTTCCTTTCATGACTATCATCATTTTCTCTCTTTCCTTTTCCAGGTCCGTTGAAGCATCCAAAGCAAAAAAGGTAGCAGCAATATAATGCTCATTACCTTGTCATTAGTGATGATGATCATCATCTTTTATCTCTCCTTTTCCCAGTCTAGTCTCCAATTATCTAAGGCCGTGAATGAAACGATACGACATAGAATGAATAAAAAACAAGATTCAAATAAGAGGATCTTTTCCATAACAGGAATGATGATTATGTTGATAATGATGGTAATGAAGATGAGAATCAATGGTGTTCCTTGGTGACCGGTACCAATGAAATGGTGAATACATGTAAAAGAAGCACAATTATCAGTTTTGGTTTCACAACTTTTTAAAATTCTCTTTCAAATAACATTTTTGTTAATCAATATTTTATATTTTTCCATGTTTACCAAGTTTGCATCAAAAAAATGTAATAACAAAATAACTTACCTTTCTTCCTCTTCCTTACATGTTTAGGTTACCATGAAAATTATAACTGGATGATGTAAGATTATGGTTAAAGTTCAACCGTTATTCTTATCACTTTATCTAATTAAACTAATTTTTAACCGAAAAATGAAGCTACCATTTTAACCAGAATAAAAAAATGGCTTCTTCTTTGTTTACTTTTAATATTTTCCCTCTTAAACCTTTTGTCTCACAATAAACTCATTACTCATCAGGCTTGAGGAAAATTTTTATTCAAAGATTATAATCTTACACTTTTTTTGTAAACTAGAAAATGAAGAAATTAGAAAAATCAGTTTATTTTTCCCTTCTAAATATGATTTTGGAACTAAGTAACTCGTTCTATTATATTTCAGAGTTTATTACATTGTGTGTCTTTTGTGCCTTGTTTTGTGATTGTGATCAGATGAAAGTATTTTCAATAAGATTCATCACTTATTGGAAAATATCAAATAATGCTAATTGTTTTTGCAGGCTTGCCAAAAGGTTTGGATTAATGAGAATATAATCAAGTCTAAATTAAGAAAACCAATTTCAATTGTTATCTCACCCATTTCATCCTTCGAAGTCAACATACACTAAATACGTAAGCTTGGTTGATCATTTGCAACATTCCCGTATCCTGATTTGAATCAAACGGACTAAAAGTATTAAATTAATTTTCCTCTCAGCTTGCATCTCGATTATTTCGATTCATCAAAAGTCATCATTTTTCTCATTTAACTCAACCTTATGATTTTATATTTAATAATTGGACACTTGAAATTAATTCGTATTTCTGCTTAATCCCGATTATATTCGTGTTTGTTATTTCATTCATAACAATGACCATTAAAGGAGGCAAAATTTAAAATAATAAATACTTTAGAGTCAATTATTTATGTTTACATATCAACTAAGTTGGCGCATTTGAATAAAGTGTTAGTCAATGTGTTGGTGAGAAGCTAAATGTTTCAAATCTTAACGTCATTTCACAAAAAAATGGATCCATCGAAAGAATGAAATTGCTTGAAAGGATTTATTGTTCGAATGCTATTTAACACTGATCAGTGAAGTTAAATCAATGATTGAGGTCAACTATTCAAGATCACTAAATGATCTTGATTGTAACTGAATTTTGAGCTTGATCTAGCCTTTTCTTTGACTCGTACTTTCAACTGAACAATTGACCAATAAATATTTTCACACCAAATTTTAATCTCTGAAAGATTTACCCTTTGAAGAAACGTTTTCCTTTCTTACCAACTTCTGACTCCTTCTTTCTCTCTTTTCTCTGTCTCTCTTTCTTCCCTTTTTCTTGATCTTTCTTGTTGTCTTTCTTTTTTCTTTCTTTTTCAATACCTTGCTGAGTAATCAGGTTTTTTTTCTGTTGATGGAAAAGTGGATCAACCAGAAGTAAGTGCAGATTAACCATCCAAGAGGAACAAAGTCTTTTTAAGGTCACCCAGAACCGGTCGTCGTCAATAGCTGCCTGTCTTTTTTGCCTGTCTATAATTCATTCTCAGCCTCAATAATATCATCAACATCATCATCTTGGTTGATTAAATTGTTTCAATCAAATACCTTTTACCCAATATCAACTCCCCGTGACCAAAACCCAGTACTAAATAGTGTTGTGTTTTCATGTTTTGTTTACAAGTTTCTAGCTTTCACAAGTCACTGACATCCAACTGGTGACATTTTATTTAATCAAGTGGACTCATCTCTAACTCTTACTCTCAATTTTAAATCTATTGTTTTAATTGACCCCTTTTATTTCAAGTTTTGTAACTCTATTACCCTTGTGTGCCAACATAATTCACCTATTTTTAAATAACAAAAGTCAAATATGGTCAGACAAGCTTTAGTGTGATAGCCATGCCAATCGATAGCAATGTTAATTGTTTTCCTAGTGTTCGCTACAATATCTGCCTCAGGTAAGTTCCATTTTACCCTGACTTGCTTGCTCTAATTGTGTTTGTGCTTTTACTCTTTCAGTTATCACCGCAGAGGATTATCAAGGTTTATTCCTGGGGAAACTGAATACTTATGCTCATCAAGTTTCTGGTGATGTCTATGCTGTTGATGAGTACACAATTTTGATTAAAAGTTTTTTCTATGATGGCTTAAGTGCAGGTAAGAACAAGTTAATTAATCACTGTCTTTGCCATAACAATTGGAAGGTGCTTTCTTTTTGGGCGATACGCATTGAGAAAAGTGTATTGTTGGCTCAATCATCAATTGTATTTACCAATTAAGTCATGAATACAATCTTCATCAGGACAAGGTTACCAAGAAATTGACTTGTTATCATGTCATCAACTAACGCCTTTGCCCAATAAGCTTTCCAATTGAAAGTTATTCTTATTCTTCTTCACTATTGTTTCCAGTTTACTAGATTAATCTTTTGTTTTTACTTTCAGATGCCTTCTTCTGGTCTGGTGCTACGGTCAGACCCAGTAACATTGGGTTCATTGTTCCTGATGAGACTGGCAGAACCAATAAATTACGTCGATACAACAATGAAGATATAACCATTCGTCTTCCAGAAGACAAAAAACTCAATAGTATTAAATGGTTTTCTATCTGGGACATTCGTGATCGTCGAAACTTAGCCGACATCTACATTCCAGAAGAATTTGAGCCTCCCTCGCCTCAGAGAATCTCAGAATTCTCAAGGATATCAAATGGAGTACAATCTGGTCCAGTTGTTATCCTTGATTCCAAAACGATTGCAATTCCAGAACTTTACTACGATGGTTTATCGGAGAATACATTCTTCTGGGTCGGAGATGGTCCTCAGCCTCATTCCTCTGGTCGCAAAATTCCCAACGAACAAGGATAGTAAGTATTAGAACATTTTTCTGCCATTTCTATTGCAATAAACTAAAAGAAAATTTTAAATTCCCAGTTTAGAATCATTAGGTCCATATTCAAATGAAGAAATAATTCTCGAATTGCCTGGTAGCATGACGGTTTTTGAAATCGATTGGTTAGCTATTTGGAACGCTGAACACGAGATTAATTATGGATCAGTGATAATTCCAGATAACCTAAACATTCCACCATCTTTAACATCTTTAATCGTAAGAAGTGCATTTAACAACTTTTCCAGAATAATTCCAAAAATTTTATTTTTGTTCGATAGAAACATGAATCTCCTTTGCCAAATTGTGAGCAATTGCATCGTAGATTGCAATTAAGTTGGGAGATATTTGGACCTCAAATCACCTTTGAAGTCGCTGGTCAAATCGATCCAAATGATTACATTGCTTTTGGTCTCAGTGGATCTCCGAATAGGACACAAATGATTGGTGCTGATGTATCCATTTCTTATCTTGACGGACATTTCGGAAAAACCGAAGATTACAATCTAACAGAAAAATATCCAGTAAGATCGAGTGACTCTTAAAGTCAATTGATGATAAAATGACTAAATACGCGATTTTGACCCCTTTATCTTTCAATTATAGTGTACCAATGTTCTAGGATTGCACAAGGGAATTTGTCCTGACTCAAAGGTTGGTGGTGTTGAAAATTTCCAAATTCACACTTATGTAAGAGAAGAAGGAATAACTAAAATAACTTATCGACGAAATTTAATCAACACAGGTGAGTTAAATAAACGATCATCAATATTCATTCCAAGTGACAATTTTGTATTGTTATCTTACTAAACAGGTGACGAAGGAGATAGAATTTTTGAAAAACAAGGAAAATCATCTGTGATATGGGCGATTGGAAAACTTAATCCATTGAAAGAACCTCGAATGCACCATTATTATCCAAAAGGATTGATTCAACTAGAGTTTGGTCGTAAGCCTGCCGTACGCAATTGTTACCAATTTACCAAAACATCCGAACGATCTCCTTACACAATTAGCAATTTGGCCAAAAGAAAAACATGGGGACCTTTGAGAGTTTTCAATCAAAGTTTAACAACATTCTATGCACGACTTGGTGTTCCAGGAGGAATTAGAGGTTATACAAGTTTAACTGGATCCACATCTCCAGGCCTCGTTTGGTATATAAACGGGCTAATGGCTCCATCGTTATTTGTTAAAAGAGGTCGAACTTATTTGTTCAGAGTTGAGGGCGGAAACAATCCTCACAATGCTCGATATTATCACCCTTTGTATATAACAGATGATGCAATGGGTGGCCTGGTTAGACAAGATGACAAGGAAAGGAAAAAACGTCACGTTTATGCTGGAATAGACTATGATAGAAAAGGTCGACCTACACCAACTGCATCAGGAAGACTTTGCCTATGGGATTATCCAAATTCAATGGACGCTAGAAAAGCAGATAATTATCAAACATTTATTCAATTTAGGAATGCTCTAAATTATACGTGTGAACAAGGTAATGTTGGGCTTCTTCAGTGGACACCCAACTCAAGCACACCTGATGTAGTTTATTACCAAAGTTTCACTCAACGAAACATGGGTGGCAAAATTTTTGTTCTTGATGATTTTTCTCTGTTGCCAACTTTTGTATCTGGTAGTAATACTATCAGCCTGTCATTCTTGTTAGTTTTTACACCTCTATTTTTTCTTACGATAATTCCTATGCTTAATAATTTGAGCTAACGAACAAACCAAAAATCAATGTAAATGAATAGAAAAAAACGAACAAATAAATGTTGTATAGTACACTTTGCTAAATTAATTTACACCATTGTATTGTGAGAAGATAAAAGTACACAATTTTGTAGAAATCCGATATAGTCTTTATTGTGGCTAGGAATCGGTTACAAATTAATTTACTTTCCCTTCTTAGCCTTGATTTTTCTCAAGTAGAATTCCAGTTCCTTTCCTTCCAAGATGTAACCATCACATCTTCCTACTTGACCAGGTCGTGAAGATATACAAGCTAAAGAAAACGAAAAAAATATCAACCATTAATATGTGATAAAAAGATACATATATATAGTTTATGAACTATGAATGGTCAGAGTAACTATGAGACATCATCTACTAATTTGCATAAGTGAGAGAGTTCTTTTTCATCATATAAATATTCTGTTGTGACCAATAAAATTAAATTGAACTGTGAATAAATACCTAATAGACGTCCATTTTGGAATTGATCCTCTAATGCAGGTTCAACTTTTCCGGTCTTTTGTCTTAATTTATATTTTCTCAAAACACGTTTGCTTTTTCCTTTTGTTAAGGCATCTGTTGCTTCAGCCTAAAGTGAAATGAAGATAAAATAAACGAGAGATTAAAAATTTTGAACATAAAACAGTAAAATACGAGTGTTGATTATTTTCAGCATGTTAGTACTTCCACACAGAATTTCGGTCGAAAGATGGTGAATATGTTGCTCATCATAAAATTGTAATCAAATCAACTAAACAATTGAAAAATATTCTTACCATTGCTTTTGCGGTCTTCTTTTTAACAAGAGGCAGAGCATAATTTGATTCATACCAGAGACGGAAAGGTGCTGCGTCAATCAGGACAATACAATTTTTTACCAATGTTTTTGTACGAACCAATTCGTTGTTACTGGCATTGTACACTACATCAATAACACGGGTTTTTCTTGCAACTCTTTCTGATGCCCATGCAAAGTTACCATGATCCAACCTTAATGCTCGATGCTTGAAGCTACCTCCTCTAGTTCTAACTAAGTGGATCCTTTTAGCTCCAATCTAGAGATTCACAATAGAACACATTATAACACATGGTAACATCACATTCATATTTCAAGTTCACGGAAATATGAATTAGCAGATTAGATGTCTAAATTGAATCATCATAAATACCTTTGTCATGGCAGCAGGTCTACCAAGCTCAAACTTTCGCTTCTTTCTAATTGGAGCTCGTCTACCTCCGGTAGCCCGGCGTTTATGCCAGTGATCCCTTGAAATACCTATTTAAAAACATTATTAACACAGTTAAAATTATATAAAATACTGACATGGTGTACTGTAATCACAAATTGAACTTCTAAATTAACTTACCCATAATTTAATCAACCTGTGGAAGAAATAAGATTAAACAACTAACCAAAATTAACCAAACACTTTATCCAGAGCGGATACCAGTAAATTTGTTCAACACACAATTTTCAAGCTTCCGTTTCCGAAGCGTCACCAAGGATACACTGTGGCGCCCTCTTTCTAAAATATACCCGCCAGCTTTTGAAGTATATTGAACATTAGCTTCATCACATCAAAACAATTTAAAACAACACTTAAACTCTATGATTTAACATTTAATTCTTGATTAGTAATTTAATAAAATTTACTTTTAATTTCAATTGACACATTGATAAGTCTGGTCACCCAATTTTATGACAAGTTGGTGTCACTTTTAGACAAAAATAGGTCTATTATTCATACTGACAACTAATTGAATGTTATTTTCATTCATCTAATCATGAGTATCAATTACAAAGCGATAAACTGATGCGATTCTTAATAAAGTTGACAAAATAATTAAATTTTAATAAAAAAAATTATCAAGTTTATTTGTTATTGAATTTTGTCAGACAATTTTCGCTGATCAAAGGAAATTATTCTTAAAATTGAAGTTTCTAGCTTCAAATGTTGAATTAAATATTTTCCCTTTTTCTTTCTCTTAAAATGCTGTTAAATTTTGCACTTTTTGGTGTTTAATCAAAACCCATTTGATATGGTCAATTGTATACATTGTATTATTGTCTGTTTTAGTTTGGCCAGCAAGCCTTACAAATCCTTCAACTTGTTTACTCTTCCAATATTAAACTGACAATTGTGAGTCATTCATCTTCATTTTAAATGATTGAATAATTGTTTTACCTGTTCAATTTACTGAAATTATATTTAGCCATTGAATATTCACAAAAAATCATTCAAGGTTAACCACATAGTTGTAGTTTAAATTGTATTAAACCACTACGTTTAGGGTAACCAGTATTTAATCAAATGATTAAATTGTATAAATGATGCCTTTCTGAAATTGGTTAACTTAATAGTTAACTAACACTGTTAACCAAATATGCACAGTTTGACCAAAAGACAGGGATAAAGAGAGTGATTAGAACTGATGAAAATGAAAATGAAAATGATAAGAAACCTAAAATGAAAATAGGAAAAACCCATTGAAAGCAATGGAAAACCAAGAGAAAATTTTGTCTTGAAAATTAAAAAAAGGTGTTGAGATTAGATTACATAGTGGTTTAAATCAGTTAAACCACAATATCTCGAAGCTATGAGATAAAACTCTCGGGCTTCGCCCTCGAGTTTATATCTCATAACTTCTCGATGCAGTGGTTTAACTATCACTTAAATTTCATAACTCGACTAACATTTGTTTAATTTATAGCGCTAATGGCTTCAAAAGCAATTCATTGGTTGCCATTTATTAAGACTTGAATCATATGGGAAATAAGCACAAATAAGTGTAACTCCTTTGTCCCTTTACCTTTCAAATCAATTCTTGAGCAATTATTCTGATATGTCTTGGATATCAACAATAGTCGGTGATTTTACCCTGTGAGTCTAGCCAGATTAAAAAATCTTGGTAAACAAAATATACTTTACAAGTCACATTAAATAATTTTATTTTAATAATCCTATTATTTTATATGCTTTTATTGTTGGTATCAAAAGCTTTACTGATATAATCAGTTATTATGGAATTAAATGACATTATTGGTCGTTTCCTGGTTGGTCAGGTTTTCAAGTGATGTGAAAATTACATGGACAAAAGCATGACGTCTACAAACTATTCATTTACAGCCAAAGTATTCAAATTGGTCAGGAGTCAATCGTCTGGATGCAATCCACCATTGATTCAAAGGACTTCGACAATTGATTGGATTTTGATAGGAGAAGGTAAAATCAGTAATTTTCAATGTATTGTTGGCTTGTAAAAATTCCTTGAATGGTTTCTCAGGCACATATGTTAAGAAGTTTTTCTGTAATTCTAGGATCAATTTACGTGAATTTGGCTTAACGAAACCATCAGCAGCAATGTTTTCCGATCGAATGTGGTTCAATTTAAGATTTATGGTGACTGGCGTTTGTTTGGTGTATATTTTGATGTAAAAGGTTCCACCAGTTAAATAGGAAAGGGAATTCATTTGGAGATTCAAATTTTCCAGATTGGGCAGTTTGGCAAAACTGTTATCCTGAATTTGTTTAATATCATTATTGTGAAGATGGAGGAGCTTCAATTGCGGCAATTCAGTGAACATATCCTTAGAGATGAGACTCAACTTGTTTCGATAGAGATTCAATGATTCCAAGTAGTTAAGGCCAGTGAAGGATTGCTTAGACAATGAGTATAAATAATTTTGAGACAGATCAAGATCAAGCAGATTAGGATTACCAACGAATGATTTTTCCATCAGAACATTGATCAAATTGGACGAGATGTCAAGCTTTTGCAAGTTAAATAGATTACGTAAAGCCGAGGATTTCAGTGAATGAAGTGAATTGGCTCTTAAATTGAGTGTTTGAAGATTGGTTAAACCTTCAAAGGTTGTCTCATCTAAATCAAGAATCTCATTGTGGTGTAATCCAAGTGTATTAAGAGATGAAAGCTCTTCAAAGGCACCACCTTCAATCAATTTAATATGATTATCATTAACCTGAAGATCATTTAAATCTCTCAACCCTTTGAAAACACCTCTAGGAATGGAAGACAGCTGATTATGAGCCAGATTAAGGTTACGTACAGAATGGAGACCAACAAAGGCCTCACTGGCAATTCGATTGATTTTATTACCTTCCAATGTGATTGACCGTAAAAGATACAAACCAGTAAATGTTTCACCAGTGACCGTAGTTAAATTGTTGTGACTCAAATCCAGTTCTTCCAGTTTGGTTAATTTATCAAAAGCATTGGCCTCAATGTACTCAACCTTGTTAGCCTTAAAGGACAGTGAACGGACACTTTGTAATCTCTTGTAGGTTGCCGATTGAATAACTTGTATCTGGTTTTCAGCAAGATCCAATTTTTCAAGTCTAATTAAATCCTGGAAAGCGTCTGAATCAATTGATTTAATCTTATTCCTGGCCAAATTGAGTTCCCTTAGGTTCATTAAATTTTCAAAGGCACGAGAGTCAATCTTTTCAAATCGATTGGAGGCCAATTCAAGGGTTTTCAGGGTGGTTAAAGTTGATACTTGGGCACTTGGAACGTCAAATAAAGCATTGTCAGACAAGTCAAGAGATTCAATGGAAGTCAAACCTTCAAATCCTGAGCTGCAAACCTCCGAGATTTTGTTTGATGATAATTTCAATTCTTTCAAGTTTCTCAGATTGGTAAAGGTTTGACATGGGATAAAGTTAAGTGAATTACGGCCCAAGTTAAGGAAACTCAAACCAGAAAGTCCTTCAAATGACTGTGGACTCAAGTATTTAATTTGATTAGAGTCAAGATCAAGGATTGATAGGGTTCGAAGACCGCGAAAGACTCGATCAGGAATCGCATCCAACTGGTTACCTGATAATGTTATTGAAACAATTGAATCCAAATCTTGAAAAGCTTGTTCACAAATCATGTTTATCTTGTTATACCAAAGCTCAAGACTTTCCAATTGCCTTAAATTGGCCAAAAGTCCACATGAAACTTGCCTCATATCAGTAAAGGCTATTTTAGCTGAAGACAGGTTGGGCACATTTTGAAAGACATGGTCAGATAAATGGACTGATCCACTGCCAAATGAGATTTCCAGTTTTCTAGGCGTATAAAAGGATACATCGCTACAGAAGTTTTCAAGTAAATCCATTCCTGGTCAAGAAAAAAAAACAGAATGACAATCAATGAGACAAGTAGTTCATCAAAAATTAGACGTCAATGCACAAGATTTAAAGCTTGGTATCAACAGGTTTAACCATTTTCACACTTAAATTGTTAAGTTGGATACAAGATTGATAACAATGTTAAAAGGATCACTTACCAGTAACAGTATCATTGAGATCCGGAACATCGTCGAGATTATCTCTACAGGATAATCTCACATAACCAAATTTATCTGAACATAAACATGAAGGTTTAGTTTCATTAAGCTCTTGACATGAAATGGATTGGATTGAAAATAAAAACAAAAGTGAATAAATAAGAGTTTTTATCATTGTTTCAAGTGTAACTTGCTGATATATTAAACAATTGGTTAACAAGCAGAGATGAAAATTAAAATGGACTGAGAAAAATTTAAAGGTTGAAAAGTTTATTAAGTCTAGAATGGGAAGATTTGAGCAACTCAATGGTTTAACTGAAGCAACTACTTCGAGTTAAACCGGATTCACTTTGGTGGGCTCAACTTTCTCCTGAACAATCAGTAACATATAAAAATTATGATGATGATGATGATGAACTTTTACTGCCCTGTTGAACAAATTTCAAGTAAAAAAAGTGACAGGTAAGTTGGATGATTTAGGCAAAGAGACTTAGCAGGTAACCTTTTTTTCCCAACTCTTCTGACTTGATTGCTTTACAAACTCCATTGGCTTTTTTGTTCATTCCATTTCCATCCACATTTCCATTGAATCAATGACCTGAAAAGATGTCGTCATCATTCTTGATTCGCTTGATTCATCCATGAAAAGCGATGAGCCTAAAAACCAGCAAATTTTAAAACTCTTCAAATTACAAAGGAATCAATTGCCAGAAAATATCTCATTACGATGTGATTTTTTTTGTAAAGACAAAAAATATCCATTGAAATAAACAGCAAATTATTTTACTCATTATTTCAAATCGCTTCTGTTCACATGACAATAGTTCATGAAACAAAAAAGCTCAGCTGAGTTAGATAAATAAAGAGCCTTAACATGGCCTTTACAATGAAAGTTGCCAGTTTCAATTTAAAGCTAAAGCATTTGAATATACTTTTGAGTAATTTGATCAATTTTAAACAATTTTTTGTCTCGTTAATGAGATATTAAAATTGTTTGAGCAAATTTTTTTAAATCAATGGTTTTTTGCTTTTGATAGTGAATAGATCTCGATAGGATTTGTGAATTGCTAGGCCTGAATTGGTCAGTTTCATGAGAAAGGTGTTTAGTTTCCTTTGTCGATGATGAATCCAAGTTGGAAGAAGAACTGAAAAATAATGTTTCCATGAAGAAACATAGATTATTGAACAATAAACGGAAAGTTTCTGTGATACTTCATTTGAAAGGATAATTCTATCATGTGATAAATTGGAAAAAACGATTGATTTTCTGGCTAAATCTGGATCATGATCATCTTGAATGTTATATTCATTGATTAAGAATGTCTCAAGTTCCAATTAGATGTCTATTTGATAAAAATGGTCAAACATTTGCAAAAGTTATTAAATAATTTCTCACTGTAATTTAATATCATTTATTTTTATTCACCAAATCTACAGAAACATTTCTCGTGTTATTAATATACATTTTCAAAATTTAAATACCTCAATTGGATTGAAGGCAATTGAAAATAACATTCGCCAACATCGCTCCAATCAACAATTATTGCTATTTTTACATCTTAACAAATAACATTGATAAATTTGATAACATCATAATCAATAACAATCATCTTCAATTTCATATTAAAAGAGTTATCGTTACTCAACAGATAGCGCAGGTAACACAATACACTGAATTTTATAAACCGTCATGACAACAGAAGCCTTGGTGATGCCTAACGCTTTGCTTCTATTGGCTGCATTGGGCGTGAGCTTTCAATCAATTCCATTTAATTCACCAGTGTTTTAATTCACTGAAAGCGACATCTATTTATCATGTAACCATGACTGAGTTATTCAACTAGACATTTCATCTGTGAATACTAGTCACTGACTAGAGCCATCTACTGGTTTACATCACCTTGTGAAGGGGTCTGCCTCTGTGAAGACTCCTGTGCTGCGAGATGAGATTTTTAACATCAAATTTGATTGATATTGATTATCTTCAGTGGTTAATATGGTTATTAAGTCCAATAGTTATCAGTTTTTTGTTACCTTTGACTATTCTGTTATTTTTCTATTGTTCAGCTTTATTTCTCCATGTTTACCGTCACCGTAATCGTATCACTGCTATCAAAGAGGCTGTCCGAGCTGGTGACTATTGGGATGGAGCTCGTCAAGCAATTGCTACTTTTTGGGATGCACATGGTTGGATCTATCATGGTTATGAGGTTAAAGGATTAGACAATATTCCAGATTCTGGTCCTGCCTTAATTGTTTACTATCATGGTGCTCTTCCTTTAGACTATTATTATCTTCTTTCTAAAACCTATCTTCATAAGAATAGACTAATCAAAGCTGTGGGTGATAAATTTTTATTCAGCATACCAGGATGGAAGTTAATGATGGAAGTGTTCCATGTTTTTCCAGGTACTTTGAAAACATGTACTCAAGTATTACAGAGAGGGGATCTACTTTCTATTGCACCAGGAGGTGTCCGAGAAGCTCAGTTTGGTGACAATAGGTACAAATTAATTTGGGGCAATAGGATTGGTTTTGCTAAAGTTGCCATAGCTTCTAAAGCACCAATTGTACCTGTTTTCACTGTTAACCTGAGGGAAGCCTTTCGTTCTGTCAGTTTTGGGCAAAGCTGGTTTGAACGAGTTTATGATAAAACTCGTTTACCTATTGTTCCGATTTATGGTGGATTTCCTGTAAAAATGACTACTTTTATTGGTGAACCTATTCCTTATAAGCCCAACAGAACACCGGAGGAACTTGCGGCACTTACAGCGGAAGCCATAGAAAAGCTTATTCAAGAGAATCAAAGGATACCTGGAAGCATTTGGAGAGCCATTTTTGATCGATTCAAGTCATCTTAGCTTTATTTGTTTACTGAGAAAGTTTACATTAAAGCTGGCCAGTTAAGATTTACCAGTAAATAAGTCGAGTAAATTAGGTGAAAGATGAAAACGATGAGGTAAAAACACATAAATTAAAGAGCTGTGATTGGTTTAATCATAAATTTTCAACATGAATCAAGTTTAATTTCAAGTTTTCGATTTTTCCAGCTTAATGCTGAATGTTGAGTTTGTAAGATAATATTATCAATGCTTAATTTTAACCTTGATTGTTATTTAAATACTATTTTTAATATTATAATTATCATGAGCAGATAAAAATCTAAATTATAATCAAATGTAAGTGCATGAATGTTCAAGCTGTATCATCATTAGACCATGGTATTGGTTTGAGTTTACATGTTAATCTTCTCGGAATCACACAAAATTGATGAAACTGATTTACTGATTCATGGTCAACCAATATCAATATTGATCATTAAGATGAAATTGGTAAATACGGTAAAATTAATAAATTACTGGTTCCTCACAAATTATTGTTTACCTTTTCTTCAAGGATAAGTACAGTAACCTGCTTGCCAATATTTTCATCTAAAATTTTGAGATGGTCCCTTTCAAGGCGGAGTTAACCAGTTAATTGCAATTCAATAAGTTGATAAGAAACGCAATTTACCTCATTTTTGTAAATTATTTACCAATAAAGCCCATAAAATCGATCTATGTTGATAATTTTAATTGATCTTAGTCTTTATGATGTGTATAAAAAGTCAATCAATCATCTATGCGGTAAAAGTAAGTTTCAAGTTCAAACTATTGCGTTCCACAATTTATGGATATAATGACTTGTGTAATCAGTACAGCTGTATAACCAGATGATCTGGTCCAGATCATGATATTGATAAATTAAGTGAACTTTTGTGGCGACCTTTGACGATCAACCTTTATGAGAAACTATCAAGTAACCAAGTTATAACTGTTGCTTGTTTGTTTACATTTGATCGATTGGAAGGTCACTGAATAATTCACTGAAATTTAGATTGTATTAGCCAAGATTATTGCAATATTAGAAGAGAAAGAATTAAGGTGGAAAATGAAATGTACCGAAAGAATCAAGTTGAAGAGTGAGGTGAAAAGAACAGTATATTGAACATGAATTAGACTGGGTTAGTTGAACAAGAATATCCAGTGGAAACGTTTTCTGGTTTTTGGGTTGAAAACCCAAATTTTGGTGTTTAATGGAATCTTTTTTCCTACAAGGTTAAACCAGATTTAATCTCAGTGTAAGGAAAAGTTCCATGGTGATTGAAAACCTTAAATTGTATAAAAAAATCAAGTCTTGACTCTGATTACAGATGTGAGGATTTGGGGCCTAACAGTAGTCTAAAGGTTTCAAACCAAGGTTTTTCACTGCTTTTCTGAACATAGATCTAACAACTGTAAATTAATTTTCAACTCTTTCGCAATTAACTTGATCATCACTATTAATCAATTAACATTGAACTATAAAATTTATAATGAACGATTCTGGCGTGAAAGTGAAAAGCTAATACAAAAATGTTAGTAATGCCAGATTTGCTAATTAACAGTTTAATGGTATAATGATTGTCACTTGAGCTGAAATTAACCATTTAACCTGAAAAATAGGGATTTTCATTGTTGCCATTTCCCACTCTGATTGTATTCAATAATAGTAACATAAAACACGAAATAACCATATAATTTGGGAATTAAAAATACATTGAAAGTGTAAAGGCTCATTACATGGAATATTATTTTTAGTCTTGGAAATTTACCTCAAATGCCTCCAGCAATTTCCATGTTGTTTTTTTGTGTTAAAATGAATTCAGGGATTTCTTGGCTGATAAAACAAAAAAAATGGTGAAAAGGAAAAGGTAAAAAAGGTAAAAGTTGTTCTTGTTGGCAGGTAAAGAAGCTTTGGACAGCTTGAAGCATTGGCTTACATGGTAATGCATTTTTTGAAGGTTGGAAGGTACTTTTGTTTTGATTGACTGTAATTTAATGAAGAAAAATTACGAAAATAAAAGTGAAATTGAAATGTATAAAAGTTGTGAATCAGGTATGATGATGATTAACATTTTTATCAAGAATGAGAAGGAAAGAAATAGTAACTCACTGAATGTAAATACGGTTGGATTTGAAGAGAAAGAGAGAGTAAGATGATGACGAAGATGACGATGAAGAGAAAGACGAATACGAAAAATTAAGAAAACAAGAAAGAGAGAGAATGAGAGAGAAAGGTAATAACAATTAATGCGAATCGTTAAAACTTGTTGTTGTTACTTGATCTTGTGAGAGCGCGAGATCAACCCAAAACCATCAAAATTCATTTTAACTGACACTCAGTTCAATGAAGCAATAATATTTTATCATCAGAAGTCAACCAGATAACAACATTAACACCAGCAACAAATAACATCAAATTTTGTGTGTTATCGTGTTTATAATTTATTCCAACCAAATCTAATCTTAATTCAGTGAAATTTAACAATTATTCAATTTGTGAACAAACCACACAGAGACAAAAGAAAGCTAAACAGGCTAAAACAACAGCTAACCAGAGGAAGGGCTAAAACAAGAGCAAATTAATCATCTGATCAATCTTTACCAGCAACAACGGCGTCAGCAAGTATGATGAGAACCAATGAAACGGTTGACCGTTTCAACTATTATTACCATGATGTTTGGGAAGTCTATGGTGATCCTCGAGTTTCCAATATGCCTTTAATGAATGGTGGTCCATGGACTGTGCTGGCAATCACTGCAGTTTACATAATCTTTGTTAAATATCTTGGACCTGCTATTATGTCCAAACGAGCTCCTTATGATTTACGATCAACCATCTTTTGGTACAACATTGCTTTGGTTATTTTGAATGGACTCTTTTTCATCTATTCCGCCATGTTTACCCGTTTTGGAATTCGAACCTGGCAGTGTAATCCAATCGATCCATCACAGTGGGATAACGAGATGAAACTGAAACTCAGTGTTGCCTGGATTTTTGTAATGTCCAAATTTGTTGACCTTTTGGACACCATATTTTTTGTTTTCCGTAAAAAGTATAACCAAGTCTCGGCTCTTCACGTTATCCACCACTCTTTGGTACCAATCAACTGTTGGATGGGCTTTAAATATGTACCCTCCGAGTCGGCTGCTTTCATGCCTTTCCTCAACTCCTTTGTTCACATGGTTATGTACACCTATTATGCTTTGTCAACTCTTGGACCCAAAGTGACACCCTACCTTTGGTGGAAAAAGTATCTCACCCAATTACAGATTATTCAAATTGCTCTGGTTTCCATTCACTGTGTCTACATTGCCTTCCTTCCTTCATGTAAAGTGCCAAAATTTGTATTCCTTATTGCTTTACCTCAGGCTCTTTTGGTTCTCGCTATGTTTTGCTCATTTTTCATCAATTCATATCTCAAACCATCACCACCATCTAAATCATCTATATCATCATCATCAACAACAACAGCATCTTCACCATCCACGGCCAAGGCTAAATCCTCATAAGAAACCTGAATCTGCAACGATTTAAGACAAAACAGGGATTCAATTATTTTTAATTGTAGACGACGAAAAACGATAATTTGAATGCTGTAATGAACATTTCTCATTACATCGTTTATTCAACAATATAAATTTTATACCATCGATTTTGAAAGGTAAATTTGACTCGGAAAGAGAAGAGGGAAACAAAAGAGAAAAAAAGACAAGGTAGAAAGAGAAAGACGAAAGAGAGAAAAGTAGGTGACATTACAAAGATACTTATTATATTAATATTGCTGTTACCGAGTGATTAGCGATTAGTGATCCGAAGTGAGTATCATTAATGCCAAGTAAACGTTGTACGTTAATTACCCCCAGCGTTATTGGTAGGACCGTCGTTGTTACCGTTTGGTGTTGAATTGTTGTTTATTTCTCTCTTTCTCTTGCTCTCTCTTTTTTGTTCGTAAAATTTTATTACATCATTTATATTATTATTATAAATTGTTTCGTTAAAATTCAACTTCGCTCCGAGTTAAACATTTTTCACCAAAATTTTGTCCAATCCAGACGAAAAAGACTGAAAAATGTTGAAGCCTTTTCACCAACAGACTTTAGGCTTTGCCTGATGTTTCTGTTTAACCTTTTTTATTTCATTCATTCCATTGATGATTCTAATTATTATCCTGATTATCATGTTAAATGTCATGATGGTTAGAAATTTTTTATGTGTAAAAACCAAATCAATCCCAAAATTGCAATTGATTGTTAATACTTTCACTGGGTTAACTCCAAAACCTTTTTTTAAGCTTGAGTTTATCATTCCCTTAAAGTCAGCTAGCTAATCAAATTGTCTGTGAAACAATCAAGTATGTTGATTGTGAATCAATAATTTTTTCAACTTCATTCAAATCAACCTGTCTTTAATATCGTCTAATTACCGTCAATTTCATTGTTTTTTTTCACCAATTTTTTGTCTCTCAATCATTTTGTTCAAAGATTGACCCTAAACATTGTAGGTGAGCCAATAAATCATAATCAATTTCCCTGTTGACAATCACAAGTAATTTAGAAGACTTAAACAATGAAAATCAAGAAAAAATCAATCCTTTAAATCATCACTTCAATCATCAAAACAACGGAAAGCTCAATCAACTTGTAAATCCAATGTAACTACAATCAACTCTAATATAAGTCATCAAGCTTAATCTTTCTTCATAATCATCATTCCATCTTTTTTACTCTTCATCATCACCTTAATTATTATTATACTGCATATATTTTAAAATTAATTGTACATGAATTGAAGCAAGGCAAATTAGAAAAGCGTAAATCAATTTTCATGTAACAATCATTACATTATCAATTGATCCATCACCTTAAACAAATGTAAACATTATGCAAAACAAAAAAAACCTAAATAATACAACAATTTTACAATAAAGAAACAATTGTTAACAAAATTGTATTTATTAATTGAATAATTTAAGAACAATTTATTGATGAAACAAAACCAGTTTAATATTTCAGATCAAAAAGGCAAGTTCAACTTTGATCGAGAAGCCAACTTGTCTTTACATTGTAACCCAACAAGACTAACCTTTTGGGTTAACCTATTCTCAATGTTGCCCATTTCATCTTATATTTTATTGTCAACTGTCATTGTAATTGTATTGATTTTGATTATTTAAATTGTTGATCTAAACAATTTAATTGGCAATGGTTTGTTTCCTCTCAACATATGAATCTTTTCTTCCTCTTGTCTTGATAATAATAGATGAAACAATAGTTACATCTCATGCTGTTTCAACTTGATTTTTGTTTCTGATTAGTACAACAATTAACTTTTCCTTGATTAAAAATACCTAACTGTGAATGTATATAATAGATTGTCAATTGACAGTTAACCTTGATTGTAATGAAAGATGAACCCAGATTTGGAGACCAGAAAAAATGAAAACCAAATAAGCAATGAAGGACCAGGAATACTAATTGTTAATCGGGTGAAAAGATTGCTGGTAAATTTACAAACTATTCAAGTATTGATGGTTAATAGTTAATAATGAATGGTTAATCGATTAAATGAGTAAAGGGTTTGCAAATGCGGTAATCAGTTAAAAGCTGGATTCACACAACTTGTAACATTTTGAATGAAGGGTAAAAGGATGATGACTGATTATCATGATTAACATGATGATGATGATAATGAGAAAGGAAGTTTATCCTCTTAAAATTAATTGAAAATAAATAAATGAAATTGATTATTTGAACGTACACTTCTACCGGTTAATGAGTGAATATGAATTCAGCTTGAGTGTTGTTTCAATTGAGCAAGCAAACAGTTTAACGTTTCTTCAAACGTGTGTTGTTGTTTAATCAATGCCAACATGTTACAAAGACAATTATGCCTTGAGCGATTACAATTGATTATGAATGATTATTCAAGTTAATTCATTTTCTGGAGAAAAGGAAAATTAAAGGAAATTTGGAGAAACCAAAAAATGGGTTCAAGTGAGTTGATTTCAAGTCTAATGGCAACTACAATCGGCAAGGTTGAGGAATACCTTGAAATCATTTAAGATTCACACTTTGATTCATATCCATACTTTAAACCTTTAATGTAATCATTTGATTCAGGGTAACGAACCAGAATTGAATGGCAAAAATTTGGTTAAAATTGCGAAAAAAGCAAGAATCGAATGAACCAGTTTTTTTCTGGTTTATTTGTTTACTTCTGGTTAACTCCAAGTCTCATTGTTCACTTGTTTACGCTTTTGTTTTCACTGATTAACCAAAATTATTAAATTGTCTTTTGTGTGATTGTTGATTGTTTTGTCCTGTCAATTGTGAATCAGAAATGATTACCAAATGTAACTTATTAGGCGAAAGAAGAGGAAAAAATGGTGAATTATCTGAAACAATTGAAAGGTAAAAGTGAAAGACAAAGGGTTAGCAGTTTTTTGGTAGAGAGTTTAGTTTGATTGCTGTGTATCTCTTGATGATAATTATTGGTGATTAATCAGTTGAATGGTTGGACAAATCAACATCACTTTGATCAATTGGTGAGTGAAAAAATGGATTGGCAAACAATATTAGGAAGAAGATGATGATGAAAAAGAGGAGGACAAAGCTGTTCAGGTAAGGATTGAGTATAGCCATGTTTAACAGTCAAATAATGATCGTTCGTCCATATCAATATCATTTACCATGCCAAACCATTTCAACATAATCAACAATTTCAGCTATTATTATGATTATCATCATCATCAGCCTTAATTTGAAACATTTTCTTACCTTTCATCCTTTTTGTTTTACACCATAAAACGATGTTAGTTGTTGCTGCTGTTGGCGTTGGTTTGATCTTAAAGGTCAAGAAGGAGCTCAAGATAAACAGGAAAATATCCTCAACTTTTTGCTAAAGAATTAGTTAATTCAGTTTAAGTTCATGTTCGTTGTTCACCTAAACATGAATTTACCTTTCTCTTTCTCCTTTTATTAAAACTTACCTTTTCAGCATCACTTTTCCTTCTTTATGTTGATCAACTTGCTTAATTTAAATGAAAGTATAATTTGCTTTTTACCTTTTTACCTTTCAATTTTTACCTTTTTCCTTCTTCACCCGTCAAACCAAGAAACAACAAAAAACACCGTCTATTAAATGAATTAATTTCTGGCACCAGTGAAGCACAATTTAAACAGCAAGTTTATTGTTTAATTAATCAAAAGACACAATCTCGTAAGTTTAAGATCGGCTGGGTCGTCAGCTGTGCGGCTAATACAAAGATTATGCTTTTTGCGCCTTTTTGCTATTAACAGGGAAAAGGTTGTGAAAATAAAGCAATCTCATCATAAATAATAAATGATAATATATTTGTTATTTTATTATAATTTTCAGTTTTCAATTTGATCAAGTGTAATTGCATATTAGAAATGTAAAGTATAGCAATCATATGGAGGAAATATTTTATGCTGTCTGATCACTGTTGTATAACCTGAAGAGCTGAATCTTTCAATCAGTGTTGGTACTCACATTTAAATGTTAAGTTACACTTTTTTCTTATAACAATATAATCTTAATTTCTAATTTTTTGATTGTTTTGTTTTGTTGTTTCTCTTTGATAGCAATTAAGCTGGTGAAAGCGATGACCATCAACTTTTCACTCTTACACTCTTCACTCTTATTTTGCTATAGTATCATCTTTACTATCTTTATCTGGCAAGGAAAAAGTGACGTGAATGTGAGTATATTTTGATAATTAAACGAATGTCCTTTTGTTTTTTTGGTAAAATGCTTATTAACTTTTTGGCTTGAAATTCCCATCCTAGAAACGTAAAACGACCGATTTAAAGTTGGAACAGGGAATAACCCAGAGGGAATTAACTGAAATAATCAAATAGATTGACTTTAATTTGAAAGGAAAAGACCTACTAAACGACATCAAAGACAACCAAGACAACCAAGGAGTGGAATCAAAGATACATTCGAAATTCACTGTTCAAGGTGAAAATGAACTTTCAGAAAATGAACAAAAGATGGGATAACAAAGCAAAAAAGCTTCTGGTCAAAGCAAATGAATATTACAATGGCAAACCACCAATCCCCTGAGCTACATAGGATTCTTAAGCTCGCACTCATACCAAAATCAATCTTCGGGTCAATGATACAGCTGAAGGTGTCCATTGCTACTCCAGTCAAGAATATTATTGAAAAGCTCATTTCAATCAACTCTAATAATCATTAATGGGAACATTTAAACAAAGGTTAAATGATGAAACTGATACGATTCCGAAAGACAGGTTAATGTTTCTGATCTCAATCGAGAGGTTAATAATTCATCAACGGAAAACTGTTAAACTGTTATCTCTAGTCAATTAGAACTGACAATTGAAATTCTGCAAATGGACAGTTCAGGATTATTTTACTGCACATCATTATCGGACGGTTCAATGGATGACCAAGTATGGTATAACTTCACTGTTCATTATGAAGATATGAATACAGAATTGTATACAAAGTATTCATTTAAATTGTTAAACCACGATTAGCTGATTCAAAGTGAATATTATTGCTTTAAAAAGGACACAATTTAAAGGGAAATTTAATGATTAGAAACACAAAATATAACATTTGAAACCTTTAATCAAAAGATCAAGGAGAAAGTGATCTGCATCACTTTATTTTGGGGTTAAGGTTGCGAATCAACAAAAGATTTGGATGAAATTATAATTGTCTGTAACAAGATGATAATCTGACAAGATTATCAAACTGTTGGTTGACGACGAAGATGACGAAGATGATGATGGTAATGATGACGATGATGATAGCAGTTAACAATGAAGTGAAGCAAGTGAAAAAGGAAAGCCAAACGCTACAAGGAAAAGGATTCTTACATTGTTCCTGTTCACATTCAATTACTTTTACTTTTAGGTGTTAAACGACCTTCACCTTAAACTTCTCAGGCCTATTATTATTATGATTATGATTACAGATCATTAAAAATCTTTATCATTATCATTATATATTAAAAATAATACCAATTACTTTTATAACCAACAATTTACTTTGGCATAAACAGCAAAAATTGGTTCAAGTCTTTCGTGCAACTAACATTGGTATCAACACGCAACTCATCAACAAGCCAACATTTTATAATAATGAATGAAAAATGTAACCAACAAGTGCAAGTTACTTTCTCAATCCCAATAATAAACCTGATTATCACTGATTGCAGTTTTCAATTTGAAAATGGGAAAAAATCAAACATTAAATAATTGGAATAAAAAAAATCATTCGGTGTAACCCACAGATTCAACCAAAGCAACCTTAAAAATCTTGTTAGGCCTTCAGTTTATGCTTTAAATGTGTGACTTATGTTGATCAACATTAGTTAAGCAACAATAGAGCTTAATTCATGGCAACTGAATAAGTTTAGGAAGCAACTGATTGGCACAATTGGTTACTAACGATAATTACTTGTCAGTTTACCGGAATATTTTTAAATATTGTTGAATAACATTAGCTTTGTTTCGTTTTTTGCCATACTAATGATTGTCAAATTAATTATGATAAACAATTGTGCCACATCAATTTGTAACTCTTAAGGTAGAATTAGATATTTATTCATTTGAATTTTCATTGCACAATAAACTAATCACTGAACATTTATTCTTATTAGTAATTGTATAACTAGTCGTTTGAGTTGAATTAAATTTTGCTTTCAGTCTTTTGGTTTGCTTTATTCAACCTTTTTCTTGTTGATAAAAATTCATTCATAGCTTATTTTCAGCTTGATCATGAGTTTAATGCAATTTCACCGCTCTTAATTTACTAGTTGTTGTATCAAACCATAATTATGTTTTAAAACGAGTAGATTTTATTTTCTGATCTTTAATTGATAGCAAACAATTCATTAAAGTTTTGGTCAATCCAAATAATAAACGTCTCCATCTTGTGGTTCATATTGAAACGAAACGAACGGTAAAATACTTGTTGAGTTAAAATTTTAGGTTCATTATTAAGAGTTGTTTAAAACTGTAATTATGTTTGTACAGTCGTTTGTAGCCACTGTTTAATCAATATTTCACAGAGATTTGATCTTATGAATTTCATAACATATGCGTTGAAAGGATCGTTACTGAAAAGAAACGATTCGCACAATTATCACATTTAAATTAAAACTGACGTCAACTGACTGATCAAATGGAAAAAAAGAGAAAAACTTGATTTCTTGGCAATTTAGACTTTGTTAGTTTGTAGGGATATAAAGACTGAATCCATTTGTGTAATTTAAAGATTTCTGTGATGGATAGTTTGCGCGGAAATCGAATCGCAAGTTTGAAACTTCGTTCGCTATTTGTACAGTTGTGTCATTAGATTTTTGCATGAAATTTATACCGATGTTGTAACTTTTTATGATTAAATGCATAATGCACTTATTTTGAAAAAGAAAACTTTTCATTTTCTGTAAAACAGCTAAGTTCGATTTTTGTCTAAACCGGTCGCATTCTGTGACCAAAAGAGTTAGCAAGCTGAAACTTATGATTTATGCATAAAAATTGTTGGTTCACATCATGAATGCAATACTTTTTTGCATTTATCCATAGTTCTCTTGATTTTGGCCATTGGTCTTAAAACTTTGAACCTCGACATTTCGAGAATGGCATCATCTACAATCACCATTCTTTCACCAATTTAATGCTTCACTAATTAATAATTCAAATCAATTTAATAACTTTCCATTAGCGCATTTGGGTTATGATATTTGGCCTGTAAATGCACAAGCAACTACTTATTTAACAAAACAAACTCATATAAACTCATATCTTGGTAAATGAAGCAATTTTCTGGTTAAACTTGCAAATTGTAACGCACAAAGTTTCGCCAAAGGCTCAAACATTTGAGTAAAGAGTTGAACATTAGTGGGTTTTGTAGGGATATAAAAACTAAATCCATTGCTTCTATTAAATAATGCATCCGATCAATAGTTTTCGAGAAAATCGACGTCAAAGTTGAAACTTCGAACGTCTTTTGTGCAGCTATGGAAGCAAATTTTCTCATAAAACTCATTTAACTGATGTAAATTTTGATAACCGACCAGAAAATGGTGTTATTTTGAGGAATAACATTTTCTGTTTTCGTAAAACAGATCAAGTTCGATTTTAAGTAAAACCGACCTCATTTTATAATCTTAATAGTTAGCGAGCTGAAACTTATCATTTGCCCATAGAAACTGTTGGTCCACATTAGTGATTAAATACTTTTTTCAATTTATTGACAGTTTTCTTGATTTTGGCCATTTTTCTAAAAACTTTGAGCCTCAATATTTCGAGAATGGTGGTATGTACAATGATCATTCGTTGACCAAACATTAGATTGCATAATGAGCAATAATATTGACAAAAATTAAATTATTCAAGGCGCTACAAGAAAAGTTATAGCATTGGATTACTTATGTTGACAGATCCTAGACTTTATTTATAAAGTTGAATGGCTATCAAACACAAATCTTATCAGTTGGAAGGATTTTCACCATTAAATAAATAAGTTCAGATTTTATTGAGTATTAAATTAGATATTATTATAGCCCATAATAAAATCTAATGTTTAGTGAAAGAATGACGATTGTAGGAGATGCCAGTCCCAAAATATTTAGGCTCAAAGTTTTGGGGCCAATGGCCGAAATCAAGAGAACTGTCAATAAATTGAAAAAAGTATTTAATCACTAATGTGTACCAACAGTTTCTATGGGCAAATGATAAGTTTCAGCTCACTAACTCTTAAGGTTACAAAATGAGGTCGGTTTTACCTAAAATCAAACTTGATCTGTTTTACGAAAACAGAAAATGTTATTTCTCAAAATAACACCATTTTCTGGTCGGTTATCAAAATTTACATCAGTTAAATGAGTTTTTATGAGAAAATTTGCTTCCATAGCTGCACAAAAGACGTTCGAAGTTTCAACTTTGACCTCGATTTTTGCGAAAACTATTGATCGGGTGCATTTTTTGATAGGATCAATTTATTTAGTTTTTATTTCTCTACAAAACCCACTAATGTTCAACTCTTTACTCAAATGTTTGAGCCTTTGCGATACTTTGTGCGTTACAATTTGCAAGTTTAACCAGAAAATTGCTTCATTTACCAAGATATGAGTTTATATGAGTTTGTTTTGTTAAATAAGTAGTTGCTTGTGCATTTACAGGCCAAATATCATAACCCAAATGCGCTAATGGAAAGTTATTAAATTGATTTGAATTATTAATTAGTGAAGCATTAAATTGGTGAAAGAATGGTGATTTTAGATGATGCCATTCTCGGAATATCGAGGTTCAAAGTTTCAAGACCAATGGCCAAAATCAAGAGAACTATGAATAAATGCAAAAAAGTATTGCATCCATAATGTGAACCAACAATTTTTATGCATAAATCATAAGTTTCAGCTTGCTAACTCTTTTGGTCACAGAATGCGACCGGTTTAGACAAAAATCGAACTTAGCTGTTTTACAGAAAATGAAAAGTTTTCTTTTTCAAAATAAGTGCATTTTTTCGTTAATCATAAAAAGTTACAACATCGGTATAAATTTCATGCAAAAATCTAATGACGCAACTGTACAAAAAGCGATCGAAGTTTCAAACTTGCGACTCGATTTCCGCGAAAACTGTTCATCAGATAAATCTTTAAATTGCATAAATGGACTCAGTTTTCATGTCCCTACAAACCAACAGAGTTTTAATTTGAACAGAATGCATTTTTACCCATTTTGACCCAATCGTTTTTCAGTTCTTGATGCAATTTGTGAAAATCAGTGTTGATTGTGTCTTTTAGTAATAATTCGTTTAAATGTAGGAGCTAACTTAAAGTTAGTTAATTTACTGATAAATTGTTTGTTTTGTATTTTTCTCAACTTATTAGATAGAAAACAAATTCATAATTAGCTAAATTATTGCTGGATAGAGACAAGAGCTTTTGAACTTGTAAAACTTTATTTATGCATGTTGTTATTGTACAGAAGAACTGCCATTTACATCTTTATTATTTGGTAAACAGAAATTTGGACGAAAGTAAAGCTTCTTCTTCAGTCAGTGATCTTCCCGTCCACTATTAAAGCCAACGAGATCGAATATTGAAAGTTAGCGTTCAGGACAACTTAGAGACGGTTCCGTTTATATCTGGATTAATGTATCAAGTTTCAATTTTGTCTAGTTAATGACCAGATTATGGCTTGAAAAGGATGCGTGATGCTCTTGATTGAATGTTTTCCAATTGTTTCAACCATCATTATCAACTGAAAATGTATTTTTGAACAGATGATGCGTCCAGCATAGTTTTAGTGATGAAGATAAAGAAGATTGTTGGCCACCTTATTTCATGTCTCAGCATCCTCATCATCTCCTCCTCCTTGGAAAAGGAGGAGAAAGAGATTACCTTACTTTTGATACAAGTTTGTCTCTAAAATTGGAAAGATGAAGATGAAAGAGAAGGTTAGCCCCAAGTTTCCGTTAGAGTGGGTCAACGAGACTGTAAGAGAGAAAAGAAGATAAAAGACGAAATAGGCGGATGATACGGAGTATTGAATGCTCTTGAAATAATCTTTATAAAATCGTGGGGCAACTTAAGTGAGGACCTTATTTGGACCCTATGAGTGCACTTGTTGAGTTAGATAGTTTTTTAAATTTTCATGTATTTTCATATTTTACTTTATAAAGTGGACAACTAAAGTTAGTTAACTATAAACTGATTTAAAATACTTCTCTTCGATTTTTAATATTTATCATCAATTTATTAGCAAATTCAAAATGGGCGCAAATAAGCCCATGATGGTGAGTTTTCTTCCTTTTCTTCGTGTTTATTTGTTTATTTGTTTAATCCTGTCTAACCTAACTCTATTAATTTTACAAAATTAATCAGTAAAATATCGATAAAGTTAACCAATTTTACTTGTATTTTTCACTGTTTAACTTTTGCTTAATTTTGTATGAACACCAATTAATCGTTTTTTTTGTTTCCTTTCATTTCATATTGTATCAATGGATACTATAGACCAGGACTTTCATATGCTTTCTAGTCTCAAGTTTAGTTTTTAATGTGGTCCAATCAAAGGAATATTCAGATGCTACAAATCCAGGATACTCAGTTGCTTTACCTTATGGTGCATCTCCATCAAGCCCATCATCACCCACTTCTGTATCATCCAATGGCGGTGAAGAGCTTCAGAGTGCGGCTCAATATCAGCAGGCGGCTTATTCTGGACCGGCGGTAAATAGTGTTGCTTCTTCAGCTTATGCCAATGGACCCATTAGTGTTGCTGATCAGGCAAAAACTTATAGCAATTATGGTTTGGTTCAACAATCAACCCCACCGCAAGTTCAACAGCAACCGCAATCACAACAATCTCTTCAACAGTCTATTCAATCTTTGCAACCTATTTATCAACTTTTAAATTATGGTCAATCACACCAATCTCAGCTTAATTATGACCAGACACAGCAACCGCAGCAACAACAGCAGCAGCAACAACAACAACACCCTCAACTCCCAGTTCAACAATCTCAATTGAATTACGGTGCAGTGGTCGATAATGGGGATTATAACGGTGTTAAAACCGCTTTAAACTCTCAAAATGCTCAAAGTGCTCCAGGCGCTCCTAAGAAGACTGTTATTCTAGCAATTCCAGTTAAATTGGCTCTACAAGCAGCTGAAAATAAAGGCAGTTATGGTAAGTGTATTTGATTACTTTTTAAAAATAGGTAATAATGTTAGGGAATTACCGTTTATAATGAAAAAATACCTTCTTTTTATTTTAAAGACGATAAACAACAAGCTCAACAGCCATCTCAACAGGCTCAGCAGCCAGTCCAGCAATCCCAACAGCAATCAACACCTCAACAAACTCAACAAACATACTCTGGTCCTGGACCAAGTATTAGCTATGCAACACCAAATTACCAATCTCCTCGTCAGTACGATGGTGTAAAAGGTTATGGTGATAATGGAAATGATCAAAAGAACAACGAGTATCGAGTTAATTCACCTGTTTACAATTCTCAATCATCTTATGGACAATCAGGTCAATCTTATGATAATTCTAATTCCAATTCTCAAAGTTATGCCTCTCCATCTTCAACATCGTCTGGTGGTAAATCATCTTACAACAGAGATTCTAATCAATATGATCAACAAAAATATGAAAACAAAAACAATGGTGGATCTGCTTATAATGGTAATAATCCTTATGTTCAAATGAAAGAATCAAATTATATGGGCACAAAGGGTAAATCATCTCAATCCAGTTCCAATGAAAATCAATCTGACTCTGGTTATTCAGGTAAAGATTCCAGCCCAGAGAACAGCGGATTTGACGAAGAAAGCTATGAAGGAAACAAAGGAAGTGATTCCTACAAAGGCGGTGATTCCTACAAAGGCGGTGATTCATACAAAGGTAACAATAATCCTAACAATTATGGTTCAAATAAAGACGATTCATATCCATCTCCTCCTCATATCCATCTCCTCCTGAATCTTTGTCTGGTTATGAGGATGATAATGAAGATGATTCCTCTAGTTACTCAAAGGGTCAAATCAAAGTCCCCATCATACTCATCTGACTCTGAATCATCTTATGGAAAACAAAAAGGAAATGATTATCCATCATTGACAAGTTCATATGATGGTGATCAAGATGATTGGCAATCAGGTTACTCTGGTAATTTAGGCTCAAGCAAAGGTCGAGGTAGAGGAAAAGGAGGAAACAAGGGTTCAAATAATTATAAATTTGATCTCTCTTCATACTCTGGCGACGATTCAAGCTCATACTCTGGTGATGACTCTGATGGTAAGCCTGATACCGACGCAATCAAAGCCGCTCTTGCCAATTATGGTTCCTTGAAAAACAAAATTCGTGATAGCAACTCGGGCTCTAGTGGATTAAAAGTTATTAATGACTACTCATCGCTTAAAAATTACGAAAGTCTTAAAGATTTGAGTTCCCTGTCGTTTGGCAGTGATTCAAAGGGTTACGGTGGAATCAAATCACTCAGTGATTTTAGTTTTAAGGATCTTTCAACATCAATGAAAGATCTTTCTTCTTTGAAAGATTATGCTTCATTGACCAAAGAACGACCTAAAAAAATAAAGCTCTCCAGCTATGATAGCTCAGATTCCCTTGAAGACTATGATTCAGGATCTTCTTCTGGATTATCTTCTGGACTATCTTCATACTCAAGTGGCTCTGACTCACCTATGAGTGGATATAGTGGATTATCCTCATATGACTCATCATCATTATCTCTCTCATCTGAGCCATACAGCGGTTCATCCAGTTTATCATCTCTTCGTCCATCTAAATATTCATCTTCCCTTGGTTCATCCAGCCTTGGTTCACTCGGTGATTCCACATACGATTCCCTATCTTCTGGTCAATCTTATGGTTCATCTGGACTATCAAGTATTTCCAGCGATTCTTCTTACGATATCGCTTCTCTATCCAGCTCACCCTCAGTGGCTCACACATCAACCTCCGGATCATCTTATGGATCAAGTGAGGTTCTCAGTTCCCTCTCTAAAATGCCAAGCTCATCTTCATTCAACCCAACAACATTTACTGTTTCCGATGCTGTAAATGGACCAGAAAGTGTTTCAAGTTTCTCAACTTATTCATCTCCATCAGCCAGTCTTTCCTCATCCTACCTTTCACCTTCAGGATCTGCTGATGTAGGCTCATCATCAATCTCAGCTGCCTCTGGCTTGCCTCTGTCGTTTTCAAATAGCGATAGTTATGGTTCAAGTCCTTCTCTTGATCTCTCATCTCTCTATGGCTCCATGATGAAATCATTTTCATCACCACTTTACTCTCCATCCTCACAACCACGGCCATTAACCTTCCCAGGTTCAATGTATCCTCAACAACAGCCTCCAATGCCAATGCAAATTATCAATACCTACACCAGTGGACCTGCATTCCCACCGCCACCACATTATGGGTTCATGTATGGTAAACCTGGTAATAAACCCTATCATCCTCGCCCTCACCCACCACCACCACCACCAAAGTACATGCAAAATGAACCTCAACAACGTCCACGAAGATTCCCCTCAGTAACCTCTCCACTCTCACTGTACAAGGTAATTAATAATTTGATTATTTAAAATTATTCGATGATTTGTTGCTTGTTACCCATCCATTACCATTAACCCATTAGATTCAATTTGTTTAACTTGATTGAAATGTTTCCAAAGATAGAAAACTTGTTAAAACTAAAATTTAGCAAGGAAAAGGTTCTCAATCTCATCAGATAATCACATTTTATTAAATCAATCAACATAACTATTAAACTATCCTTGAGCTAACTAAACTTTGATTGATTGGCTTTTTGAAAAGTCAAATTTCTTCTAACACTTTATTCATAATTTGACTTTGAATGATTCAATATTAATAGTCCAACAAAACTCTTCTAATGTTGTTAATGGCTCGTGAAGATGCAATTTATTTCAAACCTAATGATTATCTTTAAACAAGAAAAGGTAAACAATTTTAGCTCAACTATTTAACCTCAAAATTAGTTGATTCACTTTTCAACAGTCGACAATTAATAACATTATGGCTGCACAAAACTTTCCAATTCAACCTTTAACATCATCAAATAGCCTGGTCAGTTAACCTTTAATAGCTAATCTGTGCCTAATCAGTTTTTATTATTTTAACAAAGTTCCACTCATTACAATTATAATTCATGATAATTGTAATACATAATATAATTTATTGATTCAACTTTCAGCAACACAAGCAGCCAAAAGACCCAAAGGCAATCTCAGCTTAAATTTAGGGCAATAAACTTTTGGACAATTATTTAAAAAAAGTTTAACCTGAAAAAAAACAAAAATTAAACTTGAATAATAATTAATACACATAAGAAGAAACAAAATCAATCAAATCTGGTCAACTTTCCTTTCTGTGTCAAAACCATTTTAAAGTGCAGTTAACCACAAACTGTATTGATGTATTGATTTAACCATTTTACTCCTCTCTCCTCTTCATCCTATTTACAGGGTCTTCAAGGATTATCTTCAATAAGTTCACCAGGTAAATTCAGTGCCTCTTCAATACTCAGCTCATTGTATGCTTCAGGCTCATCTCCGGCCAAGTTTGTCATCAAAACAAACGGCAAAGGTTCTGGTTTACTAAGCAGTAAGTATCGATCTTTTTCTTTAACTTAAAACGCATTCAAATCTTTTATCAATCGTTAACAAACCAAATTAACTTGAAAATCATGATCAAATTCAATGAGTGAAAAATGATTTCACTGAAAATTGACTGGCAAATGTTAACATTTTAGAAACATTTTAAAATACATTTTCATGGTGATAAATGATTACCCTTTAGCCTATTGAAGCAACAATCAAGTTTTAGGTCGATCTATCTTAACTTATTAAAAAATGATGTTGATGATGTTCCAATTAAATTGATGTTGATATGAATTTCTCTTTCTCTTACTTGAATAAATAATTGCATGTTATTCATTATCAACATTTATCAGCCTTTTCCAGTAAACAAGATGAAAATGATTTTTAAATTATTCATGAAAGTTTGAAGTTGAAGAGCAGAAAAAAAGAAGTGATTTCATCTTGTTCTGATTAATGGAAACTCGATCAGAAACTATGAGCAGAGGAATATAAAAAGTTACCCTGTTTTTTCCCGTTTTAATAATAACTTATTAACGGATCATCATCATCATCACCATTATCATCAAATGTTGTTTAACTGTTAAAACCAATGCATAACTTGAAATCTGTTTACCTGTTTGGAGCAGCCCCAAGGGCCAATCAGTTTCGGAAAATATAACAGACCTACTGACCTTTCTCTCTCTCTCTCTCTTATCCACACGCTTGTACATGATGTTATCAATCGTGATGATCATCCTCATATCATGAAGCCAGTCTAAAATGAGGATCATCCTGATCCTTGTAAACAAAAATGAGAGTTATTTTTAGGAAAGAAAGTTTGAAATCACATTTTCCTTTTCCAATTATCACTTGAAAATTAGCTGGTCAACCTTGCCTTTTGAAGGTTAATTGTATTAACTGTGATGACCCAAGGCATCAGCCTATTTCAATGGTCTATTCTCATCGTCTTCATTGGTTCAGGTTTGTTTGTATCCGCAAGGAAAATATGATTGTTATGATTAGATATTAAATTACTGTTAAGAAGCAAAATTAGCAAACAAAACCATTTCAGGAAGTATAATATATTCAGACTTTTCACTCCCAATTTTATCGGTTAAAATGTTCAATAGATTGAAATGTTAACCTTTATAATTAGTCTAATTTTAATTGCATCCATTCCATGATCATTGACTTTCAAATGTTGATAATGTTATTAATTGCTAAAAATGTGTTACAATTGCTTTTCGCGTTTAACATTCAGCTATATTGAAAAAATGTTATCATTAATTACGATTAAGATTAACTTGTTATGATTACCTTTTGATCCTTTAATCTTTCATTGGAAAGGTCAATAACGGTTCTCATAACAGTTACACTGACCTTTATTAAATATTTTTGCCAGTTTTTTTCCAATTTTTATTAATTTTTCGATTTTTCTTTTTTCTCTTTTACCTTGCTTTTTAGGTCTTCGTCTGACTTCATCACCTTCTTCATCATTTTCCTCATCATCTTCATCTTCACCTCCATCACAATCATCCAATAAAAAGCCATCATTCACCTCACCATTTAAATTAGACAATATTTTTGGCCAAATTTACAAACTGCTTTAGTTTAATCAAATGAATAACCACCAAAATCATCCAATTGTCCACTTCAATTAATCATCATATCATCTCTGGGATCAACCAGGAAACCATTTTACCTGAAATGCCATGAAATGAAGGCAGACATCACTAAATGCCGACTATTTCAAGTTTTGTTTTATTTTTTGAAACACTTAATGTAACACAAAATTGATCCTAAAAAGATAAACTTAATTTAATCAAAACAACTTGTAATACAAAAATTAAACAAAAAAATGTTAAATGATCAAAATGTGGTTTCACCTAATTTCAATTGCAATCTCCTAAAGAATCAAAGTTAATTATTTGAGTCTTCATACTTGCACAAACGGTTAATGTTAAGTCATTTCACATTTTTTCACTGTTAATAATTTTAGGCCAAAAGATGTATTAATATATTGGATTATGATTAAGAACAGGAATCGGGTAATGATGATTAGATCATGATTTAAAAACAGTAAATCGTGAAATTGAACCAACAATGCAATTAAATTTGCATGACTTTCCCATCTTCAGTTGAACACGAATTGATGTCAAGTTCAAGACCTAAGATTCAAGTTTAAGTTAACTCTCAACTTTCCTGGTTACAAATGGTCACAATTGTTTATTTACACAAATTTATTGCCAATTAAATTGACCATAATCAATGAACACTAATAAATTGATTATTGACCATTAAAAAAGGATCAAATTGATGGAGCTCAATTGCAACCTGTAATTGATGCTTAACCAAACAATAAACTGTTATGGATTTTGTTACACACAATTTAATGGTTTATAAATAATACATAAAATTAAAGGTACAACTATTATTACAAACCAATAGAAATGTGATTAGAAAAGTTAAACCTTAACTAATTAGAATGTAAATGCACGTTTAGTTAATTCATTAAAGATGATAATTGAGAGTTTGAATATCTTTCATTAGTAACTATCATCTTCAATTAAAATGATAATTGTAATTGAAGCTGCTTTACAGGAGGCATTTTATTAAAGCTAAAAGTGCAATTTAGCACTTTGATCTCTAATTGTTTAAGCTGCCTTTCTGTTTATTTTTATTTTCATCTCAAATGAGATGCTAATGATTAACTTGGTTAGGTTGACAATTGAATAACAATGGTTAAGAGTAAATATTGACATTTACTTTGGATCATCAATCTTTTTTTGGGTATTATTTTTCACTTTACATTTGAAACCCAATTTATTGATCAACATGTAGTGAAATAATTTGCAAATTGTTTACAGCCAAATGACCCAAATTGAATTGTTGATTAAAAATGTGACAATTTTTTTGATTCTAGGACAACAACATCGTCAAACTAAATTAGTATAATGGTGAAAGGCCATTTTTAATGTGTTGCTGATAATTTTAAAAGCTGTAGTTGATTGAGAAGATTGAAATGTGCATATTTTATTAAAAACATTTAAGTATAATAAATGGAGTAAAACAAGTTGTAGAGTGATGATCAAGTTGATCATGATAAAGAAGACAGTTGATGACAATAAAGGCTGATATTGGCTGGTGTTAACAGTTTATTTTGATTAACTAAAGGCCTAACAGATGAAAGGTTAAAAGGAAGGTAATGGTTTCATTTAAAACGACTTTGATTCAGGTTGAAAGATTTAAGATTTATTCATTTTGAGCCTCATTGCCATTCAGAAATGATTATGAGGCTAGCCATTGTAATCAGCTTCATCGTATTGCAATTTCAACAATTTCAGAGTGATTGGAATCAATTTTTGTGATTTTCCTCTCGACTTTTAACCATTTCTCAGCTGCATTTTGAATTGAAAATAAATTAAAATTGAAACAAATTTAAAATTACTGATTGTACTGGTTTGTTTTAAGAAGACTGATTTAGTGCATTGTATTGGTAGATTGAGAGTAATGAAAATACTTGAAAAAGTCTTGAAAAAGTCTGGCCATTGATACTATTAACTGATTATTTATATAAATATATTTATTCATTTGTAATGCATAAATATTTCACTTTTCTGATTAAACATTATTTTTACTCTTGATTCAATTTGATTTACGATGTTAAGCCATTTATTTAATTCTTTTCCATGCTTTTCGCCTAATTTACCATTTAAATGGAATCATTATCATTACATGTTAACCTAGTCTCTCCCTTTAAACCCTCCGGGCTACTCAATGGGTTAGGAGGCTCTTCATCTCTTCTCTAGTTCACCATCTCCAGGATCATCATCAGCATCACCATTATCATCTCGCGCTTCTTTAGCATATTATCCTCTATAGACTTTTATTTTATGCCATTTTTGCTGAAAGAATCACGATTTGATTCACTTTGGATCTTTTAGTGGTTGTAACATTTGCGTTGTTTGTTATTCAAAATGTGGCCTGGATAAGGAAGGATCCGTTGGCCTGTTTGATGCCTTTTACAAGACCAACTCTATTCCGTCATAAGTCCATCGCCATTTCAAGTCACGAGTAACATTTGAGCTTGACACACTTTAAATGATCCACAGTTTCACATTTAAGTCTCCTCCATCATTATCATCTTGGTTCTTCCTCCAGTAATCAACTTGCTTTCTGGTAAAATCTGTAAGAGTAGAAAAAGCTAACAAAAATTGAATTTCTGAGGTTAGGCTCATAAAATATGCAGTAGTTATTACATCAACCCACCACAATAATTTTTAGGGTTCATATTTTCATTTTAATGTGAGCAACATTTACTGGCGAAAAGTTATCATAACTGTTGCTTGATAATGCGTTATATTAGCTGCTGATCTTCAACTGATTTTTAGATCACACCAATCATGTTATATTTATGTTGATAATTTAGCAAAGTTGGTTATTTTTCATTTTGTATTTCTTATGATTAAAATTAAATTTGACCTTTTACAAATTATCTTGTAATAATTAATGAAATATTTGCTCATCATTTAAACGCATTAGTAAGTTAGTTTGGTGAAATTGCAAGTATGACGCGACTTGTACAGTTAATCATGCATATTCAAGATTGGTGAATAAATTAATATCACTTTGTGTGTACCGTTAATTAAAATGGGTAGAAGCTTGTTTTATTTAATCAATAGTAATTATTTTATTTGTTGAATGGTGGTCTATACATAGGGATGTTTTACAGTTGATGCAGAATGAAGTTCCGTTTGGATCTATTTCAGGTGGCTGATAGATGACATTTCCTGCAGAAAAGAAAGAGAAACATATTTTGGGATGAGTTTCATTTAATTATTTGTAGCAACACCGGGAGGCTTTCTTAATTATCATTTTGATTTAGAAAGTACTATGAAGGTCTGAACCTTAATCTGGGCCTTACATGAATATACAGTCCATGAAAAAATGGATTGGATACCGTAGAATGGCCGAACAGTGATACTATCAGTTGTTTATTAATTTAACATTCAAATATTGGGTAACTTATATCGTTTGTAACACATTATTATATGCAATAAACATTTGATAGTAATAAGTTTTAAATAGGTTAAATAGCGAATAAATGTTTTACTTACATTAATGAATAGACGGAATTATCACAATTTAATGAATTTCGAAAGGGAAACAAGATACACTTGTATTTAATTTACGCGAAAAGGTTTTCACGATCAACACCTATATTTTCTGATTCCTCGATTGTACTGAATTTCAAGAAGTGAGCTGTTCGATGAGCCTCATGATAGAAAGCTTTTGGACGTCCTAGTCTTATATCGTACTTCATGTTTGCACTGTGACTTACACCTGTTGAAAAATAAACAAATTTGATTAAATATAAATGAATTGAGTGACAATTGACGTGTCATCAGGCATGGAGACTGATCAGAACACAATTAGGAAACAGATCAGCACTATGTGCTTGACTTTAATTTAGGCTTAGCTATTATCGAACATGATATAGAATAAGATCTTGCCCGTAAGAGTACAAGCCAACGTTTGAGTACAAACGTTCAGCGATATTGAAATTATTGAATAAAAACTTACCCATGAAATTGTAGTTCCATGAACCTTGAGTGGGTACCATAAAGAAACCTTGGAATCTTTCAGATAATAGCATTTGAACCTTCTCGTAATGAGATGGAAGATAACCTTTGGGATTATTACCACGATCTGTATTATTTCGACCCCACTCATAACCAGTTGGTGTCAGTTTATATGCAGTAAGTGAACATGAACCGGGAGTAAAACTACAAGTGATAACAATGGTCTTATCGGCATCCCAAGTTGCATTATCATTCATTATTTTGGCATGAGTAGTAATATCTTGAGGAGAAAGTTGTGGCAATTCGTTTGGTTGTGTGTGAATCCAGCCTAAAGGCTCCAAATCAGAGATGTATTCACTAGTTGGTAATTGTGATGGAAGATGAACAACTTGATGAGTACCCCACTGAGGAGGCATCACGATACAATGAATTTCTTTAACTTGAGGATTGTCACCAGGAGAACAGCCATAGAGATACCCGGCTATTTGAGTTCTCAAGTCAGAAATGATGATGAAAGATTTTAGAATATTTTTAGGTAAAATGTAAGTATAACCTGTCTCCTTGACATCGTCTGAGGAAACATAAATGTGTTGGGTTCTTAGATGAAGATTAGTAGCGGAAATAGCTCGAATTCTCCATTCTGTTTTACTAGCAAATGTCTGGGTTTCATAATTACTGGTAGTTGATGTTATTATTTCATCACCATGTTTATTGACAGTTCGAGTTGTAGTTGCTGTTAATTGGGACTGTTCTTTAGTCTGCTTTTCAATTTCAGCTATTTGTTGACGTTGAGCTGAAGGTGCAGAAATTTCCATACCCAGAATAATATCACGGATTTCTGACTGAGTAAGAGAAGCAACGTTAACATTATTCTTTTTACCGTAATCTGCAAGGATTAAATCTTTCAATTGGACTTCAATTTTGATCCATTCTTCATCAGTCAATGAAGGCCAGATGTGGTGAGGCTCGGTGATTGTAGTTTTGTCTGGCTTCAAAATAACTTTGGTCCTTTCATTATTAACGTGGAGAGCTCGAAGTATCAATATTAAACGTGAAAATGCCGTGTAAGATGAAATGGTTTTGAGCCAATCGTCGTAAAGATTGAAAAGAACCATCTGTGGCTCAGTTGCCTTAAGAATGAGATCACCAAACTTTTCAACTTTAAGGCAAGCTTGGAACGGCAATTGAAGTTCACTACCTTTAATAACAATATTTGGGAAATCCAGTAAATGAACCTGAAAAAAAGAAAAGATTCTTTAATTAGAGAAAGCTAATGGAAAGGTTAGAACACTATCAATATTGAAAATGTAGCTTTGACCACGTGAAATATTAAGTTATTAAAGATTAATTATTAGAAGTTAATGAAACATTCAACTAACCTCCAATGGGTCAAGCATTCCTTTTCTAGTAACGATAATTTGTTTAGGCTGTTCTTCGACTGGAAGAGATCGAATCAAAGCAGCAACTTCTTCAGCAGTTTTCCATTTAGCCAATTGACCTAGACGCTTTTGACCTGCCCATACACTTGTGTGAATAATTTTTAAGAAGAGTTGTCCAGTTCTTGGATTGAATATGAAAATGGCTCCATTGATTGGTTTAGTTGTTAAATTACCTTCGAAGGTTTTATGAATAGTTACTCTGTATACATTTGTATCATCTACAAACCAAATGATTTGATTTGAGAAAAGTTCACCGTAATTTTGTGATGATAAGTAAGGCTCTGTTGGTTCAGATGAATAAAGCTGTAAACCTTTACGAATTCGTTCACGCAATACGTACAAAGCGGGATTAGCTTTCATAATTTTAGCCATCGCTTGTTGTATCAAAGGTTTACAACCAGGGAACCAGTTACCAAAAGCTGAGTGCAAATTGTAAGCCAAATCAACAGCGATCAAAACTCCAGTAGGTGATGGATAAATACTCATATTATCTGAAGTGTAATCCAAAAATTTAGCTCGAGCGTATCTTTCGATATCGTGAGAATCGTAGTCACCCCATCTCAATTGTACATCGATCCAATATTTTTGAGTGGTAGTTCCATCCATGGTGTCTTTTGAATCGGCGAGTAGAGATGTTCGAGAAACATTCCATTTGTAGGCAGCAAAAAGTAATATATCAGCACAAGAGCTGTTCATTTTGTATGATTTACGCGGGTGAATGGTTTCTTTTTGAACTGTTTCAATTTCAAGAGCATCCAACTCTTGATCAAAGACTTGACAAAGATCCATGACAATACTTTCATGAATTTTTTGCCACAAGTGAGCTCTGAAAATTTGAATGAGGGAAATCTTGAGAGTTGGTATTTTACCGTGCATAAAAATACCGGTCAAATCAAGTTGGACCTGGAAACCAACATAAACATTGGCTCGATTTATAGTAGGAGACCACCAAAGAGTGAAACGTCGATTTGGAATTTGATTAAGACCAGATCTTTGAGCATTTGTCAACTTCTTATATTTCATTGATTCTTCAAAACCACTGGCCTTTTCCCAGAAAAGACCTTCCCATGTTGGGAAATAAGTACCTTTGAACAATGTGTGTTCTAATATACCTTCGACACCTCCAAGAGCTTGAATCATGTCTGTACGGTAATTGTTAAGATTCCAAAGTTTACCATCGTGACGTTGATGAGTCCACCAGAATGGATTCTGCTTAAGGACTTGATATTGTTTGAAATCTGTTCTCACACGCCAACCCTTGTCATAAGCTAATGTGTGACGATCTTTTTGGAATAGAGTATTAATACGAGGAATACCACGATCCCAACTGTCTTCCAAGTCTTCAAGGGTTAAACGTCGATTTTGAGTCAATGCCTCTTGTCGTTTCAATGCATATTCAGCCCAAACACGCTGAGAGTCGATAAACTCAGTTTCCCAAGGTTGAATATACCGGTATAAATTTGGAATAACTTGATCTTCGTCGTGACTCATACCAGATCGGAAGTGAGTGATACCAACATCGGTTTGTTTAGACCAACGCAAATCACTTTGAGGAATCAAAACATGACCCATTGAAAGCATACCCAATCCTCCAAGCTCTTTTGGAGTGTAAAACACAACTGGAGGGAATCGACTTGGCATTTTCGAGTTCAAACCTATTTTGATACGAGTTTGAATCTTGTTTTCACATTTAACCAATAAATCTAAAAGCTCTTGTGTATTTACAACTGCCTCACGGAAATAAGTCATCAAACCAATGAGAGCAGTATTCCATTTATTAACAATTTTTGTGAAAGTCGTTGATCCTGAAGCCATGAGAATCTGCCGCACACGATTATGGAATCTTTGCATCGATTCCTCATCAACTCTCAAGAAACATTGAGCTGTTCTTTCTTTGGTAACTTCATTCTGTAGATTCCAAACTCCATCTTTATGAGTAAACTCTTCTTGAATCATACGACACTTAGGTAAGATACGACATTCAAAGCCACACATGTTGAATAGAAGATTTGGATTGTCTTTGCTGTATACACAAACAAAACTGTTTTCCCAGTTAACAGTCGTAACTGATCTTGGTAATCTATTTTTGATGTCCCAGAAAACTGCTCGACCTAAGTTGACGTCATGTTTCATAAGTCGCATTCTAGCGTCTCTTGGCCAACATTTTTTATTGTTATAACCAACAATATTCTCGTTGTTTGGATCTGGGTGCTCAGTGAGATAACGTTGAATAAGATCACGAGCTTCTTCAGCGGTGAATCGGAAGTAAATATGAATCCTGTCGATATAACGGCAGTAAAGTCGAATTGGGTGAGCTTCTTCGGTCTCTGTATCTTGAAATTGGAGGAAGTCGTTAGGTATTGCTGGTGGTCCAGCCATTTCACTAGAACGTTGTAAACCGAGAACTAAAAGATCAAGCACCAAACCGTAATATTGAACAATAAATGAGGAAAATTGTAAACCCCGAATTATTCCATAAGAGTTAGTATGATTCATGTCTTTGTAATTAATGATAATGTTGTTTTTAGCAGTCATGTAATCAGCGATGTTATGGTCAACAATAAGTCGCAAGAGACGATTAAGAAGCGTCAAATCGATCTTCTCATAAATTTTCTCGAATTTAGATTCAAGCAAAACATTACATTCTCCTTCGCTGGCATCCCAAACGTTATTAAGATTGTTTATACCCTGGCACCACTTGTAAACAAGTAATGGCGGCGGTTCAGAGTCAGCGGGTTTGATCCACGGAGGGAACAACCTTCTTTTATCTGCTTCATACCATAGATACTGATCTAAATAAGCATCAGTAATCTTCTCCAGTGGTTCAACATCATATACAGGGACAAGATGGGAGTAAAGGTCCATGAATTCAATACTGACTTCTTTGAAAGCTCGTTGAGTTAAAAGGTGACGCTTAATACGAGAAAGAGCTTCGTGTGGATTGTCGTAAGCTTGTTCAATGAGACCGAGTTCCTCTCTTTGCGATTGGTTGAGTCTACTTTTGACGCTGTATGCTTCTTTAAGACGTTCCAAAGCTAAAATGAGCAGTTTGGTGTCATGTTTATAAGATAAAGGCGGGAAAGGAATAGGTGAAAATCTTCTACTTTCGAGCCAATGAACTGTGGTTGTATAAATAGCAACAGCTTCTTCAGCACTAATATATGGACCATCTTTAAGATAATTATGTTGTCTTTCTTGTTCAGATTTAAGGTATAATCTTGTTAAACGACCAAGATTCTTTTTACAGACAGTTTTGTCCACGGTAGCTCCTCTTCGAATTCTTTCTCGGTTGTAATGAGCTGTATTTGTCCACCAATCTGCTTTCATTTTAACATATCTCAAAATCATATTCTCGATAGGAATAGGTAATCCAGGAACCTTCCATGGGATATTTGCTTTCCAAGATCGCCAAGCTTCACTTAAATGTTGCAGAATTGTACGAGCTTTGTTCTGTTTAATACCTTCAGGCATCATATCAAGAATATCATGCATGACGGAAGCTCTCAATTCAAGATCGAAATGACTTTCTACTCTTTGTTTAGTTACAGTTTTGGCGACACCCTTGGATATACGTCCCTCGAACTGACGAGAAAGCAAGTTACCGAGCCATCTTTCAAGCAATGGTGTGATACCTCGCAAGAAGAATAACCAAACTCTCCAACCGGGTGCCCAGAAACCACATCCAGGACCTTTACCAACTGGACCAGTGTTGAATCGATAATAGATCAAATGTTTTAAATCTTTACACATTCTAATTTGTCTCATCAATTTATATTTGTAACGATACATTCCAGTCAATTGACCAACATGAGCAAAGATGTATTGAAGTCCGTCGGCAAGTTGGAAAGCATCAACATTGTTCAATCTGTATTGTACATGACTGTCGACTACAAGCTTAGTTAAACGAAGGATTTCACGACAAAGATGAAAAGCGTTACCAAACCTAGACTTTTTTCGTTCTTTGGTTGTCAATGTTTTAACGGGTTTGAGATTGAAGTTGTAATCAAGATGCAGGTAGTTAAGATTTTTACGATGGATCAATAAATTAAGCATGTTATAACCTTGTCGACAAACTTGAAGTCCAGCTTCAACCCAGTCAAGAGATGTTGTTTGAAAGAATTTCGTAGCTTTGAAGGAACGGAATAGATATCTTTTCTTTTGAGGTTTAGGGTGACGATGTTTGAGTGCATTCAGGACAAAATACTTCAGAAGCTTTTGATAAGAGACTCTCACTTTAACAGGCATACTAGGAGGACAATGCTCTAGATACCATGATTTGACCAGAGGAATATCAATGGCTCGACGAGACCTTCCAGAACGCAAGTTATAAGGTCTTGGAGCCCAAAGAAGCGCAATTCCATTAGCAGTATTATCAGTATAAAGAGGAAAAGTGCTCATATAGGGTTCTACATCGGCAGGTAAAGTGAAAACTTCATCATCGTCTAATTTATCATCATCAGGAATTGGTTCGATTGTCCTGGTAGAGATGCGACTATGAGAAATGGGATTAATGAGAGGATCGAAGTAAAAAGCAGGTAAATCTAAATCCTCAGTCTTGATGAAAACAACATTGGGTGTGTGATACCTGAAAAATAAAAAAACTTGTTAATAGAGTCAGCAGCCAATTATAGTCTTTCGCATAAGAAACTGATACGCATCTATTGGATTAGTCTTCCATAAGTCATTTGACAAAAGCAGAAGTTTGTTCCGCAATGATACAATAATGATTATGGTTCAACCTGAAATATGATAAAACTTACCAAGAAAGATGGACATAATTAGTCAAGTGATGTAAATTATTATAAAGATATGGGAATGCAATTCGATATTCTGTTCTGATAGGTTGTCTAATAATAATTTTGTTAATATCGTTAAATTCATTCCAATCTTCATCAGCTGGGTTGATATCTTTGATTAAAGGTTCAAACTTTGGACCTCCAGGAATAGACATGTTCAATGCTTTGGCCGTAAAAAATGATTTCAAATCAAAAAGATAAAAATAATTGTCATCTAAAAGATCAGTAATAAGAGGCTCAGCTAACTTATAGAGATTAGCAAGCTGAGGTATCGAGAGGTTCCAACGCTTATAAGAAGGACCATTCACATATTTAGAATCAACTAATGGTTTGTGCTCGTAAAACCATTCAACGACAGGTGCATCATCTTCTGAATCTAAATCCATCTGGATAGCTTCTAATGGTTCAACATCTAAAACATTGTCAGCGTAATCTAATGGAGGTTCTTCATCGTCAAAAGGAGGAAACCTCATTCTCTTGAAGTGTCTCCGATCACGTTTCTCCCTTCTCATCATGACCCACATGCTTCCCCATTGGGCAATGTAGATAGGCTCAATAACCCAAGGAATTTCATTAACAAAAGTAATAGCGCCGGTAATATGATATAATACTTTAACTTCACGAATCTGTTCCCAAGGCATAGGCATGTTTTCCATTAGCTTAAGAACAGCATGAGGCATAAATTTAAGCGCTCCAAGATAAACTCGCTTATCATGCCGGTACTTTTTGCTAGTCATATCACCATGATCTCGAATAATCTTCCGAACATGTTCCGGTGGCATTTCTTCTTTCTGGGCATCTTGAGTTCCAAATTTTCTTTTATCAGCATACCTTTTACTCTGTAATTGTTGCCATTGCCGAGACTTTTCCTTCAACTCGGCCTCCGAAAGAAAATGAACATCCTCCATGTTTAAACAAAAGAAAGATACAGTCACTGACAACTATTTAAACTAATATCGGTATGGTCAATCCATTCAATGTTCATTAATTAATTAACAAAAGGAAGATAAACAATTTAAATTGAAATATAATTAATAAATACGTTTTACTCTAAAAAAGAGACACAGAAAGAAAGAGAATATGGATGAGTGCCACATTTATTCCCTCCCCAAAAAACTCACATGTTCTAGTTACAAATCTTGCAGTTAGATGTCACTAGCTTAAAAATATCAACAAAATTAATTTCAAATTTTTGATTGTAAGCAAAAAATTAATTTTAATTGCATTTTAAAGGTACAAATGTTTTACTGTTGGTTCTTAATGTTATTAAATGTTTGGAGTTATTTTAAACATTTAATTTTGAACTTGTCGTGTTAATACTATGTTGATGTATTATTTTGGGGGAGATTTTTCGTGTGTGATCTTTGGAAGCGAATGCGATAACGAAAACTAAAATAAAACTTTTTAAGACCATTAATATGTCTAGCTATTTATTGATGATAGTGAAAATTCACCCATTTTCCGACAGTCTGTTGAGCAAAAGTGATTCCTGAAGTTCGGTTCCTGGCAAATCTTTTCATCTCGCTCGTTGGCAAGAAGTTGTACCGTTCAAACCAATCAATCCATGCATCCGGATCTGCAGTGACTGGTTCAGGATTTTTACTATTATCAGAACCAACAAATTCTGAATTCCCAGATTTTGCGATGGCGTAGGCAATAAAAAGCCCATTTTTCAAAATATCCATGAGTCCTGGGCAAAGAAGCATTTGAGCATTGTAAAATCTTGGCAGCTGCATTAAGGTCCCGACAATATTAACTAACAAAACAATGGAGGGATTTAGCTTGACAGAATAAGGAGATCTTGTAACAATACCAAAATCTAAAATGTAGGGCATGTATGAATCATTCTTGTCAATTTCTTGATTTGGATGGGTTAAATTGTCGAACTCGTTGAACAGAGATTTGGCCAATGACCATCGATTGATGCAGGCAGAACCTCCGAAGAATTTTTCTTCGATATGACGAGTTAAAACAAGAGCTGTACACCCCCTATATCTTGAATCGAGTGTTCCGAAACGTAGAGAAGTTATTTCTGTATTGACAAATTTATCCACAAACATATCTACCGCTGCACAAATTTTTTGAAAGTTTTTGTCATTGCTTAAGGCTATACCATAAAATTGATCAAAATTTGGGAAAGGAGTTCCTCCAGAGAGACGGGCATAAAGAGTTTTCAGTTCATCCATAAGCTTATTCTTGCTTCCATTACACCTTTCCAACCTAAATGACCCTAGTGCCAGTAAGGCAACTGCCATCGGAGGAGTAGGGTTAGTCATAGCATCAAACTGTATTTGTGGCAAATCAAATACTACAGTGACTAAATCCATGGGTTTCATTGTTTGCCCTGCTCGTCCAATAGTTATTCCAAACGATGTCCATTCTGCAGACAGGCGATTACCGTTGAGGGTTTCCAAAAATTTGTAAAGAAACAAATTTACCAAATCGGGTGAGATGGGCCGGGAGTCATTAAAACCAGACATTACTCTCGCTTTCAGATTATCTAGTTCATAGGAACCTTGAGGCAATCTGAGCACTGGTTTAGCGGGTGGGTTTCCGATACCTTCAGAAGGATACTGGGCGTGTTCGTCAAACATAACATACTCACGCGTTGTATCCATTGCGTCTAAATTCTCTATTTACTGTTAGATGTATGAGCTTTGACCAAAGTAATATTAAAGATTTGAGCGAATACCGTAGAATATTTAGTTCAGTCGCCAATCTAATCGATGTATATTAACTAATCAACAAAAGAAAGATAAACAATTTAAATTGAAATATATAAAAATAGATAAATACGCTTTACTCTAAAAAAGAGACACAGAAAGAAAGAGATTATTTCACATTAATTCCCTCCACACGATTTTCTGGGTGAAATAGGGTTCAACTTGAATCCCTCTGGTGTTAAAGGGTTACTTTAGGCACTCATTTTATATATTACGTCACTTTTGATCTTTTGGTCCTCGTCTGACTATTTCAAAGAACTTTGTTTTGTTTTATTCTGTTCCTTGATAGTTCTTATTCCTGATTGTTCGGAACAAATCAAGGCAAAAAAAATTGTTACAGGCGCTGACAATAACTCGAACATTCTAAGCAATTAACTAATGTAATTAAAAGATTATGGACAGTTTAATTTACAAATATAGAAGTCGAAAAAACTGTGAATGAGAAAAGGGCGATAAAATCGAGGTTAGAAAGTTTAATGGAATTGATAGCGATTAATAACAATAAAATATTCGATGCATTTTGCTCAAATAATAAAAATCAAAATTTATTCTGTCTATCATTTCAAGAGAGTTTACAAGATTTTTTTATAGTAAGTGCATAAGAATTGAATTACAATCGACATCAAAACTGTGTGATGAAAATATCTATTTATGAAGTAAATTATTGCAAAACCTTTGAATATCAATATAAAAATTAATCACCGAGATGGTTAACTCCATTAAATACTCAAGATTTAAATTTGGATTGGACTAATATTTTTGGACAAAAAGGTCAGAAATTATATTTTAACGAATCTTCAAATTATGGGATCACAAAAGTGCCTATTGAGGTGATCCAGAATACCATAAGATCTTGGTCATAACGATGAGGTCAAATGTATAATGTAGAAGTTCAAATGTTTGAAATAGATTGCAATCAAATTCCGATTTCTTTATTAAATTATAATCAGAATTTTGTTCACAATAATTTCCCCTCTATTTTATTGAAAGGAAGTGAATATGGATGAGTGCCACATTTATTCCCTCCCCGAAAACTCACATGTTCTAGTTACAAATCTTGCAGTTAGATGCCACTAGCTCAAAAATATCAACAAAATTAATTTCAAATTTTTGATTGTGAGCAAAAAATTAATTTTAATTATATATTAAAGGCACATATGATTTTTCTGTTGGTTTTTTATGTTATTACATGTTTGAGTTATTTTAAGCATTTAAAGATTTTTGGAAGCAAATGCGGCAACTAAAACTAAAACTAAACTTTTTCAAGATCATTTATATTTCTATTAGAATATAATAGATATTCATTGAATATATTGATTCTTCACCCATTCTCCGACAGTCTGTTGAGCAAAAGTGATTCCTGAAGTTCGGTTCCTGGCAAAGCTTTTCATCTCGTTTGATGGTAAGAAGTTGTAACGTTCAAACCAATCAATCCAAGCATCCGGATCTGCAGTGGCTGGTTCAGGATTTATACTGTTATCAGGACCAACCAGTTGTCTTTCTGGATTCCCAGATTTTGCGATGGCGTAGGCAATAAAAAGCCCATTTTTCAATATATCCGTGTGTACTGGGCAATCAAGCTTTTTGGCATTGTAATATCTTGGCAGCTGCATAAAGGTCCCGACAATATTAATCAACAAATTAATGGAGGGATTTAGCTTGACAGAATAAGGAGATTTTGTAACAATACCAAAGTCTAAAATGTAGGGCATGTATGAATCAATCTTGTCAATTTCTTGATTTGGACGAGTTAAATTGGAGTACTCCTTGATCAGAGTTTTGGCCAATGACCATCGATTGATGCAGGCAGAACCTCCGAAGAATTTTTCTTCGATGTGACGAGTTATAACAAGAGCTGTACATCCCCTATATCTTGAATCGAGTGTTCCGAAACGTAGAGAAGTTATTTCTGCATTGACAAATTTATCCACAAACATATCTACCGCTGCACAAATTTTTTGAAAGTTTTTGTCATTGCTTAAGACCATACCATGAACTTTATCAAAATTTGGTAAAGCAGTTCCTCCAGAGAGACGGGCATAAAGAGTTTTCAGTTCATCTAGAAGCTTGTTCTTGCTTTCATTACACCTGGCCAACCTAAATGACCCTAGTGCCAGTAAGGCAACTGCCATCGGAGGAGTAGGGTTAATCTTAGCATCAAACTGTATTTGTGGCAAATCAAATACTACAGTGACTAAATCCATGGGTTTAATTGTTTGCCCTGCTCGTCCAATAGTTATTCCAAATGATGTCCATTCTGCAGACAGGCGATTACCGTTGAGGGTTTCCAAAAATTTGTAAAGAAATAAATTTACCAAATCATGTGAGATTGGCCGGGAGTCATTGAAACTAGACATTACTCTCGCTTTCAGATTATCTAGTTCATAGGAACCTTGAGGCAATCTGAGCACTGGTTTAGCGGGTGGGTTTCCAATAACTTCAGAAGGATACTGACCGGGCTTTGCTGCGCCAATGGATCCATATCTACTGACAACTATTGTTCCATCTCTGCGTTTCAAAACATACTCACGCGGTGTATCCATTGCGTCTAAATTCTCTATTTACTGTTAGATGTATGATCTTTGGCCAAGTAATATTTAGATTTGAGCGAATACCGTAGAATATTTAGTTGAGTCGCCAATCTAATCGATGTATATTAACTAATCAACAAAAGAAAGATAAACAATTTAAATTGAAATATATAATAATAGATAAATACGCTCCACACGATTTTCTGGGTGAAATAGGGTTCAACTTGAATCCCTCTGGTGTTAAAGGGTTACTTTAGGCACTCATTTTACATATTGCGTCACTTTTGATCTTTTGGTCCTCGTCTGACTATTTCAAAGAACTTTGCTTTGAATGAAAATATCTATTTGTGAAGCAAATTGTTGGAAAAACTTTTAATATCAATATAGAAATTGAAAATTAATCACCGATATGATTAATTTCATTAAATACTCAAGATTTAAATTTGGATTGGACTAATATTTTTGGACAAATAGTTCAGAAATTATATTTTAACGAATCTTCGAATTATGAGATCAGAAAATTGACTATCGAGGTGATCCAGAATATCATAAGATCTTAGTCATAACGATGAGGTCAAATGTATAATGTAGAAGTTCAAATGTTTGAAATAGATTGCAATCAAATTCCGATTTCTTTATTAAATTATAATCAGAATTTTGTTCGCCATAATTTTCCCTCTATTTCAATCGGAGGTGACATCTATCGACTTTCAATAGACATTTAGTAGATTCTCATTCATTGTCACAGAAATTTTATGTTTTTTCTTAATCAGGTTTGCTCTGATTGTAGTTTGTCATATGTAATTTTGATATGCAATGCAAGATAAATTTTACTGGTTCCTGATGACCACTTCGTTTCCAACTGTACACCAGTTATAATTCGCTGTTTACTGTACCAATCAAAAGGTTAGTATTATTTCCATTGTCTATGTTTTACAGATGATTTATTTTTGCCTAGGCTGTTATTAGTAATAATTGATAATAAAGTTCCTTTCGTTCGTTGTTTCTTAAGGAAGAGGAAGCTTATGAGGAAGAAAAAACTTGGAAGATTGACAGAGCCAGAAATTTAATTACTCAAAATCAAGGTAAAGGCGAGAAATTCGCAGATTAATGAATATCTTCAGATTAGTCTAGATCAATAAAGTATAAGGGTTAGAAGAGGTTTCATCAAGAGGTTTCCAACAAATAAGAAAAAAGACAGGCAATGAATTCATCCTGATTAGTCTTGAAATTATCTTGTGTTCTACTTTCGACAAGATAAACAATTTTTCTCAGCTCAACTTTTACATGCATCAACTAATGATGAATCCTGTTTAAATCGTACTCTGCTCTATGTTGCTGACAGTAAGTTTCTATCATCACAGTCTCTTATCAGTTTCCAATACACACTCAATTCACATGTAATTAACAGTGATGTTTATCTTTTTAAAATTTTTAAATCTTGAAGCATCAATGATGAATCATTATTGTCTGTATTATTGTAAAATATTGTTAGCAACTCGCAAATAGTGAAGCATCTTTTCCGGTTCAATGGAAACACATTCCCCAATTTAGATATTAAATTGATTTTATTAGGCTATTCGGGTATTTTTTAAGAAATATTAGTTGATGAAACATGAAAAACGGAAAAAAAGGTGCATCACTAGCTCAGCCACGAAAGAAAGCTGCCAAACTAAGGCGGTGAGCTGTTAAATTTTTGACTCGACTGAGCTGCTCACCATATGACTACCTCAATTGAATAGCTTCGGGTTCCGGAGATAACAATGTTTTAGTCTGTTACCTTTCTTTCAAAATACAATAGTTAATTTGAGTATTACCATCTTTTGCATATTGGAAACCTTCATTGTAATTTGAATACACAATTTTTGCAGTGAATAAGCTTTTAACCTTATCTTTCCTTGTTAATTCTTCTTGTTTTGTTGATGACATGCCCACCGCCTCATAACCCATCTCTTCATCTTTCTCTTTGAAAATGGTAAAACATTTGTATCATCTATATTTATTTTATTGAAAATCATTTCCATCTCCATGTATCCACCTTTAAAAAAATTAGATTATTCAATCGGATAATGTTTTACATTTTCTGTTCGGTAAGAATTAATCCAAGCGTTTTCTTTTCAACCAATATATGCTCAACCAAACATTTGTTGTGAAGTGATGTGTTTTCCGAGCATGATGATACATGTAAAAAACCAGACAATGTTAAATGCTGTTTTTAGCATAGTTAATAGTTATTTGGTTATTGTTCAAACTCATCATCTAGTTTAAATGATCATTCTTATCTAATCTGTTATTTACTGTTCGGTGATGTGATAAAAGATGATTTATTACTCATTTTGGCAACTCGTAACTTAAAATATTGAAATGTTATTTAACACAATTTTTTCTTTCATTCTATGTGCATGAAGATGTATTCATCTTTTTCTTCTGGCCATTCAAGTAACAATGCCTGTCCGTAAAGAAGAGGCCCACCGAGCTTTGGAACTTTTAGAGGAATACCATTCGAAGTTACTATCTCCTCGTGACAAACAATTAAGGAATGCGCTTGAAAGAGTTTTAAGAATCTTCAAATCTCGTCTGTTTCAAGCATTGCTTGATATTCAAGAATTCTATGAACTTACCCTTCTAAATGACGATAAAAGTGTTCAACAAAAGACCGCGGAAACTTTACAGATAGCTTCAAAATGGGAGAGTAGCCCACTTATTGCTCCACCAATTGATGAAGTCGACCTTGCTCAGCCACTACCTCATTCCAGGTCAGTACCTAACCGAGCGGATGTGGGTGGACAGCAAACAAAATACTCTAGAGGCTATCAAAGTGATGAGGATGTCAGCTCGTCTGATTATAGAGGACCATTGCCCTCGATAGACAACTTTAATTTCAACATTGTCTCTAGTTTAGATGCAATTTCTCGTATCGAGAGACAAGTAGCTGAAGAACAACTTTCCGAGGAAGTGACCAATTTACGATCAATACCTGGTCAAGGTAACCAGATAAATTCAGATTCTCGTATACAAAACTCACCGGCTCATCGAGGTTATCACGAGACTAACAATTTTTACTCGGATTCTTCTGGAGTTTCTCATTCAATTCATTCACATTTATCTTACCCTCATGATCCTAATCAAGTAAGTTTGACTCATTTTGATAATAAACGATCAGTTTGTTAGCAATATCTTATTTATTCTATTTACTAGATTAACTTTATCTAATCTTTCATGTTCATATAAATTATTTATCCTTTATAACTTCAGGGTCGACCTAGTCCATCGAAAAATCATCCAACAAGATCTATTGATGATATTACTAATTCAGTGATCAACCTCAAATGTGAATCTACAAATCATCCAATCTGGGAATATGAAGAAATAACTTTAGAGAGAGGCAATGCAGGTCTTGGTTTTTCAATAGCAGGAGGTATAGGACCGTAAGTAGTTTTCACTTTCAGATGATTTCTTTCCATCAATTTTTAACAATTTGCTTACCATGAAAAACCTTTCCTTTCTATCTTTTCATCTCAACAATTTCTTAATGCTTTTTGTAAAATATTTAATCTTAATATCAGAGTAACTGGAAATGAAAATTTACCCGTTAATACTGATACAAACATTTATGTAACCAAAATAATCTCTGGTGGTGCAGCAGCATTAGATGGACGGTTACAAGTTGATGATATTATACTTAAAGTAAATGACATAGATTTGATAAACTGTCCTCATCCGGCTGCCGTTGAAGCTTTGAAAGAAGCTGGAAATAGAGTGAGACTTGTTGTTAAAAGGCGCAAAGATGTTGTCATTGAATTACTTAAGGGTGACAAAGGACTTGGTTTTAGCATTGCCGGAGGGATTGGGAATCAACACATTCCAGGTGATAATGGAATTTATGTTACCAAAATTATGGAATACGGAGCAGCTCATCTTGATGGTAGATTACAAGTCGGTGATAGACTTATTGCTGTCAATAATAAAAATCTAGAAAATATTACTCATGAAGAAGCTGTTGCTACACTTAAATCAACCGCTGATCGAGTTGTATTAACTGTTTTGAAAGGAAATGTGAGGCCAACACTAAATGATCCAACCGTTTATCAATCTTATTCCAATCGTAGCCATTCACCTAACCCAGTAAAACCAATCTGTACTCTTCCATCAACATCTACATGTCTTACCTCATGTCCAATAACCACTGGTTTCCCTCAGAAGGTAATTAAATCCATTTATTCCAAGATCAATCAAGCTAACATGTTCAAGGTTTAGGTTTTCTCTTGAGTTTAATTCATTTAAATTTGCCAACTTTTTTGTGTTTGAGTTAGAGAGAGCAAAATCCTCACTTGTTCAACCATTGTTTCTATTCAATCATCCATGAAATCCATTCATATTCTTTTCCTGATTTAAAATCTCTGGATCTTGTTCCTTTTGTTTTAAATTTCTCTCATCAACTTTGCATAATATCCTTCAGTGCATCCATTAATCACAGATTAACATAACAAACTTGCATAAAATTAAAAAGCAACCACTTGTCAAAACTCAACTTACCATTCATAACTTTAATGATCCAATGTGACCTAACTAACATTGGGTATTATGATAATAATTAAAAAGATACAAAGTTACATTGTTCACCAGAAAAAAGGTAGTCTGATCTTCAAAACAAAGTGCCCCTGACTAGAATCAATTATATGTTGAATTGTCCGGTTTTGGCCTAATACGGAGCCAGAGATTCGTGAAAATATTTTAAAAGTAACTTTGCATGTAGATCAGCTTAAGGAGAACCTGAATCTTTAAGAATTTCTTCTCTATGACAAAGGGTTGGCTACAAAACGTTCTCAAAGTTTCTGACTTTAATTACCGATTTCTTAGTAACTTTAAGTGATACAATAAAATGGATTCTGGTTTCAGATTTTAGATTATCTGTCTTTTGAACAAATCGATAATTGATTCTAGTCAGTGGCAATTTCCGACTTCCTCCTTTAATCTACCATAACATTTTAATGGACATTTTTTATGGAATCTTCTTTTGAGTCGTTAAAAGCAATACAAAAGCTTAAACTTGATATAAGCCTCATTCATATTTAAACATTAGTTTGAGTTTTAAGAATACCTTGACTCAAAAAGGTTTGCTTCATGCAATAAACCTATTTTAATCTAAATAAATAATCAAAATTTATTTTCTGAATACCAAAAGAGCCCAGGAACTGAAGAGGAATGGTGGAGACAAGGTGGTGTTATTAGAGAAGGACGAGAAACAGCGTTTGGTATGGTTCCAACTGGGTATAATATGGCTCCATCTCCATCTATTCCTGATTCGAATAAACCTATTGATTACAGCACTACTGGCCAGGTATGAGAATCGAAAATTTTATTCATTTGATTGATAACTCAGCTTTTTATTCCATTTTTTACTGGTTTTATTTACAGGAGATTATGAACGTTGTTGGTGGAAAATTGGATAAAGAAATTGATTATTCAACTCGTGAACCAAGAACCGTGGTATTAACTAAAAGCTCAACAGGTCTTGGCTTCAATATTGTTGGTGGTGAAGATGGAGAGGGTATTTTTATATCTTTCATACTTTCTGGTGGACCTGCTGATTTAAATGGCCAATTAAGACGCGGAGATCAAATATTATCTGTTAATGGTTTTGATTTGAGGCATGCTAATCATGAACAAGCAGCAGCAGCTCTCAAGGGAGCCGGTCAAACGGTTACTCTAGTCGTTCAGTACAGGCCTGAAGAATATAACCGATTCGAGGCGAAAATTCATGATATGAGAGAACATATTATTTTAAATGCTTCAGGAAGCCTGAAAACTTCAATCAAGCGATCCTTTTTTGTCCGTGCTCTTTTCGATTATGATCCTATGAAAGACTCTGGCTTGCCAAGTCGAGGATTACTTTTCCGTTTTGGTGATATACTTCATGTTATAAATGCTTCTGATGATGAATGGTGGCAAGCAAGACGAGCTTTACCAGACGGTCAAGAATCTGAATTAGGAATCATCCCTTCAAGAAAAAGGGTAGAAAAAAAAGAAAGAGCACGTTTGAAATACGTTAAGTTTCAAGAAAAATCGGGCTCTGATGGTAAAATGAGCACTATTGATAGGAAAAAGAAAAACTTTTCCTTTTCACGAAAATTTCCTTTCATGAAATCACGAGATACTGAAGATGAGAGTGATGAAAGAGACGATAGATCGCCAACTAAAGATCAAGTTGAATCTTTGGTGAGTTTTTATTGGCTTTAATTTTATTTAACAATGTAATTTAAAATTTTATTCCTCGTTTGTATTAATGTTTTTTTTTACACTTGTTTTATGTTCATTTTCAGTCGGAAGCTGATCCATCAAATGAAGTGGATAACCATAAAGAAGATAATGTACTTTCGTACGAATATGTTATTCAACAGGAAATTAATTATAGACGACCTGTCATCATACTGGGACCATTAAAAGATAGAATCAATGATGATCTTATTTCGGAATTTCCTGAAAGATTTCAATCTTGTGTACCTCACACCACCAGGCCTCCTCGTGATTACGAAATTGATGGACGAGATTATCATTTTGTTGCAAGTCGTGAACAAATGGAAAAAGATATTCAAAACCATTTATTCATTGAGGCCGGTCAATACAACGATAACCTTTATGGGACCTCTGTTGCCTCTGTCCGCTCAGTTGCTGAAGCTGGTAAACATTGTATCCTTGATGTTAGTGGAAGTGCAATTAAAAGACTACAGGCAGCCGGACTTCAACCCATAGCCATATTTATTAAACCCAGATCAATTTCTTCCTTAATGGATATGAATAAAAGGTTGGCCGAGGATGAAGCTAAAAAGCTTTATGAAAGAGCCATGAAGCTGGAACAAGAATTCGCTGAATATTTCACATCCATCATTTCTGGAGATACTCCTGAGGAGATCTATGCAAAAGTTAAATCTGCCATAAGTAAGTAAATGTGGTTAATCAGATGATCTTTGAAATTCAATTGCTAATCTTTTTCTATTTCTTTTCCACAGGTGTGAATGATTCATCTATTATTTGGGTACGACCTAGAGATCAAGGATTATAAATCTAATTAAAAATTTGAAAACTAAAAGTTTGATGATGGAAAGACAACTCGATCTTCCTCCAATATTTTGTCTCTATCTATTCACCAGCATCATAACTTTTCATTTTATGAAAAACATCTCACCTTAATATCGTGATTCATCACAAGCCCAACACACAAATTAAGAATTACAAACTTACCTAAAATACACATTCATAAAACGCTTGTTTCGAATGTTCAGCCAAAGAAATTTCGTGAACACATACTTCCTCTCTTCGGACAGCTTTCTCTATTTTTAGCTCTCCAACGTTCTGTCACGTTAATTATGTTTTTTTTAACAAAAAGCGTAAAAGCAAGCAATCGAAAAACCTTTTTAAACAAGCTCACTACTGCTCACAAGAAACTTCATTAAAGATGCTCTGGATGTGCTTTCTTTTGATTCCAAATTTTACTTAAAATCATTGCTAATATTAATATTACAAATTCTTCACCCATTGCTCTGCTTTGCTTCTTTGTTCATCAGCTCTTCCATCATTCATTTTATTGATGTCATCTTCAGATTCAAAATCTATTCTGTCTTTAACTCTAACTCTCTGTCTTCACGTCACGTCATTTCATTTAAAATTGTTTCAAAAACCATGCTTTTATCTGTTGAATTCCTGAAGAAAAACAAATGAGATCAAAAACAATAATTACATACACTTACATAGAACAAGATTGTTTTTTCTCTCCAAATCACTAGTAAAACTATTTAATTTAACAACAATTAACCAATCTCATGATTTTTTAGTTTTCTAAATGTTAGTGAATGAGTGAGAGAGAAATAATAAATTGCAAATAAATGTATTCGTTAATGGACAAAAGCTTTAAATTTTTAAACCACACATTTGTGCAACAATTAAAACGGTTGTTTGAAGAGTTCATTATTTTTTTAAATATTATCTAATGAGTATGAATCTTTCCGATTTCAACAGCGTGTCTGAGTTGAATTGAGTACTAAATCAAACTTTGATCAGTGAGCAATTGCTTCATTATTTTACCTTGAGTCCATTTAAAGATTTAACACTTCAGCTGATTAAATTAATGAACTGTAGTTGCAAGTTACGAAATGTCAGGACATCAAAAATCAAAAAAATTGCAATATGAGTCCCTGGACATGCGCGGTGTCTTTTCCTATTTTCTAATGTGAGTCTCAAATTGGTGGATCACTTTGAAGAAATGCCGAATGATAGGTGATACAATTTGTTTTTGTTAATTAGGTGTGTCCTAATTGTGGTTTACCCTCTTTAATCTTGAAATACTATGCAATTGACAATTTCAGTAACTTCTCATGACCACATCTTTTCGATTCGTGCTATGATAATTGCTTGCCTCTTTGATACCAATTCAAAGGTTTGTATTATTTTTACTTATCAATTTCTCAATGTAAATGTTATACTCTATGTTTGGTGAGTGTGTTATGTATGATGCTAGTTAAAGTTCCGTGTTTGCTTAGTTGTCTACCTATCTATCTGTCTGTTTCTGTCTTTTTTGGGTTGCCTCCTTGTTTTAGTTTCTTTCTTCCTCTTTTCTTCCTCTTTTTTATTATTAAAGCTCGTCCTTTAGATTTCTATTTTCTGTACTCATTCCTTTTTTTCAGTCAAAGTTCATTGAACAAGATGTCCCCCATCAGCTTCATTTTATAGATTTCACTGTCTTGGCCAATTTCTACTTTTACAGAGCTTATTTTTTAATGAACTTCAACAAATATTGAAGCTGTTGAAAGAAAAGGAAGAGCAGCAGAAAATTTAGTTGACTCGAAAATTTGGCTGCTCAAATTGATGATGAGGATGAGTATAATGATCAGTGACCGAAGAAACATCACCAGCTTAGAGTACAGATTAAGATAGTATTAAGGCTAGAAGAGGGATACATCAAGAGGCTGCTTTCCAAATAAAAAAACAGGTAATGGATTCGTCTTGACTTGTCTTGAAATAATTTCATGTTCTGATTTTGTAAAGATGAGTAATTTTTCTCTCAGTCAATGTCCCTTTACTCGCCGCATACATAATTTAATAAGCAACCCTGTTTAAATGTAGTGTAATTCACTGTCTATTTATTGACAATGTTTTGTTTTTACCATGTCTCATTTCATTGCTACATGAAGATAACAAGTTATATGTATTTTTTTAGTGTTGTTCATCCAGCCCTATCACAGAAGAGTACCAAATCATAACTGTCTATCTTTATCCTCTTCTCCCCTTTAAACTGTTTGATTATCATTAAGCCTGTTCTAGAGTTCTCTTTATTCATTATAGTGAAATTGTGAATTTGAATATTTTTATGCCTTTTCATGCCTAGACCTGAAAGATAAAATAAATTCTATATTAATATGTAATTTCTTCCTATTCTATCATTTTTATCTTGTTTATTGTGGTATTTGTTATTTCCATGTTTCCATCACTATTGATCTATGTTTTCTAATACTTCACACCATCATCATCACTATCAGTTCCGTAGTATGTTATATAAACTAAAACCAGATGTATGTTCATCTTGACATTTATAAAATTATACTGTGATCTCCTATTTACATTATTTCTGTTTCAATCTTTAATTTATCTTGGTGTATTGTTTGCTCTAGTCTTTGGTGGTAAAAATCAAATTATCAAAAAAACTAACACTTTCTTCTATTTTTCTCTTATATTCAGGATTATGACGACTTATGATGAACACCCACAAATCGTAGAGGACAAAATCTGACTTTCAATTTATAAATAAAATATTTAGAGATAATATTCAGAAACCACAAAGTATTAAAAAGGATCAAAATTAGCATCAATCCGGAAAAGGTGTTGCATTGCAATTTGCCAATACAACTTGCAGCTTTAGGTGTGATCATCATTTTAACAAATTTAGCTGTGTGATAACAACTTTAAGTTCAAAAAGGACCCGGAGATCATCATTTTTTATTTGTCATTGATTCGTTTCATCTTTAAACTGTTTGGTTTTGCTGTTTCCATTGATATTGACTAAGTGCGTCGATTCGCCTGTATTCACCATTTTCAAACTTAAAATCAAATGACAATGAATATTAAAAAAGGCAAAGGCGGAGAAGAAGTTTATGTGATAGCGAAATACGATTACACTGCTCAAGGCTCTCAGGAATTGGACTTGAAGAAAAATGAAAAGCTTACACTTTTAGATGATACTAAAAATTGGTGGAAAGTGCTTAACTCTAAAAATCAAGCCGGATTTGTTCCATCAAATTATGTTAAAAAAGAAAAACCATCAATATTTGATAGTATACGAAAGAAAGTACGAAAACGTAGTGAGTCAAAAAGCAGTATTTCATCTCCAGTCTCATCCCCAGTAGCAAGCAGAACGGTTGATATCAATATAAATGGCTCACCGACCAGTGGATGTAATTTAAATCGATCTCCGGACTTAGAAGCCGCAATTTGTGCCAATCCAGTTACCTCATCATCTTCATCAAATCCATCTCAATCGATAGCATTGGTTAAATACAATTATGAAGCTCAACAATCAGATGAATTGTCTCTAGTCAAAGGAAGTCGTATTCATGTGCTGGAAAAATCGAGTGATGGTTGGTGGAAAGGAGAAATAGATAATGTCGTTGGTTGGTTTCCATCAAATTATGTTCTCGAAGAGCCTGCAGCTGCTGTACCAATTGTCAAAGAAAACAAACCAGAAGTCATCCTTAATGGCAGACACGGTAATGGTAGTGGAATAAACAGTAATAATGTCGGTGTCAACAGTGATGTTGGTGCTCCTGGTTGTTCAATGGTAAACAAGGTACCCGTAGATAATGGTCTCAATAGAAATCAACCAACAGTTGAATTCGAAGTGGTCATTGCACTTTACTCTTTCACCTCTCAAAATGAAGAAGAATTGAGTTTTCAACGTGGTGAAAGATTAGAAATAATTGACAAACCTTCTAATGATCCAGATTGGTGGATGGCAAGAAACGCTTCAGGTGATACTGGTTTGGTTCCTAAGAATTATGTTCAATTAATCAGTGACAAACAAGAAACTACCGTAAATGTGTCTAATAGCAATCAAATGGTCTCTGGAGTCGCTAAAGACTTGGCAAAACTGTTGCTCTCAGAGACTGCGAAATCATCAGGACCTGTGAGTGGCCCATACAAAAACGGAGGAGCTCATAATGACCTGCAAGCAAAACCATGGTACTTTGGATCAATTTCAAGAAGTATTTGTGACCAAATGCTTAATGAAAGTGCTACTGATGGTGATTTTCTTATTCGAGATAGTGAGACAAATGTAAGTTCAAACAAGCTTGAAAATAATTCAGAATAATTATCCAATTATCATAACTATTTTATCTTTCTTTTCAGTTTGGCGATTTTTCAGTGTCTCTTAAAGCTCCCGGCAGAAACAAACATTTCCGTGTACATTTTGACAGTGGTGTATATTGCATTGGTCAGAGAAGGTTTAACTCGCTCGATGAATTGATTGAACATTATAAAAAGGCGCCCATCTATACAACGCCAAAAGGACAAAAGATGTATTTAATCAAACCCTTTTCACCAGCCAATTAAAATCAAGTCAACGTTATCAATAAGAGAAATGGATGGATTGAAACTTGTCTCCATGTTTTAGCAATCAATCAAGATTTATCATCTTCATATTCATTGATGTGCATAATTTACTTCACCTAACTTTGCACTTCATACTTCTAATATGATCTAATCCTTCGCTCCTCTAACTTCCTTTCAACCTTTCCTTCTTATAGCCAAAAAAAGTTTCTACTTCAAGTTAGCCCTACTTCAATCTCCTCCTTTCATTTTGATATGGAAACGTATGAGCAGAAAAAGAATATGAGAAGAATTATTTAATGTTAAAACAAACAAACCAGATCTATACTAGTTTCCAATCAATATCAATACATCTCAATGTTCATCTTATCATGACCCAACACTCAATTTAAATTTGCCATTCTCTTATAATCCTTGACCTTAAACCTTGACTTTCATTCTGCTCCTAAATAATTGTGTTTCCATACTCAATTATGTTTTCTATGACCGAATTGATTGCCGAAATCAGGAAAAAATCTAACTACTTTGAGGTATAGACAAAAAATTGGAGCAATCGAAGATTTTTCAATCAAGTCAAATCCTGACCTTTTCATTTAATTTATTTGATTAGATATTCTAACTAATTTAATGAGATAGCATAACAAAAAACGAGTCAATAACAAAAATAAAACCTTTTATATTGATTTTAATAAACTTTCACCCAACCCTTTTCCCACCAATCCAACAATCAAAATACAGAAATACCTCTTGAGACGAAAAAATTTAGAAACTCAATCATATTACAATGATTAAAACAAAAACAAACAAACAAAACATTGTAACTTATCAATACTCATAATTTCAATGAAAGGTTTCTGTTGAGAAAGATAAAATGATGCAAGATTCACCATAGTTATTATTGATTCAACAAAATTTTCGCCATATTTCTTCACTCTTCCATTTCGTACTGTAAAATTCATTGTATTAATACAATAACTGTTGTAATCACAATCATCATCGTCATCTTAATAACTGCTTCTTGTTAACAAACTGTAGGAAAAAACCGTCAACTTGCCACCAACCCAAGTGTATGGATGACCACAAAACAAAAGAATCAAGAACTCATTAGTCTAATCAGGGCTGCCCCAGCATAATTAATTAACTAATTGAATGCTACCCAGTCTCTCCTTCATTTTGCCAATCTTATGTTTTACATGATTTCTAACATTAATTTTGTTTTCCCTTTTCAACCTGTTTGAACTGCAAATCACAATTTTCATTATCAAAAAGTCAGAGAGAAATACTTTACGAAATTAATGATCCAAGCTCTAATTGTTTTCTTCTTCTGCTTTCGTTTGATATTATTTCTATTATTATTATTATTATTATTATTATTATGATTTATTATGTTTATTATTATTGCTATATGAATAATACCATGAGCTGATCAACCTACTTTTTGTTTCCAATTTCAATTCATTTATACTTTTATTTGTACTTTTAAATTTTATTCTATCATATTTTCGTTAAACCCAGATTTGAAATATGATCGAGCAAATCTCAATGAATACAATCAAGCTTGCAGATATTTTGTCCTTTTCAAATACACTCATTTTATATCGACTACTGAATACCAAGCAATTTAGAAAAAAAGATTTCTTCCAAAAAAAACAGTTTCGTTTGCTGGTTTTCAAATTAGAAGGCAAATAGAAATTATTAAACTCATGATTATCTTGCCATCTAGAGATGAGCTTATGAAAGTTTCTGTGTGTCCATAATTTTTACACCCATCATTTGCCATCAAGTTAGAGCTATTGTTTAATAGAGTTAATCTCCATTCTTCAGGTACCAAGTCTTGATTGTTAATCGGTCAAAATTTAGTGAGAACGAGCCTTAAAATCCTGGTAAGTGCTGAATCCATTTGATACTGGTAATGTCAAATTATGCGAAAAAATAAAGACTAGACTAGGAGGATTTTTGCAAAAATTTTATGGCTGATTTAATGTCAAAATTAGATTCGCGAAAAATAGTCATCAGAGTTCAAGCTCGTGCGAATATTCAACAAAAAGCTGTGATAAAAAACCTCAATTCGTGTTAAAACATCGAGAAGATTTTCCAGTATTTCCCATTCAATGGGACTGAATAACATTTAACAGAATATATTGCAAGAGTAAAGTGGACACCAATGAAGCATCAACTGATTTTCCCAAGTTAAAAGGAAATGGTCTCAAGATGAGGCAAAATTCATTCTAATTAATGATAACTTTTTCTTGGATGTGTCTTTTGTTTATCATGTAATGGTTTGAGCGTATAAAGATTTTACTTTTTATGGGGAAATGTTAAGCTTTTTTTAATAATTCTAAAGGCACTAAGAATATAAATTACAAAACAGTTAGAATCGACCTTTGAAAACGTAAAATTTCTCATAGTTTTCGTACAAAATTTTGAAAAATTCTCTCCCAGATTCGTCAAGACGGCAATGGATCATATCATAAATGCTCTTCCAATCTTGATTAGATTTGATCACATTAAATAACCTATAGATACATAGGGTTAAATTTTGTTTAACCAATGGGTGGACATTAAATTTATGATTCAGGTGAATATAACATGTGATCAAATGAGGAGCAAAAGGTGTAAAATCATCAGCAAAATCGTTTGTTAGCTGCGAGATTAATTTGTTGAAATTAGCTGATCCATCAACTACACATGATTGATCTGTTTTACTGTAGGCAGTGAAAATAGAGTGGTCAGAAATTTGAATCAAGGTAATCAAATAATTTTGCAGCAAATCTTTTATAAGAACCATGCTTGTAGTTGCCATGCTATTGTAATTAAGAAGAAACTGATGAACAATTGATTGACCAGATATCAAGACCTTGGAGTACATAGCAGGTAATTTGATCAACCGTTGAAGTGGTAAACACGAGCAAACTTGTAAACAATAATATAATCTTGGTGAAGTTAACAGGTCCCTTCCAACACGTAGAATATCCTGAATTAAATCACAACAAGCTGAAATTAAATGAGCATTTATCGAATCGCAAGTGCTTTGTCCCAAAATCAGCTCATTTATTGAATGAAGAAGCTCATCGAGACTAGAAGCAATAAACTGGTACAATTGATTATCTTTAGCATCCTTTTTGGTCCATTGTCTATCAAACAGCCCTTTCAATGCATGGATAGCTATTATTTTCTTTGACTCTAATGTCTCACTTTTCAGAATTTTTAAGCAATAGTTCAAATGACCATCGAGATCACCGGATTTTTTTGCTAAATTTTCAAAAACACGCTTTGATATTACTGGTATTGCTCTTAAACATGTAGAAATATTTCCCTGGTTCATGAATTCGTCAATATTTACATCGGTTTCCTCATTGATTTCAGGATAATCTGGAAACAAGAAAGACCATAAAGGACGATCTTCATCAAATATCGATAACGTATCCAATCGGTTAGACTTTTTACATAGAAAGGTCAATAGAACAACATCAGATTTAAAGTTGATTGAATCCATATCATAAAGTGAAAATTTGGATAATGACTTCGAGCATAATGAAGTAAACTGTCGGAGCAAATCAGCGTTTCCTTCATTTGAAGCTGAACTTTTTTTTGAAAAATATTCCATGATAACCATCAAAGTACTGTTGATTTCTTTTGGGGTAAACTTTTCCTTCTTCGATTTATTCAATGAAACCAGTAAATCTTTAACAAGCAGTTGAGATAAGAGTGGGTCTGAATCCATTGATATTTCTAATAAAATTGTGCTCAAACACAATTTGGTACGCGGTTTAGCACACTTAACATAATCGTAAATAGATTTCAAGATAGAGATTTCTGCCTTATCATTATAGTCTGAGAAATACTTCTTGATGATAGCATTGATGAATCTACCATAGCATTCATGAACGGAGTCTTTAGAACAAATATTTTGAAAAAGTTTCGAAAAGAAATCGGATGCGGGATAAATTTGAAAAAACCAGAAATAATGTTGGCTTTGTAGAATAGAAATCAGATAATTGGCGGATAATTCACCAATATCAGAATCAAAGTCCGATGAAAACAGCAGTGAAATCAGCAATACTGAACATTTTAACTGTGATTCGCCTTGTAGATGCTCAAGTGGTAAATAATCAAGAATTTTAAATGCTTTGTGTGTTGTCTCTGGAATTCTGATTGCTTCCTTTTCCTGGAATGTATTTTCTATATAATTTTTTAAATCTTCTTTTTCTCCATCATTGAGTATCTCGGATGAATCGTGAAAAAATCTTTGCTCACATAAGTAACTGTAAAGTCTACCGAAATTGTGCTCACTGGGAAAGGCGGATGCAAATTGCTCAATAGTTGAATTTAACATTGATACAACAAACACAGATTTTTCACATCCTTTCTCGATGGTGGAAGTTAGTGAGTAACTAATGCTTTCTTCGTGATGCACCACTCTTTTAACAATTGCTCTGGTTAGCATAAACATCTGAGAATCTGGTACAAAAGAAGAGAATCTCCAAAGATCAAGTGAATCAAGCAATTTAGGCTCTTTATCAATCCTCGACAAAATACGACTCACAGTAGATAGCACATTTTTCGAGCATAATTTTTGTACCTCTGGATCGTCCTCAATATGGATTGCTTTGGCCAAGATTGATAATTTTTGAATTAACAACTGGAAAATGATTTCGGTAAGCGAAGAATCAGTTGAAATAATTTCAACAACGATTGGTTTCCATATACTAGCATCATAGTAATCATGTAACGGCTGTAAATCGTACCATGCAGCTTTAGAAAATTGTAAGTTGGGCTTTTCTTTAGCATAGAAATACGAAAGAAGGATCAAATTTCCCCACGAATAACACAGCCTTAAAATCATGGTGAGTTGATCATGACTCTGAATATCGGTAAATGGAACATTTAATATCACATCTCGCGTAGTCTCTATACACCACTTTTCTTGTGGTAAAATCATTTTCGGTACTAAATCATCACAAACTCGTACATGTGAAAGAAAACAAATAAATAGTTCCAATATAACTGGTGAATTGACGATAGTCTCCTGCAGAAATAGCTTCCAGGTTTGAATTGTTTGTAATGGTGGTGCTTTGATGATCACTGCACCGTAGATTAATTTAAATTCTTGAGGCAGGTAAACAGTACCAAACGAAGAGTTGACTGGACGGCAGCAATTAAATAGCCAAGAGTGAAATTTATCAATTTGACGACGATTAGTAAAGTAGTTCAACTGATTTTTCAACATGCCACTCACTGAACATTCATCATAATCGGACTTCTGAAGCCATTGAGTGACGAAATCTTCATCAGGTATGAGTTCCATGATGATAACACGAAAATAAATTGCTTAAAATATTTCTCAATTGAACAAGTTAAAACATCAGATGTTTGAATATTGAGAAGTTCAAGAAAAACGTGTGTTTATCACATGTTTTCACAGGAGTCTAGAAATGCAATTGAAAACAACCATCGATAGCTGAAATTCAAAGTCTATGTTGATATAGATTCTTATTGTAAGAATTTTTTACTGAACAATTTTAAGAGCATGCTCAAGTACTTTAACTTTTTGCTAACATTTAAAAAGTTGATAATTTTAATCAATTGCAAGATATTCTATTTAATTTTGTTGATTTTCAAAATAAAATTTTGCATTATTGATCTTTAAAGGACAAAATTTTCGATTGATAAATATCATATATTCTTAACAGGAATGAGAATTCATTGAATCAGCTAAAAAACATTGAATCACATTAGATTGTCTAATTTCTAGTTCAATAAAGCTTTTTGATTATTTTTTGGTAATTAAAGATTAAATTGGTTCCCTTCATTAACTTTTCTCATGTTTTTTTAATATTAAATCGCATTGTGAAAATACTTTTAATGATTTTTAAGCCAGGTATTAAGATGAAATTTGTGGACGAGTGGGGGAATTGTGGGGGATCTCCTCAATTTGCTCATAATTAATAATAAAATATATTTTTGTGAAGAAAATTAGATTATCAAATAAAGAAAATTAGCTAATTGATTTTAAATCTGAAATTAACTCATTAACTCATTGTAATTTAAAATCATTCATAACCGTACAGAATGATTTTGAAACGATCGCAAAAAGTTAAAGTACTTGAGCATGCGTAATGTCGGGTGCCTTTGCATTTCTAGACTCCTGTCATGTTTTCAAGCTCGGAAAATAGCCATTGAAAACAACCATCGATAGCTGAAATTCAAAGTCTATGTTGATATAGATTCTTATTGTAAGAATTTTTTACTGAACAATTTTAAGATTCCTACTTGATTGTCAATTAAAATGGCCTTTTTAATACAAACCCATGAGTGATGATTGATGCTAACAATCTAATTTTAATCATAATTTATCTTTATAAATGACTATCATGGTTTTATTACATCTGCTTAATAGACTTTGCTTTCTTTATTTCATTCACATTAGATTAAAGTTGAGAAATTGATCGATAAAAGCTTGAAATTTTTTAATTTTTGATTTAAATAGTTCAGCGTGTTAAGCTAGTTAGTTAAAATATGCAACCAAATTATCCCTGAATCAGTAATCATGCAATTGATTTCATAACAATGTGATTTTTTGCATTGCTATAAAGCAAGAGTAATTTCTGACTGATATTGCATTATCTATCATTGTAAGATCTATAGCTCTTGTTTATGGTTATTTTTAAGAATCTTAATTAAGATCATTATTTCTAATCGTATTTAATCGGTGACCATGTTAATATTTACCTCTTTTAAATAGTAGCGCCTAAAGATTTAAAGTTGGTTGCGAAGACAGCGCCCTATGAAACCGGCTTGAAGCTTAAAAGGTTCTATTTGAAGCAAAACAATTAACTTACCAAGAGGTTTTTATTTTATCACACTTACTAACTTTAATCTGTTTAATCAATCGGGCTTCAATGAATCATCCCTGTACTTCATTGCTTATCTCAACTTTATGAGGATTTCTTACTGGTCAAACCGGTGATTAACTTTCTACTTTCGATCTATAATACATCAGACATTTAAAAGCCTCTCTTTTAAGGACGTTTACATTATTTTTAAGCTGGAGAGCGAACCAAACAAACAATAACTTCAACTATAAACATTTGTAATATTACTCAACGCTTCTAAAGAATCAACACAACTGAGCTTAAATTGGTAAATCGGTAAATTTATTCATCGGTTTAGTTGGTAAATCCGCTTAATTTCAAAAATCTATCAGTCATTGGCTCATCTCTCCTGTGATACATTGACATCAACCTTTTTACACCATTTTTAGTTCCTATGCTTTTCGGATCATCTGTTTCTGTTAATTTTTAATTTCTCTTTGGTATGTCGACGATTTTAATCGTCAATTAGAATAGACTTTTTTGTGAAAGACATGGAAAACAATTGCTATGATCTTGATACTCGAAAATTGCTCTCATTGGAGGGTCAAAAATGGTCTCTCATTGATTTTGGGATTGACGAGGATTCCTCCTCAAGTAAGTACCAAATTAAATTTAAAATTTCCGTTGCAATTGCCCTTGACCTTGACCCTTCGTCCTTAAACTTAACCTTGATTTAATCATGTTTTCTGTCATAGATGATATTGAAGACAGTAAAAGCGATTCATCTTCTACAATAATACCAACCACAAATGGGATTAATTACAGTTCGTTTGGAGTTAGTGATACCATGAAACTGAAAGAAGAAGGTAAGATGATTTTATTTTTAAAAATCAATTTCAATGATGAATATCTATTCAAAAACTAATTTTTTCATGTACTTATCTTTCCATAGACATGTATTTATTTGGACTTTGCCCAGCCTATGATCCTTTCTTCCTGGCAGTTTGTGAATATTGCGGTCAAGTGATTAAACCGCAAGCCTTGGCAAAGCATATCGAATTAAGACATAGGTTCTCTATAGATTCCAATAATGGTAAAACTGTAAACTCAACAAATGACCTATTGGAAGACGGATATAATGCTCAATCCTCAGTTTTACTTACTGGTAATAAAAGTATTTCTAACAGGGTAGGCTCGAATGGTGATGCTAATCGACTCGGTGATAGTATAAATTCCTTAGCGGGTAGATCATCCTTATTTTCTAGTGATAACAAAAGTGATAGTATTAAAAATATACTATTAGAAGCAATACCGTCAGGACCTGGGCCTGGATCATCATCATCTTCACCTCTTTCCTTTGGTCAGCCCAATAACAACATCAACCCAATTAACAATAGTATTGTTGCTCACTTGAAGTCCTCAGTATCTTTACCCAATCAAAGTGGAACCAATTCCCCATTCAATAACATAGCTGCATTAGGTTCAAATTCATCAGCTGCTTCATCTCCTAATTCGTCCAACTCGTCCCAAACACAGGGTTCTGGTAATTTATTAAACAACAATCGATACTCTTCACAACAATCAAGTTCTAACAAGACTGACACAGGAGCTATGGGACCCGTTATTGGTAACACTATCGGAAATAACAAATCTAAGTCCACTAACAATACCTTGCCTAAGAAGGCATCCATACGAGGCAAGCTATTGCCTTGTAAAGACCGTGAATATGACCCGGATAAACATTGTGGTGTGAAAATTGGTGATATGGACAAACCGTGTACTCGAAGTTTAACATGCAAAACACATTCTTTAACTCTTCGAAGATCTGTTTTGGATAGATCCAAGAATTTCGACGACCTTTTGGCTGAACACAGAGCTTCAAAAGAAGCACTCCTAAGAGCTGCAGGAATCGAGGTGAAACCAACAAAACAACAATTAAAGCAAAGAGAGCTTGAGGCGAAACGTCAACTGATACAACAACAACAGCAGCAGCAGCAACAACAACAGCAACAGAAACAACAGAAACAGCAACAACAACAGTTGAAGCAGCAGAAAAATCAGCCACCATTAGCACAGCAAAAGGTTGACCAGCAGAACTCACATATAAATCAACATCATCTTCGTAATCATCCTCAGGAACTGTTTATGCCAGCTCCAGCGACTCTACAATCCAAGGAGTTCAAACCAATTGGATCGCCTTCTAATCAAAATTTAATAGCTGAAAAAAAGAAAAACTCAACTGTTCCTAATCGACAATTGAACGAAAGTGTCGAATGTAAATCAGAACCTAAAAGCTCAATACCATCAACATCAACACCACCAACACTACCAGCAACTTATTCAAATCATTCGGAGAAAACAAATTTCATTGAGGCCGATGGTTGCCTTTATTTGCCTAATCCTCCTAAACCTATGGCCTTGTGTAACTTTAATGCTCGCCAGATATCCATTGAACCTCTCAACTGTGATCAGGATGATAGTCCTTGTAACCTTTCATCGCGTCTCTTTAACCGTAAAAGAGACTTAACTTATTCTGCACTGACGATTTTTAGGACTCAATCAAAGACCGATGGTAGACCCAACAATCAAAAACTCTTATCTCTACTGAATGCAAACTAACTGTGTTTTGTTTTTTCTTTTCTTTTTTGTTTACTTGTATGTGTGTAAATGATATGTACATACAATTATTTATGTGTGCATTGTAGCCAATTTTTCTCACTCTCCTTTTGATTATCGTCTACTGTATGTGTTAATCAACTCTTTCGTTTTGTAAAATCAAGGTTGAAACCTTTTGTAAAACTTTCAAGTCACAACAGAATCGATATTTATGAACTTTTTCAATAACAATAGCTGTCAAGCAATTGAAAATTTTTGTTTACATAAATTTGGTTCATGATTGGGTAAAATGTTGAAATGGTGCGAGAAATAGTCAAATGAAATCATAAGGGTTACAAGATTGGATACTGAGGCAGGGTTAGCAGATTTTGACACGATGACGATAAAATTAGAGATAATTATTGTTAACTTTTGGGTTTCGGTTAAAATTGTATTGAAAGTGAAACAAAATGGAAGTGAAACAAAATTGTTTTGACTTGTCTTCAGGTTAAATGGATAAATTTAAAATTAAAAAATCAATCGACTGGTTTTTGTTAGTTTTCATTGCGGGTTAAGTCTTGAAGAAAGTTACAATTCTAATTATGATGGCTAAAATCAGTAGACAGTAAAACTTATTCCATCAACAATAATCTATTGATCTTAACTCTCACCAAATTACTAATCTAATGCTCGTTCGATAACGAAGTTTTTTTATTCAACTTGTAGTGTGGTTGTTGGGTGCTTACAAACAACCAGTCTTGAGGCAACTGGTTTAAAATATATTTTGCTTTTCAGTTTTATAGTATCATGACGGAGGAGGAGTTTTGGTTCACTGTATTGAGAGGTTGGCAAAAGTATGGGGAGATTGTCATGATAAGTGAAGGCTATCGTTGCTATCGATTAATACTGAATCGTATATGTCATGGAAATAGTTTTTGGATGTTTCAAGATTAATTCACGAAGAATAATTTTCTTTTTGAAGCCAGTTGTGATTAGTTTTCCCTTTCTTTTTTTGAATATATTGAAGTATTAGTGAGAGGAAGTTATGTTTAGTCCGCAGGTAAAGTTGCCATCTTTGGATAAAATCAGAGGTTCCGACTCGGAACTTCCGAGGATCAGAATACGAGCGTTCTTGTAAGAGCTGACATCTATCTTTACAAAATTGAAAGTAGAAAAATAAAATCAATCCTACTGCCATCTGTTGGCTTTGTAATAAAATACTGTATTGTGAAAACAAAGAGAAGGAGATTTTGAAGTCTAAAGAAGGTCTTCAAATTGAAGAACGAGTAAACTATCTAAAATGTCTTTCTCAATCAATATTTATCGTGATTAATTTATTTGTTTTCTCCTTGATTTAAATTCATCACTAGAGATATTTACATCACCAACTTCACCATTGAAATCATCATGGATCCTATTACTTTGATTAGAACTCAAGCTGATAACTTTGAGAATTTTGGCAAGAAGATAATGGACATGCTGAGTCCCAAGATTAAGGAAAAACATGGAGGCGCCATTAATCAGCGTTTAGAAGAGGCTCAGACGGTTTTCAAAACAATTGAGCAGCTCATTTCATCAAGTGATCATCCTAATCAAAAAAATGTAAGTACCAAAACGACGCTAGTTGGATCTTCTAATGGCTCCATCAATGAGGGTAGCTTTGAAGAAAGTGATAACGAGGTTGTCCAACTGTTACTCTCGATGAAAAAAAATGTTTTCAATTGTAAATGCGGCGAATATCTTAACTCAATTACTGATTGGGATGAGCATCAAAAGACATGTCCATGTTCATCGGAAAAAAGTACGTATTTATCTTTTAACCCTTTTATGCCGAATTCAATGGTAAACAAAGCTTACCAATCTTGTGCTTCTTTTTTTATAGCTATCGGAAAGCAATGTCCACTTTGCAAGAAAACATTTTTATCGTGTGTTGCTCTCAGCATTCACTGCACAAAGAAGCATAATAAGAAGAAAATGCGGACAGATTCGGTTATGCACTGTCCATGTGGTCAAAGTTTCACAGCAAAATGGAGGCAGAACTGTGTGCATAAACTGAATAGCCATGGGCGTCAATGTAAAGCTTTCAAGGCAAAAGGTAAATAGTCTGAATCTTTTCAATATATTCTAACAATCTTTTTTTTTCATTTGTAGAGATTCAATGTACAATTTGTAAAAAGGGTTTCATCGAAAGGAAGAGCCTCGAATATCATGGACTCAAAGCTCATGGGTTGGCAGTACCAGTCAATAGTTAATTAATTGCATCAAATATCAGGGGCGAGTTAGTTAATGTGTGATTGTGTGTGAGCTTGCTATGCAAGATAATTTATACTCCTCTTTTAACACCATCTTTACTTCATCTTTAATGTATCTTTTAAATTATTCCATCTCCGGAAAACGGAAATGCATTCATTTTTACTCAATCATTAACGGTTTGTTTTCCTTTCCTTTGCTTAAAAGCAAAAGTGACATTTTCTTGTGAAATTGTAAACTTTTATTCAATTTTGGAATGAATCCTGATAAATTTCTTGACAATATTGTCCATCCATTAGTCCACTTTTCTGTTAAATACAGCTTCCTAAAGGAGGCCTTTGATTATCTTTTTAGAGATAAAATCAACCAACGATCTGAACATTAAAAACATTAAAGACCAAGATTAGTGGAATATTTTGCCTCTAATTGATTTAAATCAACTTATAAAGAAGCAAATGCAATTTGGTCTGGGCGATGTTACCTCAATAGTAGGCAAGTATTAATACCATGGTAATACATGTTCATAGTGATGTGAATTGAAAATATCATTTTACGGAAATATCCTAATTAGTTTCATCCGGATTAGCGATTTAACTTAATTTATCTTTCCTCTCGAGTCTCCATAAACATTAAATTATACATATGTTGCGTATTTCAATGGGAAAATTCAATATATTCTATGAGTCAATATTCAATCATTCGGTATTGAAATTAATTAACCACAATAGTCTTTCCATGCCAAGATAAACACGTAACAACAAATGGTTTGTGCAAATGAGGTAGTAATTGCAATCGACTTGCCATCAAATTATTATTATGAAATATTGACTATTAAGGTTAGATAATAAACTGATGCTCAACATCACATGCTTTGGCTTTTGGAATCATCATTTCAATTTCTTGAGACAAACAATAACAAGATAAATTGAAGTGTATATTCAATTATTATTGTCTGCTTAGTAAGCAATTTTATATTAGTTTGTCAATACTTTTTAACGCTATTTCCTGGTTTGTCCAATGATCTTTTATCATTAAGATTTATAATTACGTTTGATGTTAATGCTTATCATCATTTACAACTTGACACTCAAATTGTCTGATTCTGAATGCAAAGTCATTTGGATCATAATAAGTAAAGCACTCACTAAAACCATAGAGATGACAAATTATGATTTAATTGTGTTCATAAATTAATCAAAGTTCATGCTTTTCAATATTGTAATCCTTTTGCGATTTCTCTCACCACTCATTGCTTTATCACCCAGAATGTTATCAACTTAGAAACCTTGTTTTTGTTAAATAAATAGTCGCTTTCTCGCCTAGTTTTCAACGGCAATCAAAGGTAATTGTACCTGTCTGGGCAGAATTACATTCACTTTTCCCTTAAAATACCAATCTAAAGGAGTTTTGCTCAGTAAAATATTTTCTCTGTAATCTTCAATAATTTATCCTAAGAAGAAGCTTGTGAGCAAGTCCAAGGCAAAACAGTTGCATCCTCCTCAAAATCTTGTCAAAAATAACATACTTTGGTGTTGTTGTTTTTTAATTGTTACTCAAAATGATATCAATTTTAATGTAATCTATCAATAGAATTTGATTTTTTATTCATCCTTTACCCATTTGGATAATAACACCAGATGTTTGTAATGGTGTCAAAGTTTAATCTTTTGAAATAATTTCATCTGGCATCTTTTGAGATCAATCTGTGCTTTTTTCAGTTCTTTTACTCTCTTTTCCACTCTCTCTCTTCTCTGTGTCTCAGTCTGGTCAACCACAAAATCTCCAATACAGTTGTGTCAATCAGCTGGGAACGAATGTATCTATTGACTATATTGTTAGTGATTAGTACATCACTATCGTGTTTGGCTCAAACTAGTGCTAGCTTGTCAACAAAAGGACCAGTGGAATCAGTTCAACCATCAATTCAAGTCAATAGCTCCGAAGTTACATCAACTAATTTTAGTGACTATAATGAGACCATTTCAACTACACCATTATCATCAACTACATTTATTAATCAAGCAAATACCGAAGACGATGGTGACTTGAAAACATCAACAAATTACAGTGGTTACGATAATGGAATTGTGATCGCTTCACCGAAGCCAGCAACAGTTTTACCTAATCCCTGTGGAAATCATAACGGAAACTGTTCCGACATTTGTCTCGATTTAGGAAACGGAACTCGTAGATGTGGCTGTAACTATGGCGTTTTATCTTCTGATGACCTGTCTTGTGAAGCGCCAGATTCTTTTGTTGTCTTCGCACGAGCCCTTCAGCTTGAATTTTATCCTATCGACGACAGCGTTAATCGAGCACCTCCTTATCCACCTATTACCGATGCCAACTATATGAAAAATGTGATTGCTGTCACATTCGATTATGAAAATAAACGATTAATCTATTCTGATATTAAAAGTGCTACCATCAATAGTGTTTTCTTCAATGGAACTGATTTCAGGGTTATTGCAACAAATCAAAGTAATGTCGAAGGCTTGTCTCTTGACCGTCAAACAAGTGATTTATGGTGGACAAGTAACAATGATTCTTCTATTTATCGACTTAACTTAAAAATAGCAAGATATCCACAAAAAATTATTGATCTCGGACCTGAAGATAAACTCAGAGGAATCGCCGTTCATGGCTGTAGATATTTTGTTTATTGGGCCAATTGGAATCCTAATGCGCCAGCTATCCAACGAGCTTATCTATCGGGATATAATATTACTTCCATTATAACTACAGGAATTAAGATGCCTAATGCTGTCACTATTGATCATCAGCTTCAAAAATTATACTGGACCGATGCTCGATTAGACAAGATAGAGAGATGTGACTTAGATGGAACTAACCGCGCTATTATTATTTCCAAGACTCCTAAACATCCATTCGCTGCAGCTGCTTATGGTTCATTTATCTTTTGGACTGATTGGGGTGGTCAAGGAGTTTACCGTGCTGATAAACTGTTTGGCAATGATGTTAAAGCGATACTGACCAAAATCAATAACCCAAGAGGAATAGCGGTGGTTGCTAAAGATTCTGATGACTGTTTAAAAAATCCTTGTGGTTTCATTAATGGAGGCTGTTCTGATATTTGTTCGGTTTCTCTTAACATGACAGTTCAATGCAGTTGTTTTGAAGGTCGTACTCTTCTAGATGGCCATCGTTGTATGAATAATCGAACAGCAGAAGCAAAGTGTAATTCGACTCAGTTTGAATGTGATGATGGTGTTTGTATTCCTTATGAGCTGACTTGTGATTTAATTAGTCATTGCGTAAATGGATCTGATGAAAGCCTCAAATTGTGTGCCAATCGAGATTGTCCATTTGATTTTTACCGCTGTATCAACGGCAAATGTATTCGTGATGCTATGCTTTGTGATGGAAAAATTGATTGCCCCGATGGAGGTGATGAAGCAAATTGTAGTTGCTCTGGAGACATGTTTAAATGTCCAGGAGGACCTTGCATTCCTGCAAGTCGTAGATGTGATAGAGATGCTGATTGCCCTGATATCAGTGATGAACTTGATTGTCCACCACCAGACTGTGAGATCTACAAACAAAGTATTAGTTTTAATGAAAACGCAGAATTTATTCGCTGTAATCGTACTCCCATATGTATCCACCCTGAATGGATTTGTGATGCCCAAAATGACTGTTTAGATTGGTCTGATGAGGCCAACTGTGCCCCTAAATATAATAACTCTAACGGTACTTGTGACCCTAATTGGTTCCAATGTAAAACTGGACTGTGTATCCCAAAAGCCTGGAAATGTGACCGAGATAATGATTGTGTCAATGAAAATACGACAGTTACATCTGACGAACAAGATTGTACTTATAAATGTCACGACGATCAATTTCAGTGCAATAATCAAGATTGTATTCCAGCTGACTGGAAATGTGATGGACACAATGATTGTCAAGATAATAGTGATGAAAATCCTGAAGTTTGTAGTTCAAAAGTTTGTCCTCATGACTATTTCAACTGTACCTCTGGTCAATGTATCCCTCTTGTAAGTAAATGTGAATGCACCAAAAGTTTTAACACTTTCTTACAATCTTTTCGCTTGAAAAAATCTACTTTAAAAATGAATTTTCCACGTTTATTGAAATTCTTCATGCAGCAATTATTATTTCCTATCTTCACTGAATGTGAATCTAAACTCGAGACTCTCAAAGCATTATAAGCTTTCATTATTGTTTAAAACTTAAATTATACGTTGAACATGTGACTAATTCATTTTTAGAGCTTACCTTACAGAAAGTGATCAGATAAACTATCCAACCATCTAAAAAAATCTAGAGTTTACTGTAGATAAAAATAATATCAAATTTTTGAACTTTTGTTAAATATTTTAACTCACGATTTCTTCTTTTTGTTACAGTATTGGGTTTGTGACGGAGAAATTGATTGCCATGATGCTAATGGAAGTGATGAAAATTTGCCGGAAGGCTGTAACTTTCAAAAATGTAAACCCAATGAATTTTCATGTAAAAACCATCAATGTATTTTGAAAAAGTTCTACTGCGATGGCGATGATGATTGTGGAGATAAATCTGATGAGCCACCAAACTGTCGATCGTCAAAGTGTCTTTCTGACCAGTTTGAGTGTATGAATAAAAAGTGTATACCTAAACTTTGGATCTGTAATGGCGTCCCAGATTGTCCGGAGGGATCAGATGAGAGTGACGATCTCTGTAGAAATAACAATAAGACATCGAATCTTTGCCCTGCCGATAATTTCCAATGTGCGAACGGAAATTGTGTTTTACCAGATGTTCTTTGTGATGGAAAAAATAATTGTGGGGATTATTCAGATGAGAATAAGTGCAACGTTAATGAGTGTCAATGGAGACAATCGGACTGTTCACAAATCTGTGAAGACATGCCCATTGGTTATAAATGTAGCTGTCATGCAGGTTTTGAGGCTATTGACGGTGGTAAGATCTGTAAAGATATTGACGAATGCAAAGTTGATCGCCCGTGCTCTCAAATTTGTCGAAATACGTATGGATCATATAGCTGTTCCTGTGTTCCAGGCTACTATTCAGCCAATAATGGCTCCTCTTGTAAAGCTAATTCCGATATCGAGCCATATTTATTGTTTGCTGACAGATATTCTATTGCTTATTCTGATCTTAAGGGTCACAATCTACGTTTAAAAGTCCACAATTTAACAAATGCAATTGGTCTTGATTTCGATTGGGAAGAAAAATGTATATACTGGTCTGAAGTCTCTCAAGCTGGAAGCAGCATAAATAAAGCCTGCTCTAAAGATCATAATGATACTCTGTTACCACCATCTTCAGTTGTAAAAATTCATACAGTTCATATTCAAAGTCCTGATGGGCTTGCTGTTGACTGGTTTGCCAAAAATCTCTATTGGAGTGACAAAGGTAGAAGAACTATCGAAGTTTCCAAGCTGGACGGTAGTTTTAGAAAAATCCTTCTCAAAGATGATCTTCAATTACCAAGAGCAATCGCTTTAGATCCTAGTGAGGGTTACATGTATTGGACTGACTGGGGGGAAAATCCTTATATCGGTAAATCTGGAATGGATGGCAGTAATTCATTCCGATTAATTAACGAGTCTCTTGGATGGCCAAATGCTTTGACTATCGATTATATCACTCGTGAGTTGTTCTGGGCTGATGCCAAAGAAGATTATATTTCAGTTTCTAACCTAGATGGATCCCGCCGACACATCATTGTTCATAAAGCAAACTCCCGCTTCATTAGCCGAGTGTTTGCAATCACACTTTTCGAAGATTATCTCTATTGGACGGATTGGGAAAGACACACCATTGCCATGTGTCACAAGTACCACTGTAATAGTAGCTCTAAGGTCTTATCTTTAAGTGAGAGACCCATGGATATCCATATTTATCACCCTTTCCGACAGATAAATCCTAAATTTGAAAATCCTTGCAACTTACTCAACTGTTCAGGGCTTTGTCTCCTTCGGCCTGGATTAACTCATCAAGCAGTTGGAGTTTGTTCGTGTCCAGATGATCATGTTTTGGGTCCCAATGGACGTTCTTGTATTAGCAACTGTTCAGATAGTCAATTCCGCTGTAAAAGAACAATGAAATGTATCAGCAAAAAATGGGTCTGTGATAAACATGATGACTGTAAGGATGGCTCTGATGAGCCCGAGCAATGTAAACTAAGCTCATGTGAAACAGGCTTTTTCACTTGTCGAAACGGCTCTTGTATTCCTGTTAATCAATTTTGCGATGGCATCTCACAGTGTTCTGATGGCTCTGATGAAGAATGCGGTTAGTAAATTTTAGGTTGTTTATTAAATTTGTCATTCTAATGTTTGTTTTTTATTCAAACAGGCCATAATCTAATTGATCGATGCGCAGAATGTACAATTGAAGGCTGTAAGTCCATTTGTCTAAATGGCGGATCTTGTTATATGGATGAACAACAGGCTAAATGTAATTGTCAAAATGGTTACAACGGATCCAGATGTGAATACAACATATGTAATTGTAAAAACGGAGCAACATGCTTGGCCTCCGGTGGGGAAGGAAAATGTATATGTTCTCCAGGTTTTACTGGAAAACTGTGTGAAACAGTAACTGATCCTAAATGTGACAACTTTATCTGTCTCAACGGCGGCTACTGTATGGTTAAAGACGATTTACCTTATTGCGAATGTCCAGCAGGCTGGAAAGGATCTAAATGTGAAAAAGTTAAAACTGGTGATGAAATCTGTGATCATTATTGTCTCAATAGTGGAAATTGTACATTTACAGGAGGTCATTTTCCTCCTAGTTGTAGGTGAGTTTAAGTTCAGCATTCTTCATCTTTTTTCCTTAATTTATGCTAATTTTTCCTAATTATTATCTAAAAATTATCTTAGATGTCCTGCGGGTTGGATTGGTCCTCGGTGTCAAATTGCAGAAGGATGTAAAGGTTTTTGTTTAAATGGAGGTCTCTGTAAACTTACTTCTGATCCGCTAAAGACTCCTTATTGCATGTAAGTATGAGATGAAAAATTCAAAAAATTATAAAAATCCATGCTCAATATTTTTTTAAACGCAAATTTATTCTTTTTTAGTTGTCCACCTTTATCTGAAGGGAAACGATGTGAAAAAGCTAGATCTTCATCTACGGCTGGACCTGGTTCAATCCCTAGAAATTATCGTCAAACACCAGACTGGAAAGTTGCCATGACGGTGATAACTATCTGTGTAGTTGTCGTAACTCTTGTTTTCTTGATCATGTTTGGTTTGAGAATTCGTGCCAGGTAATCAACACATTCTTTATATGTGAAAGTCGCAGTCATTATCAATCATTATTAACCATCACAGCCATCATTAGCATTATAACTAGTATTATCATTTTAAATATGTTAATTTTAATCAATTTGGTTTTCATTACAGAAGTCGAGCTTTCATGCACCAAAGAATTGATGAATCCGCTGCTAACCTTGAAATCAGCAACCCAATGTTTGGTGATGATGTAGAAGATGATTGCTATACAACAGAGCATCCTACTCAAACTTTCTCTCTTAAATCTGAGGATAAAGTATGACATCATATTTTCTCATTTATAATCAATTATATTATAATTAGCGTTTGTTAATTTAATCAATTTACTTCTTGTCTTTTCTTTCTTTAGAGCAAAAATTTCAGTAATCCTATGTATGAATTTCAACAAACTATTGATGAAGAGAAGCGTAATCTTTTGGTTGAAAAGAATGACATGACTGAATTTCCTAAAGATGAACTTAATGGTGAAAGCAATGGAGTTATTGGTGATGGTTTACCTGGTAATAGCCGTAAAACATTCAAATCAGACTCTTGAGATTGAGCTTTTCTTCTTTCCGAGCTCGTTGTTCCTGGTCATTTTAAAACAACCAAAGAAATTTTAGATACCAAGCTGAGTGATCCTCTATATGTTGGTTAATTACTTATGATTTAGCTTTCTTTCCTGCATCAAGGATAATTTTTGTTGTGATATATGTCAATAACTCCTGCCACTTGTTGATTCGCACCCAGTCAACCATTGGTTAACAAATTTTTCTGCATTTTTTCACCTGCTCTTATGGAATTAACTAGTTACAAATAACGAAAGGCCTAACCATCATCTCCGTTTTCAAAGTCCAATCAAACCTTGTGAAACAAAATTTCTCTGTTTCTAATTCATTTTAGTCACAGATTATCTCATCAAGATAAGAAAAGCTAACCAGATCAATGACTACAATGTTCTAGTTTTCTGCAATTTATAACATACTTAAATGAAAGCAAACATCTCAATAATTTATAAGCTATGATCTGCTAATCATGAGTTAGTTAAATTATTGAATTTACTTTTCCTTTTTCACTGACATTCTTATTTGATGATATAATCTTTGATATTATTTCACTCAGAGTCCAAACAATATCTTTCCTTCTGCATATAATTTTTCCTTTTCACTTCAGATTAATTGTTAAACCTTAATGTGCCATATTAATGATAATCACGAGAAATTTAGATTTAACCATTTCAGATTGGACATAGACCCAAAATTTTGCTGATGAAAACAATTTAAGTTTTTTATCTGCCATCATCTTCTTGGGGCCATTTAATCACCAACGTAAAGATCTATTCTTCATGCAATTAGAACCAACGAATTTCCACGAAAACCATCAGAAGACGATTGTTTGAATTTTACATCCACAAATTTCTTATCGAGATTACGCCTAATGAAACTTCTATCTTTATCAACTATGGCAGCGTTTTTCATTGATATTCTGTAACATACTCATTATCGCTCACAGTAGTGATTTTACTTTGTTTTCATTATTTTACAACTTTATTTCTTCCAATTAATGTGCTAATATTAATTTAATGTCCATGGGTCACTCAAAAAATGTTGTAGTCAATCATTGGTCATCAGAGTCCAAATCCTATCGCCTATTTGTAAATTTCACAAATCTTAACCTTTTTTAAGTTTCAATATAGAAAATGTAAAATCATATAAATATTCAATATTGATAAATCAATTAATTAAATTGGTCTAACTTGAAGAAAGTCACTTTTTTGAAAATAACTAAAATGTCTGTATTGATTATTTACAACAGAATAATCTGGGTTTGATTCTTTTAAATTTAAATCCCAAGTTTGAATGAATAATCTCAATAGATTCAAATTGATTTGAGTCGTGGAAAAAATTAGAAAAAAATGGAGATCGAGATCAAATCAGCATATCAAACGAATTTTTATTAATTTTGCAAAAGATAATTTGAATAAATGGGTTATATTTGCGATCATAAATATTTAACTTCAATAAGCTTATAAAGATGAGTGAGAATTCTTGATAAAATAATCGTCGACTGAAAGATGTCTTTGATATCTCCAAATAACTTGATATCCTCTTCTTAACTGACCAGTAGAATTCAAATAGCGCCAACAAGATATCCATTGAGAAAAATGAGGATCAAGTTTAGAAGCTGCTAACCTGTCACAAGGTTTAACAGCCATTATCACAGATACCAATTTCAACGGATACAATAAGTATCTGGCTAAATTTCTGGTGGTATTATTGAAAAAAAATCTTATATTTGCCCGGGTTACACAGGGTTTGAATAGAGCAGAGAAAAGCGTCTGAGTTGCTGCGATACCAATTATTTCTGCAAGGGCTCGAGGAATGAAACCAGAATAGAAACCTTTGATACCTTCATGTTTATATATATCACGGGCGCCAGACAAGATAGACGAATAAATGATTTCGTTTCCTACAAACTGTGCACATCGCCTGATATACAACACTTCAAAGGGGTAGGAGAGAGTTAGAGAGATGACTCGAATACATGTTGTTTGGAGAATACTTTTGGATAAATTGAATAAGAAGTTTGCAAATTCTGTCAGTGGGTTTGAATCATTTGGCGAAATATCCAAATCTGCCAACACATCATCGCTATTTATCGAGCTGTCATCACTACCTAAAACAAGGAATTCAACTTCGAAGTCGTCAATTTCTTCATAATCATCTTCTTCTAATTCTTCATCGACATCTTCTAATTCATCAGCTTCGCTTCCTTCATCTTCCCTAGGTAAATTTATGTTTTCCATGAAATAAGTTCCAAATATAGGAGGTTCTTTCTGTAAAAGGAAAAAGTTTCAAATTATTCATTGAATTGGAGCATTAGAGAATCAATTAAAGAATTACCTGATCACCGAGGAATTTGTAGGGAGCAAGGAATTTTCGAACACGACTTTGAATTATTCGATTGATCACAATAAGAGGGAAACCAGTATAAAGATGGAAGAATCCACATTCTTTAGAAATATGACGAGCGATGGATATTATGGATGGGAAGGCCAACATTGGTTGACCCAATGGTGTTTTGGTAACATAAAGTGGAAGAGGCTCAACCCCCAACACAACCAAAGTTTGAACATATTTAAAAGGTGGAAACACTAGTAAACTAACAAATTTACCGAAATATTCAAAAGTTTTTCCGGTATAAGGCAATTGAATTTGCTCGTCCATGTCATATAATTGATTAAATATTATTTGGTCTCAAAAGTATGTCAGAGAAGCTTGTTTACGTGATAAACCAAAGGCAGAGGTGAAAGATGAGTGATTGCGACAGAATACGTGATAGATACCAGATTGTATAGTCAGGTCAAATATCTATCTTTTTCCTTGAAAGTTAACTGAAATACGTGAAATGAAACGCACATTACAATGTAAACAAGAATAGCGACAAATAGCGGTCAACATACCTCGAGATTCAACTTATTAGAAAGAATAGGTAATTACGATGAATGAAAGACCATAAACAGCTTTCATTTCGATGATAAAGTGTAGAGTGGGTGATCGAATTTCTGTACACAAATAAAAACGGTTAAATTAACAAAATACAGATGATATACTTACATTTGCAATAATCATTCCATACCTTTCAAAAGTGTACGTTAGATGAAAAAAAGGGTTGGGCGGAAATTCAAGATTTTAAAGAATGCGACAAAATTGTTGTCATAAATAATAACCAATATGTTATCAAAAAAATATACAAACAATCAAACAAATTGAATCAATTACATATTTGTCACCCACCAATTCGGTGGTTACACTGAGATTGAAGCGACTTACTCTTCTGTAACTAAGTAACTAGACCGATGAAGGCGGGAAAAACAACCAGACTTTGATATTTATTATTATTTAACTAAAATTTTAACCTCTAATCGTCGTTATATTATTAGATTTATTGGATTCTCATCTCAATAGATTGATAGAAATTTGTTAAATTTACTGATCAGGTTGAAGTCTTCCTTAACCGAATACATGTTTTCCCAATTTGAACGAGACTTTACCAGCTTCAATGAGAAAAGGCAAAGATCACAAAATAGTGGCATTAGGTGCTATTACGAGGTAAAAGTGGTTTATTTTTCAACAGCATTAAGTTAATTTAACGACTTTGGAGATAATTTATAAAAATTAAAAGCAAAGATTAAAAATTTTTACCATCAAAACTCGATGCATGAGTGCTGTACATGATTTACATAAAGGTTGCTCCACAACTTGTTTATTAGTTGATTTATGAAAATCGCGATTGATGACCAAGACATTTGTGAATCTGTATTAGTCTATAATAGATAACAGCATTCGGAAAATGAAATAGGCTTGTAAATAAACTGTCCAGTCGTGAACATAATTGATCAAGTTTCTGTTCTTTATATTGAAGAATCTTAGAATTAAGTTAATCGCTACAAAATTTATAATGCTAACCTTTCTAGATCCGAATTACAAGCTTATCCAATAAACAAGAAACAATTTTTAATACCAGTCTCAAGGTGGTTCAATTTCAATACTTATTTGATTTTTATAAATATTTGACTAACATTTTAAGGTCCTTTTCTGGAATCACCAACTTTTGCGACTAGTTCCTGTTTGTTACAAGTCGATGACATATACCTTTAAACAGATATGAGCGTTTAAGCCCCATTCAGGTAAATGTGCACGAATGTGAAAAGCCTGTGTATCTTCCTCATGATATGTGTTATCGACTTGTGAAAAACGTTGACTAGTCAAGAAAGTCAGTGGTTTCAGGAAACGACCTTCAAATTTCGTTCTGTTCTAGATTTGGGTTGCTATTTGTTTCGATTTTTCGGAAAAATGACGAGACTGAACGCGGGTTCCATTTGTCGCAAATCAGCAAAGTGAAAAGTCCATACTCATACTTGTTAACAACCATTATTGACACAATTAAATTACGAAGACAGCTGAATGAATTGGATAAAGAATTGACTCACAACACAAATATCAAATGTCATAGACTTATGAGCAAATATTTTTTGCATTTTCTTCATGCAAATTACAGAAAAATCATCGTTCTGAATACAAAATACACTTCAAATCAGCAATAAGCACAAGCTAAACGAGATGTTTGATAGACTTCATAGTTGAAAATAGCACAAATACACAATATATTTGTTGATTTTGCACCAGTTTTTACGAAACTGAAAAAATAGATTGTAAAAAAGAATCGATATCAATCATGAAATTTAGCGGAAACTAAACGCATAACATTGAGTGCAAAGGCTTTTAGAAACAACTGCGAACTCACTTCTTTCTAATTCTGCCATTTAAAGATTTATGATTCGATCAAATTATGCAGCATCGAGTATCAAGCGAATTATCGATACTTTAACTTTGTTAAAAAAATACATAAACAAACACTATTTTGCATAATATTACAAACTAAAGAGTCTTATTGACTTCATCTGTAGAAGATAAACATAACTAAACTCTTATGATTAACACCAATCATTATTTAACCAGACACGCTAAATTATGGTTGAAATTGAGTATATAAGCCGAAAAAACTAAAAGAAAATTATCAGTTCAAATACATTTGTATATTTGAATAGAAAAGTGAAGAATAACAAAATGAAAATAAGTTTAGTAACTTTGTGCTTAGCTTTAACAGCTTTCTCAGCATTTAATGCTGTAGAAGCCAATAGTTTATCAAGATGGAGCCTGAACACGAATAATTTCAGTAGCTTATTTGGGCTACTAGGTAACGGAAAGAAATCAACCAATACAAATTCTAGTAATGCCTCAAGCTCTGGTGCCGGAACAGCTACAAATACCTCATCAGGACCAACATCAACCGGTAACTCAACTACCACAGGCTCAACAGCAGCAGCTTCAGGTTCAGGATCATCTGGCTCAAAATCAGGACAAGGATCTGGCTCATCAGGTCCAGGATCATCTGGTTCAGGTTCATCAGGATCAGCAGCATCAAGTTCAGCAGCAGCAGCTTCAGAATCATCATCTGCACCTGCACCAGCATCAAACACTGGATCAGCAGCTTCAGGATCAGCAGCATCAAGTTCAGCAGCAGCAGCTTCAGACTCATCATCTGCACCTGCACCAGCATCAAACACTGGATCAGGATCATCATCAGCAGCTTCAAGTTCAGCAGCAGCAGCATCAGCAGCATCAGCTTCAGATTCATCATCAGGACCAACAACCTCAACATCAACCAGTAACTCACCTAACTCAGCATCATCAGGATCAGGTTCAGGATCATCAGCAGCAGCTTCATCAGCAGCTTCAGGTTCAGGATCATCTGGTTCAGGATCAGGACAAGGATCTGGTTCATCAGGTTCAGGATCATCTGGTTCAGGTTCATCAGGATCAGCAGCTTCAGGATCAGCAGCATCAAGTTCAGCAGCAGCAGCTTCAGACTCATCATCTGCACCTGCACCAGCATCAAACACTGGATCAGGATCATCATCAGCAGCTTCAAGTTCAGCAGCAGCAGCATCAGCTTCAGATTCATCATCAGGACCAACAACCTCAACATCAACCAGTAACTCACCTAACTCAGCATCATCAGGATCAGGTTCAGGATCATCAGCAGCAGCTTCATCAGCAGCTTCAGGTTCAGGATCATCTGGTTCAGGATCAGGACAAGGATCTGGTTCATCAGGTTCAGGATCATCTGGTTCAGGTTCATCAGGAACAGCAGCTTCAGGATCAGCAGCATCAAGTTCAGCAGCAGCAGCTTCAGACTCATCATCTGCACCTGCACCAGCATCAAACACTGGATCAGGATCATCATCAGCAGCTTCAAGTTCAGCAGCAGCAGCATCAGCAGCATCAGCTTCAGATTCATCATCAGGACCAACAACCTCAACATCAACCAGTAACTCACCTAACTCAGCATCATCAGGATCAGGTTCAGGATCATCAGCAGCAGCTTCATCAGCAGCTTCAGGTTCAGGATCATCTGGTTCAGGATCAGGACAAGGATCTGGTTCATCAGGTTCAGGATCATCTGGTTCAGGTTCATCAGGATCAGCAGCTTCAGGATCAGCAGCATCAAGTTCAGCAGCAGCAGCTTCAGACTCATCATCTGCACCTGAACCAGCATCAAACACTGGATCAGGATCATCATCAGCAGCTTCAAGTTCAGCAGCAGCAGCATCAGCAGCATCAGCTTCAGATTCATCATCAGGACCAACAACCTCAACATCAACCAGTAACTCACCTAACTCAGCATCATCAGGATCAGGTTCAGGATCATCAGCAGCAGCTTCATCAGCAGCTTCAGGTTCAGGATCATCTGGTTCAGGATCAGGACAAGGATCTGGTTCATCAGGTTCAGGATCATCTGGTTCAGGTTCATCAGGATCAGCAGCTTCAGGATCAGCAGCATCAAGTTCAGCAGCATCAAGTTCAGCAGCAGCAGCTTCAGACTCATCATCTGCACCTGCACCAGCATCAAACACTGGATCAGGATCATCATCAGCAGCATCAAGTTCAGCAGCAGCAGGTTCAGGCTCATCATATGCACCTGCCCCAGCATCAAACACCGGATCAGGAAGATCATCAGCAGCTTCAAGTTCAGCAGCAGCAGCATCAGCAGCATCAGCTTCAGATTCATCCTCAGGACCAACAACCTCAACATCAACCAGTAACTCACCTAACTCAGCATAATCAGGACCAGGATCAGGATCATCAGCAGCAGCATCATCAGCAGCTTCAGCATCAGGATCATCAGGCTCAGGATCAGGACAAGGATCTGGTTCATCAGGATCAGGATCATCTGGTTCAGGTTCATCAGGATCAGCAGCTTCAGGATCAGCAGCATCAAGTTCAGCAGCAGCAGCTTCAGACTTTTAGGAGCCCAAC